TTGTCTCCTAGCTTTCATATGCCCATTCTCATCGACACAGCCTTGTTGTTGCTTGCCAGTGTGCCCCCTACCACAGCACAAGCTGCGGAGGCAACACGCAAACATGCCGCATCTGTTCGCACGAATAGACGCTTTCCTCACTGTTGCCCCGCTACACCTACGCCCTCGAAGCAGCCAATCTGACATGCAGCGAACACTGCGTACCAACTGCTTCGCTTGCTCGGACGGGACGAGCCACCAATACACCTGATTCTGGTTCTTGCCCGTTGTTCGCCACAACCAGCTCCCAGCGCCACTCGAAACATGGCATGCTTATCTAATATTATATAAGGCCTTTCTTTCACATTTTCGATCAAATATAACATCAGAAAAATGAACTTCCTACCAGATTATACTAGGGGAAGACGCATTGTCACAGCGCTGGTTTTCTCATTACCAATCCGCTTGGCAGGTATTGATGACCCATTTCAACTCATCTAGGCATCATCTCTTCAAACAGGGCGAATTTAAAGCCTAGAACCCCCAATCAGCCTTGTATCTTTCCTACTCATCCTCTGGATTGTGATGATGAGACACTTGCTGCTGATAGCGTTTCGCTTAGTGTATGGAGAGGCACACTTTGGAAGCAGACGATCTAAAGATTTGGATGTTCTTCCATAATATATCCATCAGGTACTTTCCACACCACCGACTCCTACACTGAGTGGCCCTCAGGCACGCGCTGACTGCGACATCCCCCACAGCAATAAAGTGGCCAGGAGCCGGAGCCATTGTTCGAATCTTTATGGATTTGTGTACACACACCAGCCAAATCCTTTCCGGCAATTTACTCCAAACTTCTTTGAGTAAGGTGTTTGCTATAGTTTTTTTGTCGAAGCGCGTTTCGGCAGAATTCCCTCTCGCATGCGTGTAGCGTTTAGGGCTGCAAGCATACACTTCCGGGGTTTGATCCCACATTCTGCCGATTATTAGTTCTTCTATATGTGGGATTTTGCAGTTTCACATGTAGGCTACATAGTACAGACGGTTTCAGTCGCTGAGGTAGCCCAGCTGCAGCTCGTTGTCGCCGCCAATTGAGGATGTCGGGGTCGTACACACTCTGGACAACAACAGACGGTCTTTATGCAAGGCCCCAGACAAATAAGCAGTGTTTGTCATGATTTTCTTCAGCTACCGTTGATGGGGCCCAGTCAACGCAGACACGCACCTTCTGAACTTTGCTGCTCTGTTTCCGAAAGTGAAGAGACTGTGCGGACTAAAGCTTATTTATTTTTAGCCTGGCTAGCCTGCAGAATCATCTACTAGAATCTGCCACAACAAAATCACAGCATGCTACATAAATGCCAGGTAAGTACGGTAGGGCATTGGCAAGTCAGCCACCTAGCCATTGAATTAATACCAAATACACCAATTTGCTCAATGGCGTTGAAGGCCCCATGTCAGCATGGTACGGACTGCTGTTTCCGAACTTCTTCTCAAAAAATGAGGCAGTTCCCTCCACGCAGCACATAGGAGGACGTTCGTCTCTAGTTCTTTGTCATCTAATTTACGGCCGGACGTAGACTTCGTGGTGCTAGCGCAAGCACAGATGAAGAAAAGCAAAACATAAGCCTGCTTGCCTAGAAAATTCTGAAGGCGCAGCCTAGCTACAACCCTGAGGGGATCATGCAGAAGCATCAGCCAGGTCCCACATTCCAAAGAAAAAGGCGTCGTGCTGCAGCATCCTTGCTATAAGCGCCGAAGTGCTTTGATAGTGTACCACACTTCAGGAACGCCGTTAGAGCGGATTATGACTGCTTCGCCTGCAGCAATGCTGATGCCACATGGGAGGCTCGTTTGCGCTTGTGTAAGCGCCTCCTGGGTCTTAGGGTCGTGTTCGAACTCCGAAGTCCAGTGGGGCAAGGCCTCGTTGGTATTTGCGGCGGGACACTCTAGAGGGATTACCCTGCTTGTGGTGGCTGTTTTATTAGTGCATCGGACACCGTATGAACCGTGGCATCTACGTCTGGGCCTAAACGAGGCCACTAGGGTCGCAAACCTTGCAGTGTAACATCAGGTAACATCTACTATGATATTTTCATAATATTAAGAAACGCCTCTTATTTGATTTAGACAGTCCAAAACTGATCTGGGAAGCGTTCAAGAGCCATGCCGCACTAACTGCTGTAAAACCACAGTCGTCTCGTCAGCTGCTGGCCACGTGGTGCACAGCTGCACTACCACGTGCCAAAAAAGACTACCTGACCAGAGGACGACTCTCTTGCTACTGTATGTGCGTTGCAAAGCTGCACGATTGGCCCTCCTGCTGCCCAGGCTCTTCTTGAGGAGAATGTGCGTCGAATAGTTTCAGGCGATGGTTTTGCTCCAGGGTTCGATAGCAAATAGTAATCTTGTTTGCCACTGTTTCTGTCAAGTAGCTTTCCTCTTTAGGTGCTCTTGATGAAACAAACCAACTAATCCAGCTTGCTTGCAGCAGGATGCTAGGGACAAAAGGATTTCGTTATTTTGTTGTGCAAGCCGCCTTGTGTTTTGATCAGTGGATAGCCAGAAATACAGTGTTTTGGAGTCGTGGTTGGCCTGCATCAACTCTGAGCGCCCAAGTAGTTATGCTTCAATTGTGGACATGTATTGGTTCAATAGGCTTAGGCCAACAGAAAATGGGCTTACTATGCTTTGGGTCGTTGGCTTCTTGCTGCACCACGACCTTATTGAAAGACTGCTGCAGCAATCTACATCTTTTCACCATCGAACTCAAAAGTTCCATACATTTTTGACAGCGAAAAGGCTCGATAGTTTCTCGAAGGGGTGGACTTTATCGATTTTTAAGGTGTTGGCTAATTTTCAGCGATGTGCCCAACGATGAAACTTCCTAATCGTGGATTGAGACTGTTTCCCTTCTTCCAGCGTATGAAGGGTTACAGTCCAATCATAGCGAATTATTCAACGCATATGCACTGACTAAAATCTATAGAAGTAACAAATTTATATCATCGCATGTGGCGCTTGCTTGCGTGCGAAGGCAGCATGAAGATACCCTTGGATTTAGGCTAAATATGTCTTCCCACGCGTCTGTGCTTTCCTTGCATATAGGGGTGTGTGACGTTGACTTCCCAATTTCCAGTGATACGACAGTCTGTAAGCCACTGCAAATGAGCGAAAGAAGCAAAGTCGAAAAATTACGTGACCAGAAGCACATAGAAAGTCTGTCATTCTAATGCATGTTGATGTGCACTTCTCTTATCGAGCGGGCTACGCTACATTTAGGCATTCCGTTCACTTCAAGTTTTAAGAGCAGACTAACTAAGAATTAGCAAGGGGTTGACTAACTGAAATTCAATTGTACTATGTATTGCAACGCATGTGGTAACGGGAATAGCTCTATCTGGTGTGGACGCTACCACACTACGCACTGAGTCCAATTAAATAATAAATGTCCTGCAGAATGTCTTACTGTTCCTGAGGAGCAGCAATCTCTACAGCATGGCGCGAAAGCACGAAGAAGTTCTCACTTGTGCAAGGCAAGCCACGCTAATCAGCGTGCAACAACCTGAAGCGCGCCTGATCAGCGCAACAACCGCGTTAATGAGTAGTTCACTAGAATACAAGCAGGCTACAGAAAGGTCGTGTGGGTATTGGAGCTCGTGTGTCTGAAAGCGGTCTGTAACGTTTTATCATAGGTGTCCGAAGGAAGACACTTGACTGTGGACTCAACAGCAGCTTGATGAAAAGTAACTGTTCTTCAAAATTGCCATCTCTTTCCCTTGCCCGAAAGCCTCAGAGTTCCTGACATGAGAGAAAAGTGGAAGCTAGGGTACATGTGGCTGAAGCCTTTTAGCACACAGAGAAATCACAGCTAGTTGCACAGCGTATCCAGAGCGCAACACAAAACGTTCCGTCTTCTTGTATCAAGCTAGCACTAATTTGCAGTGTCCTAAACATAAAAGCAGGGCAACGCACAGATCATCACGCTACTAAGTCTTAGAGATAATTGGACTTGTAAGGATTGCCCAGGTCTAGTTTTGCCCGCTCCTATCTGTAACTTAGCCCCCACAGTTTTGGCAAGCACTGTTGTTGCGGCTAATAGTGATGATGCTGTATTTGCCTCTGCTTTTCCTGCTGAGGATCTGGCTGCCTGGATCGCCATGGATGCCACCACATGCAGCGGCTGGTTTTACGATTACGCTTACCTTTAGCCTTGCCTTTCTACCGTTGCTGCTCCCGGGGTTCTCACAGCACCGTTGTGCTAGTTCAACTGCTGCGCATCTTGCTGACGGTATTGTTTGTGACATTTTACTTTCATTGATAAGTATTTTGTTGTTTTCGGGGGTGCTGGATCTAGAAGGCAGGCTGCTGAATGGGACATCAGTGGCTGTTCCTCAGTGGGTGGGGGCCCACATCATTCAGAATACTTGCGCTCTGCAGGGGTGCAGAACTTTCCCTTTTCTGCGCTCAATTTCGACAAAAATTGTTTTTATGAGCTTGCTTTGTAACAAGTTGGCGAACTGATCCTTTGAAACGATCCTGGCTCATTCTTATAGTCCCCTCCGCATCAGTCAAGTTGCTGGTATGGCTCAGTTCTTTGAATTCAGTGTTTCATCTTTTTCCTAGTTTCTAAATATCCATTTTGATACCCATGCTTAACATGACCTATTGCTGCCGAGCCGCATCTGACTGCGCGTTCGCCTGTTGATGCGGTCGCCTCTCAGTTGGGGTGCCTTCTTTCTTCCTTCTTGTTGATTCTCGCAAATGTTGAAACGTGCTATCTTTGGTGTTTTGGGCCCTACATCTTGCCACGTAGGAAGCTCCTGTCGAGCTCCCAGCAGGGCTGTGGGGTCCCTGAGGGGACCCACTGTAAGAGGGGAGAAGTGCAGGCAAAACAGAAGCAAAGAGCCAGCAGAATACAAGGAACATGAAACAGATGGCAGTGACGGCGAGGATGGGATGAATCCGGCTGAGGACCCCAAAGTAAGACAGGCCCTTCTGAGGAGAGCAGCAGCCCTCTATTCCTCAGACCCTCGAGGATTTCTCAGGGCCATGCAGAAGCACGAAAGGAAGACGAGGAATGCAAAAGATGAAGATACAGACGAGGAAGAGGAATCATTTCAGCTAATGGACCCGGATACAGATGAAGACACAGACAAGCGGAAACAGGAGACAAAGGCTCGGAAGCGCCTGCAGCAACATACAAATCACAACCAGGAGATACCTGAAGCGGATGAAGAAGCTGAAGAAGAGGAGGATGAGGAGTTCAAACGGGGGAAGTATCACTGCCGGTTGTGTCCTCAAAAGATATTCATTTTCGAGGCCGACCTCGAGAAGCACCTCCATTCAAAGGTGTCGCAAACACCCCAAAGGAATGAGCACCTGTTCAATTCTAAATTATTGCAGTTGGCCACTCTACGCCGCGCATTTTACGGTGTGTAAGCTCGAATTTCTTCCGAGTGCACGTGTATTTGTGGATGTTTAGGCACATATGCGGCGTGAGAAACGTTGGGAGGCCCAGCAGGGGGGGGGCTCCCATGCCAGTAAAGCAGAAAAAGCTTCGGCACCTGGGCCCTCGAAGGCCGCAGAGAAAGGAAAAATGAAGGAGAGTGGCGACAAGCTGGTGAAGAGACAGCTGTCAAGAAGGAGTGAACGGAGGAAGTGAGTCTAGACTTTTAGGAGCTGAGTGGTTTTTTGTGATTGCTGGCTTGTTTATCTTACCCCCATGCTTGTGTATGTGTATATGTGGTTGTGGTACACACGTTGTCCTGCTGTCTTGGTCTGCATTGTCTCCAATTTGCCTCCAAACCACTCTTCTGTATCCTTCTCTTTCCGACCCTGTTAGCTTTCTTTACTGTTCAATTTCGGCGACCGGTGCATCATCCGTGTCTTCCTGTCGTGGCCTCGTGTTTCTTCTGGTCTGTTTTCCCATGTGCCAGTAGAAAGCAGCCTTCATTCGGAAGGCAATCCTGGTTCCTTACTTCTTGTTTTCACAGACCCGTGGATAGCCTTACTCCTGAAGAAATTCAACGAAGAAAGGAAAATTTCAGGCGAAAGAAATTGAGACGACTCGAACGCAAGGCTTATAATCCGACAGAGTAACTCGCTTCTGAATAGGAGAGAACCTTATATACGAATTAAGAAGGGCCCCTACAGCTATTCTGAGCACCCGAGGATCCCCGTGGGGCCATCATATGGGTTGCGTTTCTCTCTGGGGCAGGGACTCTATGAAATATTATCATGAAAGCCTTTTCTTGATAACTGCAACTGCTCGTGAGCCCGCTTCATTCTGGCTCGCCGGATTTTTTTGCTGTTTTCGGATGTTCCTTCTCCATATATGCGGCATTGATGGCCTAATGAATAAGGTTGTAGGAGCTAGAGGGCAACGGGGTGATGGAGATTAATCGCACGCAACAGTGCCATGCCTACTCATCGGCGTCCGCTTCTTGCGTTTATAGCTCGGATTTGTGGTGGGTAGGGAGCGTAGTTGAGAGTTCTATAGGACCACTGGTCTTGGGTGCACTCCATATAGTGCCTAGGACTAGCTGGGGGAACAGAGGGGACCACGGCTGGCATCCAATGACTTGCATAAAATCAGATGATCGGTTATGATATTGTTTCAGCGTGATTTGCTCTCGTCCAAAGCTTTCTGCTGTATTTCATGCGTTGTGCCTACTATTTCGTGACACCCTTTCTGTGTGAACTGCATCCGTAGCGCAACACATGCCCGCTCGACGGTCGGGCAGCCCCGAACACTTGATGCTCATTTTTGAAGAGATAGAAGATACATTAGAACTTTTTTGAATTTGTGCCTGAAGACAAATTTAATGCATCTTATTTCTTGCAGGATAAGCTGCAATTCTTTGTCGATGGTACAGTTTTTTTTCTATGGTTACCCACCAACTCCCCATACCGCGCAATGGTGGCATTGCATTATTTCTATTTAGAAAAGGCTTCTGTAGTTATATTATGAACACTATCATGGTACTTTGCTTTGTCATATATGTATAGCAGCCGGAAGGATTTTCCAAATGTACAAGGGCATCAGGACCAGCTGCTTAATGTGGGCGTAGACTTGGCTAAACAATCCATCTGTTTCGTTTTCGTCTTCTCGTTCTGTTTCTACAAAGAATTTTCAAATTGTTACTTATTCTACAAAGTCATGTCTGAAAGGAGGTCCTTCTCGCCACTGCTCCCGCTGCGTGCTTCAGTGTTGATCGATGCTTGGCTGAGTGGTACTGCTGATTTTGGGTGAACTACCCTTGCATCTACAAAAAAGTGGCCCCAGTAGCGCACGCTTTTGCAATTTGTCTGGTCGAATCTGGTAGCCGTCGATTTAGTTCCCCATGGGACTAATGGAAGGAGCCGAAATGGGGAGACAGCACAGTGACATCCCGTTTCCCTCTTTTACTGCCGATGCAGGGCAACCAACTGTCTGTTTAAATGTACTCACCTACCAGACGAGAGAAGCAGAGGAGGAAATGACTCAGACAGAACCCTCAATGAAGAAGGGAGCTAATACCCATGCCTCCCTGCCAATCAAAGAAGGCCCAACGGCCCCGCATACTTCTATACCGATTTCCTCTCCTTCTCCATCATTATCAGCAACAGCACATGAAGATTACAATGCGTGTCGGTTGGCGCCTAATCTAGGCAGGATTGGTGGAGCAACGACACCCTTGGCGCTTGAGCACTGCGCTTCACCGGTTGGATCTCTGTTCAAAGCAACCATTCTGCACATGGATCACAGAAGGTTGAGGAGACAACTAAACGGCGTCCGCACAAAACGTCCGCAAAAGCGAGTCCTCTTGATGTGCTGTTTTTGTGTTTTTCTTCTCGCGGGGAAAACTGCCTTTATTGAGAAGGAGGAAGGTGCATGGAAATTCGGCCTCGCCCTACATTATGGAAGAATTGAAGAGAAAGCCGCCGTTGTAGCGGTGAGGCTCGGGCTGCTTCGCTATGCGCAATTCGTTTTGGTCTATACACCTCAACTTGAACGCGTTTTGCTCATGAATGCTTACTGATCTATGGCCTGGTGGATACACGTGTGTTCTTGCTAGTGTTGCTCAGACTGGACTTCTTGGCTTAGATTACGCCTAGGCTTTCGTCTGAGCGTTTCGCTCTACTCGCTCACATCCTTTTCATATGTTCATATGCATGTGCATGCCCATCTGTACTCGTCAGCCGTCTTGGATCCCCCCGTCGACTTTGGTGGTACACTCCCGTGCGAATATTTATCTTCCCGTATCTCCTTCTGTCTGGCTTCGCCTTCGTTATCCTTGCCTCTCTGTGTGTTTCTGTTCAGATTATTTTGTTTCTTTGCTTTATAGTAATCCTATCGCGTCGCGTGTCTCGACTGTCCATCCAATGGGGCGTCGAGGTAACCTATCTTTTTGTATTGGGGACCTTCGCGTATACACTGATGTCGCTTTGTATCTTTGGCCGCCCGGTCAGCACCATCGTCGTGCAGCATATCTTGGCAGCATATCTGATCCTCGAGGTAGCCATCTTCACGGCGATAAGAATTCTAATACTTGCTGGCCCCACCCTTGCCAGAAAGGGCTGGTGGTGCTGCTGCACAGAACACCTAAGACTCATCCAACACGAGCCAAACTGCGTCATCTACTCCAGGTACAACGATGGATCAGGTATAACCCCGCACTGACTCTGAGTGTAACGCTTAGGATCCAAGGTCTAGAGCTGCGAATCTAGAGTACAGCATTTAACAGACGCAGTTCAAAATTGTTGCTTGTTTCAGCTTTGTTTGGCAGCGTCCACTGCGTGTTGGCGATCTGCTGTCTCCACTGTTTGGCGAGGAGCCTGCACAACGCGTGGCAGAAATTTGGGAGGCGAGTCTCCGTATGGTATGTCGGCAGCATCTGCTGCAGCAACAAGAAAAAGAATGCAGCAAAGCAGAGAAGCACTCAGGAAGAAGCAGCAGCTGCAGCAGCTGAATCAATATCAGACCCAGCGAGAGGAGACAAGCCTCGACTGTCTCTGACGCGAATGCTGGGGTCCTTTGAGGCCCCTGAGTGGGCAATAGCAGCAACAAATAGTGCTGCCGCTGCCGCTGCTGCTGCCGCCGCTGCTGCTGCTGCTGCCGCGGCAGTAGCAGCAACAGCAGTGAACGCGAATGAAGCCTTTTTTCAGTCCCCTGTAGATAGGTTCTCGTATCAATTGAGGTACAAAGGAGCTGTGGACAGTAAGGGGAGACCCCATGGATACGGCGAGTGGCTCGAGGATCATGAGCTTGGTGAACGGCTGAATGTCGGGAGTCACATAAAGACACGAGACCAAATACATACATACATATATATTATGTTCATATATCTGTCACCGAGAATAAATTTTTTCAGATGGCCAAATTCAAGCGAACATCCCCTACCCCCTATTTCAGATACGCTGTATATAGCTGTTCAGCTTTATCACGTATTATTTCTTCCTCCTTCCACGGTTATCTCACTCTGCCTGTTGTGCGCCTCTGAAGCGAATAAGAGGGAGCACATATAGACCAGGATGTGTCTCTCTACATGCCGTGTTGCGCTTATATAACTGTTTCTACTCTTCCATGCTATGCACCCGTCTTTCTGCCCCTTGTGTGTGTCCTGGCTTCCTTGGATTTGTTATCCACTTTTCGTTCTCTCTTTAATCCTACCGCTTCTTGCGCTTGGTGTCTACCACTTCGGTCTACGATTCCCCCTTCTTTTGTGTGCAGGGGCTTTGGGTACATGGGATCCCAGTGGGTCCTTTTGTGTCTCAAGAAGTGGGGAGCGGCTCTTTATTTGTTTCTGCTCGGGTTGGCTTCTGTTATTCCCATCTGGATGCGTCGCTGCCTTCAATGGCTTCCAGCAGTCGCATCCTGTTTGGTGTCACGACGACAGAAACAAGCATAAGCGGTCGCTTTTTCCGTGGCTTGCCTCGAACCCGCTTTCTTGATCCTGAAGCTGCACGGCTCCTCCTAGACACGGAGACAGATGGCTGCCTCCCAGAGATCGAGTTGCAGCGGCTCCTTAGTTCTCTTCTCCGCAAAAGGGTCGAGGAATGCCATGGCTTTCACACGCCTCAGTCGTGCCTCCGTCTGCTGCAGCATCACATGCACATGCAGTTATCTGCCTCCTGCGCGGCTCCAGAGACAGAAAATGCCCTGGAGGTGCATATCGACAGACACACGAAGGGCATTTGCATTCCCGGATACGAATACGTGGGCAGAAAAAAAAAGGGACTCCCGCAGGCGGGAGGAGCCCCTGCAGAAGAAATCCCTTATCAGGTCCTCATCGTGTGTTCAAATAGACAAAAAGGCCTCGGTGCTTCCTCAAAAACCACTCATCGGCAAAGAAGACAGACGGTCGCCTTCTCTCCAGCGACAGCTGGGCACATAGCCTCCAAAGTAAAGTTCCACGGGGGCATTGCTGACTCCCACGAGGACGAAGGCCCCTGGCACTCCAAGGAGGAGGAAAACGAAAAGATCGTCAGGAACCAGAGACACTCTGAAGAAGTAGCTTCACAGCACTCTGTGTTGGAAGTAGAAGCGGAGAGAGCGGTGGAAAGGCTCGAAAATCGTCTCAACAGGAGTGTCGGCAATTGCAGCAAAAGCGGTAGCAAGAGCGCAGAAGCTCCAACAGCAGCGTTGCAGCTGGATAACGAAGCTACCTGGAGTTGGTGTGATGAGGAGGTGGATGGCATGCCGCAGAGATCCCCCACCCTCCTAGAGCCTCCGGCAACTAAGCATGCGGGCGCCTCTCGGAGAAGGAGCAGGGGGGCCAGACCGACTACCCTCCTCCACAGGCAACGCAACAAGTCAAGTGCTGCATCACAAATGAGACGCCATGAAGGGACTCCAAGAGTTGCGGAACTCTTCGAAGATGAGGACGAGGCAAGGCGATGATGTTTCAGGCGCTCACTCTCTTGTCCTACACGCTACACTTTCACTGGCTCTACCCTTCAGCTCTTGCCGTGTCGACTATCGTATCGAGGTTCCAGTGGTTGTGGCATCGTGCGTGCCATTGTCTGTTCAGTGGCAGCGCAACCGCGCTTTGCTGACAGAGAGAAGGGGGCAGCTGCTGCCATTGGGTTGGCAGGAAGTTGGATCAGAGAGTGACACCGCAGTGATTTACATTCACGGGTTCAACGTGACCTTGGAACAGGTAAGGAAACGCGATCTTCTTGCTACTAGCTCTTCGTTCCCTCACAGTGCTCATTCAGAGCACGCCGAAGGGCATTAAAATGTTGGCGGAAAAATGAAGGGAGAGAGCTACGCGTGCCAGCAGGAGCTGCAAAAGCAGGGAGCAAACGCTGGGAACAAAGAGAGCAGTTAATGAGTGGAGGCTCTATTCTTTTCAGTCCCTAGTTTCACGTGATAGGGCGATCGGTGTTCGTGTTTGTTTTTGTTGGGCCCCTTGCTGAATTGTTTCAAGGTTCCTTGTATATATTTTCTTGTGTTCCCTCTCGTGATGTGCAGGCGTGCTCGCAGTTGGCCCACCTCTTCTCGTTTGCCCGGATGCCGTCCTATTTGTTGCCCTTTGTGTTCTCATGGAAGGGGGTCTATGGGGGTCCCCTTTCGATGCTGGGTTATGCCCCTTCTAAGAAAACAGCGGAACACAGACTAACAAGTAACCGACAGCCATTCAAAACGACACGTCACCCTAATTAAAAGCAGCGGCAGCGAGAGGAATGAGTGAGGAGGTGATGAAAGGGCTAATCAGTAGTAGCAGGAAGGGGTAGGAAGGCAGAATAAATGTGACGCATGGAGAGACACACACAATGGATATATATCTATACATATATATGTAGGAGCAATGAGGGGGGACACTCTCTTTCTGCACACATTTTCCGCTAAACCAAAACTGACTGCTTATACGAACACGCATGTGACGCGCATTTTGAACCCTACCTCATCCTGCCCTCACTACCGCCTAACGCGTTCCTTTTGTGCCTTCTTGCATTTCAGGCGACAGCTTCAGGGAATTCCTCCTATCGCTGAATCAAGCAGGCATAAGAAAGCTTCACCTCATCTCACATTCCGCTGGAGCCCGAGTGCTTCACGCCGGCCTTGCCAAGTGTGTAGACACAGGGTAAGAAGAGACACATGCATGGATAACCTCAATGTCTTCTTTTTGGCCTGGCTTCTCTGCACTGGGGTGTAGCATCTATTCGTCTTGCGAAGGAGGGGGAGAGAGGGAACGTGTGTAAGGGGGGCGGAAATTGGGGCATTTTCATGTGCTTTTACCTTTTGAGTGCTGCTGCTGGCGACAAGGCTGCTTTCTGCAGCGTTCGCCTTGTATTGTTCACTCTTAAGTACCCGAAGAAGTCCACTGCTGCCTTGCTTGCCCGACGCCTCACTCTCTCTCTGCAAGCATCCGATCTTCAAATGTCGTGAGTCCTGACGTTGGCACGCTTTTTCCTCCGGTGCTGCTTTTTTTCAGAGGCATCCTTGAGCTGCTGGAGGAAACGACGCCCCAGGAGAGTCGCCGAGACAGCAGAGAGAGGCCACGCCTCCTAAGAGTCCAGTCAATAACAATGCTAAACCCAGACTTTCCGCTCGCCAAGTTTTTAGAAACAGGGTACTCCCTAATCCGCAGTCTGTGCTCCTTCATCTCCATTTACGGCGATACACGAGACCAGGTAGGAAGGGGCACAGCCACTCTCATAAGTCTTGTTTGTAATCTTCCGAACGGGCATGTAAAGGCAGTGACCACACCGCATCCTTGCTTGCAAGTTGGACACACGGGTATGGGCCTCCATAACAGACGAAGGAAAGCATTCTTGGTTCCCTGAATCCGCATCTACGTACTTCTGCCTCTCTTCTATACCGCTTGTGTGTGTGAGTGGCTCTGCCTAACACCGCAGGCCCTTGCTTTCTCTGAATTGTACAACAGAGAGCTTTGTATGGGAAAACGCCTCTTCTGCTTCCGGTCCAGCCTACAGCTCGAGAGCAGCAGGAGCAGAAACAAGCATCCAAAGAAAATTGACCTGAAGGAAGAAGGAAAGACAACAGAGCACAAGCCCCCCGAAGAGAAAATTCTTGCCGATGTTGCTCCTTCCCTTGTTGCTGAAGATACTGCGGGTGGGTGCATCCTTTCCTGGCATGATCATTACAATGCGAAATGCACAAATACGATGCCAGTAGTTTGCTGCTGCATGAAGAAGTCTTAGAGGTCGGCGAGCAACCAAAAACACCCCACAACGTTGCGTATGCATATGGACGCGCTGCTTCCATTGTAGGGAGCTGGCCCTGCGAAAACGAGGGCCTCGGTGGAAACCCAAAACGGCAGAATCATTCTACGTTTTTAGGAGGTAAATACACTGGCAGAGAGGTGGGAGGGGAGAGAGAAAGCGGCGACTCCAATTGGCTCGATATCGACATCATCGATACAACATTCGTGGAGGGCCACATTGATTTGCTCAAGTGAGATAACAAGGCATATGATGAAAAGCGCCCTTTATTGTCTAAGTTACATGCACACACGACGATAGACAGTATAGCAGCTTTGCTCCTTTTTCCGCTATCGATATAACTGTGGACGCGGTATCGCAGCTACACTCTCGTGCATATTTAATGTCCCTGCGACTACGAAATTTTCTGCTCTATATAGACATTCCTTCTATCAAATCAACCGGGAAATCGTCGATGACTTGCGGGAAATTATCGTCAACGGCGTTAGGGCCCACGCAAGGGTCTCACGACTGGACAGGAGAAGAGGCAACGTCTTCTGCTTCAGGGTTGCACCTGCATCGGTGAAGAGCCTCTATGGATAATGCGGAACGAGAAAAAATGGCACCGAAGGCAGCAGCTACAAGGAAATGATGTGCTTCCGCTGTGTGTGTAGAGTGAGTGTAGGCGGATTTAATCGTTGGAGGTGTTTTGGGTGCTGGTTTGCTCACTTGCTTATAGATGAAAGAGACGTCGAAAACGGGGAAAGAAGGAGGTACTGGCAGACTCGCTAGGCAAGCCGGCTAGGCGAAAAAGGACTGAGCAACAGCCTGCACCTGCTGTCGTGTGTTTCCATCACGACGTTTCCTAGGTTGCTTGATTTCCTTTTGAAATGGATAACCCTAATAAAGGAACAAGCGTTACATCCATCTCTTTCCTCTAATTCTTTCTATGCGTTCATCATTCTATTGATCTCTATGCGTGCAAAGGGAAGTAAACGCCAAGTTCTTTGGCTACCCATCTTGCCTGCCCGTTCGAGACACGTAGTGGTGTAGCCCTCTCTAGCCCGTCAGCAGATGGTATCTCCTCATCTCAAATGTAACGACTCCTTTACTTCACGAGTACACTTCATTTGTAGAAGCATCATGCGTCGTTCGTAACACTTCGCGCAGTTTCTGAAAGCAGGGGCCTCGAGTGGCGAGCCCTCGAGTTGAGTCTGCGGGCGCCGTTTGGGCTCACTCTCTGCAGCAGACACCCTCCTCTCCTGCTTCCAGAGAGCCAAATAAAAGTCTCTTTGCCTGCTTGAGCGTTTTAAAATGCAGTTTTGGCGCCAGATAATTATTTTACCTTTCCGTTCCCCTAAGGATCCCTGCCGTTAGGGCCCCCCACAGATTAGCGCTCTGGGAAGGGTCTCTCCGTCTACGGCGCGGGCACCCCTTCCTCCCGCCTGTGCCCCCTGCGCCCCTTGTCAAAAATATGGCTTCCTTCCGGCTGCCGTTGAAGCCTCATCGGTGGGCCTCTGTCGGAAGGCGGTCCCCAGGCGCGAGCACAGGATTGGGTGCAGTGCCTGCTTCGAATGCTGCATCTCGATCGAGAGGCTCTTCTCCACAAAAGGTCACATCAAGGGCTCCTCACGGGGGCCTGCCATCCTTGCGCTGGCGCGGAAACCCCACCAGGGAGCTTGTAGGAAGCTGCAAGGGGAACAGGCACCTTGGCACAGTGGCGCACTTCGAAGGGCCCCCTACTCTTGGGAAGTTTCCAGGGTCGACGGTTGGGCAAGATGATGCAGGAGAGCCCTTGATCTCCAGAGATCCTTCTGGGGAGCCTCTTCCCACGGCTGAACTAGCAGCCCTAGTCGGTGAGGGCGCTGGAGGAGGCCCTCAAGGAAATCCTCTAGAGGCCTCCAGCGACGGTCTCTCTGGAGCCCCCAAGGCGGCCATCCCCTCCGTGGTGCACGCAACCTCCGCGCAGCTCTACGAGAGTGGGGTTTGCCTGGAAATGGACCGTTTGATTGGGAGCTGCATCGAGGTAGAAGATGTCCTCCAGCTGCTCGTTAGCCATAGGGGTGCCTTGTACGTGCAAAACCTCGTCACCGCCATCAAAGCACTAGCCGAGCTGACAACGAGGGCGGGACCTCAAGACACGGCAGGTGGTGGGAAGAGGGGCCCGCTTAGGGAGCACGGGGCTGAAGTTGGGCCTCAACAGCAACGGGAGGAGGAGCAGCAGCACCCGCATCCCCAGCAAGAAGACCAGTGCGAAGAGAGCAGCCGCGCTCATTCGAGTACTGCACTACAAGGCCCTCGTATGAGGGGCCCCCAGCCCCCTACGTGGCCGCGAGACGGCCGTTCCTTCGCTGCCTTCTTCGCCGCCCTTTCCACGGAGGAAGCTCATGCAGAACGGATTCACTCCCAGCGTAATGAAGCAGAGGATCTCCTTAGAGACCCGAGGTAAGAGCGGATAAGCCTGGGCAGTCTGTTTCCTCCAGCATACCGCCCGCCCTGCCTCGCTCTCAGCCTCTTCTGCATTCTTTCCCAACTCGTGTGTGCCACCACTCCCCTACTCCCCGCCCCCCATCTCGCACCCTTTCTCCTCGCGCGCTTGATCTTGCGATCTCCGCTCATTCGATTCACAGTCTTCATCGATCACCTCCCCCTCCTGGGTATCTGCATGGCGCTTGCAGGTATCACCTTCTTCTTCAGGATTTGAGGACGCATCGTCGTCTCCTTACCTTTCAGGCAGCCGCAGAAGTCGCCCTCTCTCTCAGGGCCCTTCGGCATCCGCATTACCCCCTACTCTCTGCCCTCATTCCTCCCCTGACGAGAGGAGCACTCCCAGCGCTAGGGGGGGGCCCTGTCTCGGCGGGCGCTGAGGACACCCTTCCCAAGCGGCCCTTAGGAGCGACACATGTCCTTCAAATGCGGCAGCAGATTCATTTGCTCCTCGCAGTTGCCAACGTTTACAAGTGGGCCGGATATGCCCACTCCCCCTTCTTTGACAGGGTCGCTCGCATCCTTATGGCGGCTCCTGGGAGGGCCGCCCCTACGCTAGAGCCTTCAAGGGCGGACGCTCCAGAACATCCCGAGGGTCCCGACGCAGCAATGCAGCAGGGAAGAGTCGCTGAGAACAGGACAGAAGCAGCGCATAGAAGGCAGCCGTCGCAGGCACCTTTGGGGTTTGCTGAGGCACACTCCGCTGGTCCCCCACGGGAAGGGGTCTCTGCTGCTGAAGTGCTCCGGTACAGCCCCTCGTTACTCTGTGCCTCTCTAAGAGTTTTATCTTCTGTCACTCTTACCGATGCGCGTGCCCTTGGGGTTCTTTGTGCGGAGGGGGCCCGGGGGGCCCCCCTGGCATCTGCCGCGGATATCACGGGAATGTCCGTGGCTGCATCCATGGGGGCGCCCCGGGCCCGTGAAACTGTTGCTTTGTTGGAGGCAGTCGCTGAAGAGGTGCGCCGCCGCCCTGAGTCCTTTTCCCTCTCCGAGTTGTCTCACTGTGTCTCGTCTTTCCGTCGTGCACTCCTGCATATTCCTTCTGCGGCGGCCTCTCTGACGTCCAGAGCTACATCCCATTTGCAGTTGGCAGCAAGGACCAGGCAAAGGGCCCTTCTGTCTCCTGACACGATCTGCACCCTTCTGAAAGACATTGTCTTTTTTTCCGATCCCTTGGAGACGGACGGGAGCCTTCTTGGGGGTCATGCCCCCGCTGAGGCCAGCGACCCCTCTGAACCTCATGCACAGGAGAGACCGCAGGAAGCCCGCTGTGGCCAGAAAACTCTTACCGAGCCGCCATTAAGGCCCCTTTTAGATGCTGCAGTCGGCTACTTGGAAGAGGGAATTGATGGGATCACCCCAGGAGCGGCCGCTGATGCGGTTTTTGCGTTATCTACAGTTCCGGGGGCTCCAGGTAAGGAAGACGATACTTCCTTCCCACATGGCAGTCATGCACGTGTCTCCGACAGCAGAATGAGGCTTAGCACCAAAGGCTCGATCGCGTTTTCTGCTCTTGTGCTATTTAATCACGCAGAACGCTACGAGTACTTGTTGTCCTTCTTGTTTCGAAAAGTTGGAAGAGATACGTCGTGGGAGAAGGCGAAGGAGGAAACGTTCTGGATCTTCCTGTCTCAAAAGATCCTCTTTCCGTGGCTCCCGCATGAATTGCACCCCAGATGCGTTCGTGAAGGTGGGCTGACGAAAAGAAAATAACCCTGACGTGCTGCCCTTCCTTCGTCTTCTTTTGATGCACTTGGGTCACAGCGTCTTTCTTTGCGCGCTACTCTCTCCCTGGGTGACGTCATTTTCCTTGTCATCTTGTGCCTCTCTAAATGTACCGTATTGCTGCTTTCCCCGGTTAAGAAAAAATGGCCTCCTGCTGGTACAGCTGCCGCTTGTGCACGTGCTGGCGTTGACCTGTCTACCAGTGCTCAGCAAGTGCTGGTGCTGTCCCGGCGGCTACAGTTGGTGTACAAGCTATGTTCCTGATGATGCTGCAGGGCTACGTGCGTGGTGCGTTTCTCGTGGCGGCTTGGGTTGTCCTTTTCCATGCGAAGTGTCTGAGGCTTCTTCCCTGCTTCGGGCCCTTGGGGTGCAGCACCAAAAAAGGATGCCCGTCAAATACAGCCCCTATGAGGCCGATATTGTCCTAAGAGCTGCAGACGGTTCCTTGTCGGGTAGGAATTCATGGTACCTCTGCGAATGCGAGCGCTGGGGCTACTGGACTTGGGCTTGCCTTTGTCACCGCTGTTTGCGACGGCTCTGTTTCTTACCTTTGTTTTAAGCTGCAGCTTGTCGTCCTGTTGTTGTCGCTGACTTCTGGCTACTTTTCAATCATCATCTATTTCACGTTCTTCCTTGCAGTACACTGTCCACCATGCTCTGCTCTCAGCCTTGCTCGTGACGGACGACTGCGCCCGCAATTCTTTTTCCCTTTGTGGGGGGGCTCACCTACTGTCGACTCACCTCAAACACTTGGGCTTTTCTCGCGTGCTCGGCATCCCCAGAGGACCCTGGCGAATGGCTAACAGTGAAGGCAAGAAGCAGATCCTAATTAATCGCCTTGCAGCATTGGAGGGGGCCACCGTCAACCAGCAGCAGCGGCAGCCTGCTGGAAACGCATCGCAGGGAATCTCCTCTACTACCATGCAGAGAACTGCGTAGACGCTATCTTTTTAAATGCAATCATTGTCAACCACAGACCGCCGTTTTGTTAACCTTATAAACTTTTGATATCAGCGCAGTGGGCCGCTTAGCGTTCCCATAATGGCACTCTCTCCTTCTATCTTGTCCAGGCTAAATCGGTTATTACTTATTGCTTCCCAAGATTTTCCTCCCGCCGGCTATTCCACACAAGGTTCCTATCCAAGGAGGGAATGGCAGCCTGAGTTTATGGAACGGAACATTCTGAGCCCTGCCGGCAATCTCACATTGCACTGTTGACTCCAAACTCTCAGCGTACAATATTATTGTCTTCACACGTGGGTACAACAGAGTTGATGCAATCACACGAACAAGTGTGGTAGCTGCTTCTGCTTCTGCTTTCGCTAGTGGTGGTACTGCTGGTAGTGCTCTTATTGCCGCTGCCGTTTCTGCTATCCCTGCGAGGCAAGCTCTGCAGCATCAATAGTCCAAGCAAGAGCAGAGTATTGAATCCACTATTCGCTTCACATTTTTAAAAGCAAGATCCAGGACTAACGGCTATTGTAGCTGGATCCCTTGGATTTAGCATGTAAACTTAAGGGTTAGAGCACTGTTAATGGTGTGCAGCGCAGTACTACTGTATAAAATTATTGTTCTGCGCAATTCTGGTCATCAACCAAGTCTGGAAATCCTTTATGACAGGATGCTTGAATAAGTGTATCGGGGCGCCTGAAGCCGCGGCCGCTGGTGAGGACGATACTAAGGATTTGGAAGGGTAAATGGATGTAATTTCTGCAGCTATACCTCAGCTCATCGTACTCTAGAGCATCCACCACCTACGGTTTTAGAGCCCTCCTGGCTGTATCACTATATCATGCTTCCAGCAATCTCAAGAACCTCGTTCTGTCTTGACCGCCGAAATCACGAACTTCCAACTTGCCGAGGTCGGAACCGTTCTCGCCCACATGCTCCTGCTTGCTAGGGTAGGCGTTGGAAGAAGATATACTTCTGATACTTAGATGGACTGGGATCCTGCCAGTTTGGCGGGGTGTGAGAGTTACAAGGAGAGTTGTGTGGTATCCAGTAGATGAGCGAATTTGTAGGCAATTCTCCAAACATGAAAAAAAGATAGTGCACAGAGACATGTTGAATAATCGAAAATATTAATGCATTAGCAATGCGCAAGGGTGGCTCATTTTGCACTCCTTGGAAGCAATTCGACCACTCGCTATGCAGCAGTCGTGGGACTCACCTTTCCAGCTATCAATGCTATCATTATCGATTTAAAGAAGTGACTAGGGCCCTAAGCAGCAAACGGCATTATGTGTGTGAAATTATTATAAATAGACCGAAACGGAAGCAGGATTGAGAGAACACATTGGAGCAGCAGTACGACCGATCCATGGTGGCTCTCGCTCACACTAAACTGCCACATTGGGGGAAGCAAAAGAAGTGTTCGCTCAGGCATTTAGGAACGCTTTGCTCTTACCGGGACTTTATAATTTTAATCATCCATTTGTTGTCTTCATCCCCCAAACTAGCCGGCACTAGCTCCTAATTCTCTGCTCTCGAAGCACCAGCAGCAGCAGCCGCCATGGCTACTGGTTCGTCTCGATTGAAGGACAAGAGCAGCCACTCTTCCTCCCGTCTCCCGCTTCCCTTTAAAGCAAGAAGCAGGAGTGCATTGCTGCTTGTGTATTTAAAGTCAGTAGCAGTAAGCGAGAAGAGTACTACGAAGGAAGCAGCGCCCTTCTTCCTGTACCACGAGCAAGCAGCTCATGCTGCTTGACCTGCGCGCCCTTTTTCTCTCATTTTCCCCTTATCTAGAGGCTTTCGAGGGGCCCCCAATGTCGGCTTGAGGAAGAAATTCATTGTTTTCCCCAGTGCATTGCCCTAGGGGTATCTGTAACGTGCAATGCTGATGACATCACCGGGGAGCCCGCCGGGGAGGCGGTGGCTTCCCACAGGGCCTTGGCCTTTATCTATTATGCTCTCCTCTCTAATACTCGCAGTGCTTGTCAGTCTGTCTCCCTCCTGCACTCTCCATGCAGGAGCGCTTCCGGTAACTCCTCCTAGTGGGGGGTCAAGCTTCGTTGCGGGACCGGGTCCTACCCCTCGCCGTCTCCTCATTGGTTGGACGATCCGGCGGTTCTTTCTCACCAAAATGCCCGAGTCGCTGTTGGCAGAGAGATCACGGTCACTGCGGCTGATGGCTCCAGGGTGCGACTACGGCATGCAGTTCCTTTATTCAGCTGTCCTAGTCGCTGGCAAGCATTCTGGCTCACGTTCTTCCTTGATTGACACAAGTGTCGAGGACATTTTGATTGCATTTTTCCGTCTAGCGAATCTGGAAACCACCAGATTTCCTCTCCAATGGTATGCTATTGAAAATGCACTCAAACGCTCACATTCACGGGCAATACAAGTGGCCTTGAGGCGGCAGCAGGCCGAGCAGCAAGACTATGACAGTGATCCCAATAGAGAGAAGCCACTGGAAATCACCGTACCTGAGTTTACTTGGTTGCTAGGTCAGCAGGTGAGAGAATCAGAGTGGTTTTTTGATGGGAACACATTTCATAAACGAGGAGATTGCTCAATCCCTGAAAAGCTAAACGACCATCATTTGGGATTCATGAAGAGCCTGCCATTCAATGTACTTAGAGTTGCCCGCGGAATCGAAAGAGAAGAACCAAGCAAGACAGTGGCGCACCTTCTCGACGAACTCGCGCAGCGCGGCATCAAAACGGCGAGCGCCTTTCTTCTTAAAACAAATTTTTTGGATATACTGGTTTCCACCAGTGTGATTGATGAGACATTTCTGCAGCTGGATATTTTGTCAGAGTACATCTCGAACTGGGAAGCGTTTAAATCAAAAAAAGTTGTTCCTCCTTCTATTCCCTTTGGAGCTTCCACCGACATCTTGAAGACCCTTATGAACAAGAAGTCACCGAAAGAGAAGTACCCAAAGTGCCCCACTATGAGGTGCTACGTTGAAAGTGTCTGGACTCAGAGAGCAGAGCACCCCCTAGACAAGGATGCGAGACAGAAACAGGAGGAGGAAAAGAAGCCAAAGGAGCAGTCTAGCGAGTCCTTTGCAGAGCTCACGATTAGGAAGAAAACCGCTAACTCTCTCAAAGTGGTCGCCATAGGAAATACAGGACACGAAACTTTTCACAAGAGAAGCAGAAAGGTGTGGGACCGAGTCAAGAGCTTGCTAAGAGCTGATGAATTTATGGCCACGGTGGAGGCAATGAAGCAGTGGCATCAGAGGGAAGGCACAGATATTGCATTAGGGATAGGCGACTTTCTCAGTGAGCCTGGCATGCTCTCCGTCAGAGAGCCGGCGTTCAGGGAGAAGTGGCACGATGTCTTCGTCAAGGTAAAAGTGAACTTCTTATAGCACGTGTCGCTTCCTTTTGCCGCTTATCGTTTACACCCACGGGTCTCTCTCTGTTTCATGCAGTGTATTTTTCTGCCCCTTGTGTTTTCTTCTATCGTGCTAGCCGTTCTACCTTATGAAACGGCGCTTTGCTTCTTGTGGGAATGCGCGACGAAGTCGAGTGGGCCGCGGTAGAGCGGTGTCTCGGGGTGTCATTTCTTTCCTTATGGTATTCACGTGTTCTGCGTCTATATCGGGCTCCCGTGGTGTGGAAATTTACTCCTCAGGAAGCGGGATTGAATATTCCGTGGTATATGGTGAACGGCGAAGCAGAATCTATTCTAACCCCATCGGCTTCTTATCGGTACCATTATACGAGGCAGGACGTGAACTCTCACAAACCAGACTGGCTACACAAGGCCGTCATTACGATGGTCGCCAATCTTACGAAGGCAGATGGGGGAGCCGAAGACCAGGAATTCACTGTTCACCTTATTTCTATCGATACCTGGGCTCTCTTTGGCGGAACACCATTCTGTAAGAAAACGCATTTATTCTGTTCTCAACCAATTTCTGCTTTCACTATCGTTTTTACTTGGTCTCCTCCCTAGAGATCATGCATACCAGAGCAAATGCCCGAAGAGTTCGCTTTCGTACTTACACGATCATTGCGTACATAAGCTCCTTGCATTTTGAATTATTTCCTTGATTGGATCTTCATAGTTATCCTGCCACTCGCACCATCTACTCATTTACAATCTTCCACTATTTTCTCTGAGCTGCGTTTTTTTCATAGCTACTTTTTCCGTTTCTTCCTCACTATTCGCTCCATTGCAATTCCTCTGTATTCCAATTCTTCCACCACACTGCCCGCCTCTGCGGTGTTTGCTCAGATGATAACTTGGGGCACTACCAGGATAACATGATTGCGCTCAGCAATGCGTTGTTCCATTCTGCAAAATCAAAGGCAGACTGGATTATCGTGCAGGGTCACTATCCTTTAACATCTACTGCACCAGAAGCCGAAGAGGCTCGCTTCTCGTACATTGATGACATGGTGAAGAACGGCCGACCCAGGGGCCCTGAACACCGGCTTGTTGAGTTGTTGACTGCCTACCAAGTAGATGCTTACGTATCAGCCCACGACCATGCTCTGGAGTATCTGACAATGTCCGACTTGGATAAAAACAGCACTCTTGCATTCATCACCAGTGGAGGCGGAACACGCATCATGAGTGGTATTTTAGGGAGAGGCTGGATGGGGGTCATCCGGGGCAAACTCTTCCCAGTTCTCTGCTGGTCGGGTAAAAGGATTTTCTACAAACTTGACCCCGGTGGTTGCAAGCCGTCAGAAAAGGATCAGGCGCTAGCGTACAAATTTTACGCACCACAAGGGCCCAATTGGAAGATTAGTGTGAAGGAACGGATCTTGAACACTGTGGGCTTCGCTTCAATGAAGATAACGAAGGACTTTCTCATTGTTGATTTCATAGATAGCAGAACCGGCAAAAGAACTGGGAGAAAGCTACACAAACAGACTAATAGAGATGCACGTGCCATCAAATTCATTGACTTCTGGGAAGATGCTGATTTGAAGTATAAGGAACTCGAAATTGATCATGCAGCATTTGAAGAAGAAAACCGCGAAAGAGTGGCAAGTGAAATTGCGTTTCAAACGAGGACCCCAATTCTGTCAGAGAGGGTGAGGCTTTACGAGAAGGAGCTTGTCAACATGTACAACGAATACCAGCAGCTGAAAACTAAGAAGGCAATGTATGAGACCCTCACTGCTCAGAAAGCTGCGGCACTTGAAGCACAGGGGGAGAACTTGAGAGAATCAGCACTTAGCGAGGGTATGTATGAGCAGACTGAGCGAATCATGGAGCTTATGTACGTTATCGCTGCTGATCACACATACCTGTGGTCCAGGTACGAAGCCTTGAAAGCACAGAGAAAGCTCCTTCCTGCTCATGACAACCAGCAAGCAGAGGCAGTGCTCAAACTAGAAAAAAGGCTTGCTGAGGTCAAGAAAGAGAGAAGAGACATACATAAGAAATGCATTGAACAGGGATATTCCCCAAACGCGACTGATGCGGAGCAGATTAGGGAGCTGGCTATGAAAGCACGTATCTTGAAGAACGACATTCAAGAGCTTGAAAGCCAGATGGACAAACAAGCTCAGGAAGGAGCCCCAGCACAGAAACCAGCAGACGAAGAGACCGTGGACGAAGTTGAAATCAAACCTGTTAACATGACATTAGAGGCAAGGATTGAGAGGAGGAAGAAGCAGCTTGCAGATCACAAGAGCATAATGGAGGAGGTTGAGAAGCTTCCTGCCGGAGAAAAAGAAAAGCTCAGGAGTCACCTTGATATGATGCAGAACCAAAAGAATAAATTGATGGTGGAGATAGAAAAGCTCGAAAGTATTCTCAGCAGGAAGGGGTGGGCGGCCGACAGGAGGCCGTCGGAACTATGGGAGCAGCGGTTAAAGCAGTTTGATCTGGAGCAAACTTTGAAGCAGCTGCGTGCATACAAAGCTTCTATCATTGGCCTTCCCAAGTCGCAGACAAGAGCCAAAGACCTGAGTGGCGGAGTCATCAACATCGATTTGCAAATATTAGAGCTGGAGGAACAGCTGTCGGATCTGAGTGATGAGCTGCTCGGCACAGAAGAGACACCGCTGCAGGCACGATTCAAGCAGGAAATAACAAAGTTGCGGGAACTAAACGTGCTGGCAGAAAGCAGGGCGACGCTCCCGCCAGAGATGCTGGAAGATCCGGTGGTGAGGAAGACTTTAGAGGACGTTGAGCAAAAATTAGTTGTAATACAGCAAAATGTCGAAGTCATAGATGAAGAGATGCGAAGGGAACTGAGTGCTCAAGATGAAGCATGGATCAAACGGATGATTGTTAGAGGGGCAGACATGAAGGAGCTAGCCGAGGAGTTCTCTATTGACATTCAGGCTGTAGTTGAAGAAGACGAAAAGGCACGGAGAGAAGATCCGCAGAGACAGCTCACTTGGCTAGCTGAGCAAGAGTGGATAGTGCGGCAGCGGCTTGCGAGGTACGCGAAACTGCCCCCGAACCAGGCAGAGAGGTATGTCGAGGAGAGAACGCGCCTGCAAGCCAGGCTTACTGAGCTCTTACGGCTGAAAGATGAAGCCGAAGGAGCCCTGGCGGCCAAACAAGCGGCGGATACGCAGGAAGACACGGCAGCACACGCAGAGCAGAAGGAACAAAAGGAGGACACCGACGTGAATGCAGGTCCCATTACACGGAAAGCTAAGAGGGACAATGTAGCAGAGGAAATCGAAACGGAGCAAAAGATTATTGCAGAGGCAAAGCGCGAGGACGAAGCGAGTGAAAAGATACAAGGGCAAAATGAATCAAGCGAAGAGGAAGTAAGCGAGGAGGCAGTAGACGGGTTAGAGGAAGAATTGCTGTTTTCAGATGCACAGGAGGTGGAGGAGGACGGGGATGTATCGCCAGATGGCGTGTCCGAGAATGCAAGAATTTCTCCAGATACATCAGAAACAACGTTGCATGAGGCTGACGACTCCCTCCTGGACAGCAGAGGTTTTGCTGATAGTCCCGGCGGCAAGGAATCCTCAAAGGAAGGTGGTAACGAAGTGAACGGAGCAGAAGAGGAAGGTCTGCAGCAACGTCGCCTTGCTGAGTTGCTGGAATGGTTCCAGCCAAAGAAAGAGGAGACTCCAGTGAAGGAGCTGCAAAAGATCGACCTGGGACCGAAGGACCCTTGCGAAGGCGATCCTATGCTATATGTTGTGGTGAAGAAGGCCATAAATGCAGAATATGGCGCGCAGTTCGCGGAACGGTGCAAGAAGGTTTTCGCTTCCCGAGCTCACAGGGCACAGCGACGGTTTTTGGGTCTAGTGGACGACAGCGGAAATCCTGGTTTTTATAATTGGCCGCATATACACATTGTGAGGGGATTCAAGTCTTTGTTTGGTACCACAAGGCTCGGTGCGTTTGCTGCGCTTATGAAAAGTATGAGAGAGAGAATGGAGGACATTAACAGCAAGATCGGCGTTGCCACGTTCGAGGACATACTGGAATCAGAAGAAACACTTGAGCAGACGGACCTAGAAGAATTTGTCGTGGTAGACGAAGACGCCGATTAAAAGGTTCGTTGGTTTTGACGATAGCCTGAAATATTGGGCGGACAAGCACAAGTGAAGATTGAAATGGAACTTCTCTACGAATTGGCATCCTAGCAAGCAACGGAATGGCGAATTTGTAGGTATCTAATCATACAGACATGGACATACTCGGCTTCATATGTTGACTTCACCACTTCACTATATTACCTTGCGGCTGCATGCCGGGCTGCAACAGCTGCATGAAGGAAGAAAGGCTCGACACGTAGAGGCAGCCCCTTCTTACAATATAGCGTAATAGCCTTTACTTGAGCTTTCTTGGATGTTTGCACTTCTCTCGGGAGTTTATTTCTCTACGCAGCCTATGACAATAACTCCGCGATGACTAGGCGCGTTGTTTTCCCTCAAGTTTTGTGTTCCTCGGGAAGTTTCCCCGATGTGCAGAGCCCAGGAAGCGTATAGCCCGCCTTCCTTCGTTTGCCAGTCATTCTTCAATCCTCGTATGATATTAACACCTTTATTTTCTCGAATTGCTCCTTGCCTCGCCCGTTTGGCACCTGGGCGACGGGCGGAAAGAGAGGGCATCACAGGAAGGCTAGGTCATTTTTTTTCCCGCGCCGCGGTTACCTGTTTGCTGCAGACAGGTTTCGTGAACATGGCCTGCCGGAAGGCCGTGAACAGACGTGGAAAAGCAGATTTGTTCTATATCGCCAGTTGCACCTCTCGCGGGCTACTGTCGCTGCTTAACAGCCTGAAATGCTAGTGGTACTCCACTGTCTCTAGGTCGTCATCTGCAGCGCCCGCTGAAAAAGCAGGCCAGCTGCCTCATAGTGTATCACCTAATTACAGGGCAGGGGTCACTAGCTTCCCTTCTCTCTTAATGTCTCTACTGCCTACACTGCGTGCACTTACACTGCATGACGACATCCTGACAAGTTAGACGCCTTCCGATGGAAACCACTTTAAAACCCATCTTACAAAGAATCGCCCAATAGCGAAACAGCTCGTTGGAAAACCGTGAGCGTTACAGCTGGCCAAGGCCCTTCTCTCTACAGGCAGAGAAGCCGTCACGCTCTAGAGGCTGGCAGTAAGGGAACGAACAGGTAGGCACACTGTCCCTTCTGCCCCATCTCAGAATACGAACGTTCTTGTCGTACTTTATAAATTGTTGCTTCTTCCAACAGTTTTTTTTACGTGTGTGCGACATCCGCAGACAGACGCACGGGCGAGAGGTCTCTCCTAAGAGGCTCGCGGGCGCAGGCCCCTCTGCATTCAGTTTGGCTTCCTCCGTCCGCCGTTTCCTCCAGTGCACCTTTGTCATGCGTCTCCTCTCTTTGTGCCTCTAGGCGTCTTACTTGCCTTTCCGTTTTACTGTCCAATGAACATACACTTTCCTGCTCAGAGTACATCTAACTTAGTGCACTTTTGATCTCCCAAACATTTTTTCTCTCTGCGTCCGGCCGGCCCCCCGTCAGAGGCCCTCCCAGACATACACCCACACGCACACAAAACCTTGTCCTCCGCCTTCCAGAACTCAAACGCGGCAAGGTTCCCGTAACACCCGTTCTTCTCTCCAAAACGCCGCGGCATCAGCGCAAATGGCGCGTGCCAATTCTATTCATGGTGTGGAACCCCGCCCAAACTCTCTAACAGAGAAATATCACGTGCTTTTCCCCAGTCACTTTGGACCTGAGGGAATAAAGCACTGGGTAAAACCCCTCCCTGTGCCTGCTCCTGCGACGGGTGGTTGGCTACTCCCATCATAAGCCCGTAGTTGAAATTGGTACTGCTGCTGGTGCAACGCTCCTGCTTCTGTCCGCCGCACACATTCTCGTCACCTCCAAAGTGCAGCGGCAGCAGCAGCTGCTGCTGCTGAAATTGCTGTTGTTGTTGCTGCTGAAATTGCTGTTGCTGCTGCTGCTGGAAGTGCTGTTGCTGCTGCTGCTGGAACTGCTGCTGAAACTGATGCTGTTGCTGTGGCGGAGGTGGCGACAACTGCTGTTGCTGTTGCAACTGCTGTTGCTGCTGCGGCTGATGTTGTTTGCCACCCCTTCTTCTCGATCTGCGCACTCCAAGAGTTTCATGGCTAGACGTTCCTGCGTCTTTTGAGTGCGGGGCCAAGAGCTTCGCTACAGCATCACAGAGGGTTGCTAGATCCGGAGCATGCAGGGCCGTTTCCTGCTGCTGCAGCTGTGCTGTCTTTGCAAACTGCAGGGTGTTCCACAGGCGGCAAAGAACTCCGTGCGGCAATTCAACTCCTACAGAAGAAGCCTGAAGCGCCAACTGTCCGGCTAATACAGGGGCTCCGTTGCTCATGCATGCAGCGATCAGCGCGGTGCACACGTAGCCATCTATGGCGAAGCCAAAGTGCGCAGGCAGCTCATTCGCCAGTTCTAACGCGCGCTGCAGGTTGTTGCATTTCCCTACATGCGAACGCAAGAGGATACACGCAAGCGTGGCGGTAGGGGGGCTGGAAAAAATGTGTGTGCTAGGCGGGAGGCTGACAACGCAGGACGCACGATCGCATGAAGGGTCGGGGGTGGGAATAGTGAAACTCGCTAGACGCGCCTCTCGAATACTGAGGGGAAGGGAAAGATAACAGTTGCGCTCTCACCATATAGCTTGATGCATTGACAGAGTGTGTAACTGCTGGGTGGCACACTGGCCTCTTGCATCAGCGTGAGGAGATGCTCAACAAGTTGAGGATTCTTTCGCGTAGCCGCTCCCTGAATTAAAGTATTGAAAACGATAGCGTCCGGTCGAATGCCATACCTCTTCTGCATCTGCTCAAGCAAAAGCAACGCCTTCTCTAAAGGGGCGTCTCCTGGATAACAGCACAAGCCCTTGATCACAGTGCTATACGTGATCTGCGAAACCACGCAGCAGCAGAGGCGCAAGCGACAAAAATGCATGATGCGGGGGCACAAGAAAGTCCAACTCTTGCACAGCAGCCTCGGCCTGCCTGCACTCTCCGGGGAGCAACGCATGCAGTGCCGAAGCAAACGAGTCTGCAAATAGGCCTTGCGCTGGCTTACAAGGTCTGGCGTAACAGCTTCTTGGTTCTCCATATCACTGAAGAGCCTCAAGGCGTCTGCCATGCGCCCATTCGTGACGCAAAGATGCAGGAGAGCATTGAAGGAAATTGTGTTCAGGACCGCCTGTGGTTGCTTAACCTTTTCTCGATCTCTTTCTTTGCCGCCCCCAGCCGCGCCTCCCCCCCTGTTGCCACCCCCACCCCGGGATGGAAGGCAGCTCGCTGCTGTACCACTCTTCTCAGGTCCTGTCGCCCCTCTTCTCGTAGCGGCACTCTTACGCAGCACTGCATAGGCTTCCAACGCAAGCTTGACGCCTTGGTCGCTGTACTTGGAAAGGCCCTTTACGAGGATTGAAAAGTGAACAGCGTCAACAACTCCGTTGTATACCATGTGACAAAACAATTCGGTGGCATCTGTCAACAAGTTCTTGCTCTGAAAAAACCCACATGGCGAAAAAAGGGGTTTCAGCGAGAGGCTTTCCACCAGCGAATGCTCCCAGATACCGACACGTCGAGCAAGCGCACAGGATAAACTCCAACGGCATAGCACCGACGCGTGTGGGGCAGCCACACAACCACCCAACCCTCCCGCGAGTAAAAAAACCAGGGAGGGACAGAGGGAGGCAGAAACAGAGGACACGATCCTGCAAGCAATGCGACACCCCCGTGACGACTTCAAGAAGGCATCCGCTGACTGTGGATGCGGCCATGCACGCGCGCGCATGGGTGCATGCCGTGCGAAAATTGCGACGTCAGGAGTTGTGTACACGATGTTTCGTGGAGTTGACAACATGCCACAGAGGAGGAGCGAGGGGAGTGCGAAGAAAAGCAGCCCTAGGCGTTCCTTACAAGAAGAATATCGAGCATGCAGCCGTAGGTGTAGTTGGTAGGCTCGATGTTTCTTCTGCCTTGAAGTTCATTCCATAGACCCCAAACCTGAAGACCGCGCAAGACCGTGAGGCTATATATATGGCTGCCCATTATACACCCTGCTGTGGGCGAGGAAGCCACGTTTCGGGTGCGCTTCTGGGGGCTGCTCCAAGCGTGTACCTTTGTAAGATTTCCAATCCTTCCGTAGGCCTTGATTAGCGTGCCATACGCGTGTGGGTTTGGCTGGAGAGAGGAAGACTCGAACTGGAGCAGCAGACGCCGAAGACGGTCCAAATCTCCTAGCCGCAGTGTGGCGTCGATGCAGGTCGAAAGGAGGATTAAATCTTCGCAGGCATTAATCTGCACACCGAAAAGACACACAGCGCGCTGGGAGCAGCCGTAGGCCAAGTGGGCAGCGCGCAAGACTGCGCCGTTCGCAGAAAGGGAGCGGCGAGGCGGGAGGCTGTATGCGTGTACAAAGCGCACATAAAGCGTGCATATGGCGCATGGCCTCAGCGAGGTACTAGGGCGGATTGAAGCCACCGGGGAACGGAGCAATAGCACAGCCGGGAGGGGATGCCGCGCGCAAAAAGATGCGGGGGATGCAAAGAATCACTAGAAAAAAACACATCACTTTGACGTGAAAATTCCGGAGAGCAGATCGAAAGGCAAATCACGCACCCCGTCCATTAGCCGAAGGGTGCGCTGAATCAATTTTGGATCTTGGCCAGGCTGCAGGCTCTTAACCAGCGAGGAGATCGTGAACTTGTCGGGCTGCAGAAAGCGAACAGCAAGAAGCAAGCAACAGCCATATGAAGAAAACGGAACGCGATAGGCAACGCAGTTAGCGCAAAAGCAAAATCGCCCGACACACGGCGCCCTCATGGGGCAGAAACACACGACCGCGGAGAGCAGCAGCGAGCCATCCATAAAAGCGGCGCTCGTACACAACAGAAGGCGCACCAAAAAGAAATACTGCCGCAGGCGTTGGCCGCTAGGGATAGCAAAGAGAGCAAGAAAGAGACATAGAGAGAACAAGAGAGGTATAGAGACCGAAACGCGTAAGCACACACACACACACACATAGGCCCCTCTCGTTTCAGCAAAAAAACGTATAAAAAGGATGCACTCAAGCGAGATGCACTTCCCTCCCCCCGAGAAGCCTGTCAATGTATATCTAAAGATATTGACATAGATAACCTATATCTCTATACAAATCTATATATATATACCTATATCTGCATCAACAAACGCTAACGAGGCAAGAGAACCAACCCAAAATACGGGGTACCTACCACCATATTCGATGTACGCAGTTCCTCCACATAATGCCAGGCGCGATCAATTCGTCCGCAGCACACGGCGGCGTTTACGAGGAGATTGAACGAAACCTCATCTGGTGATACATTTCGATCTCTCATGCTCCGAAGGATCTTCTCTGCCTCTGCCAACTGGCCAGACACGGAAAACGCCTTCAGCATCGTGTTATACGTCACCAGGTCCGCAACACCCGCCCCCTCAATCGATTCAAACAACCGTTCTGAGGAGAAGGAAGGACGCAACAGCGCGCAAGCAAGGTGCACAATGAAGAAGCCCGACTGAAAATGTTAACGGGAATGTAGCGAGACTTCGCGCACATCGATACACATACATATACACATGTTCACACAGCACTGACATACACATACAGCACGGTAGAGAAGTGACACGCTCGAAGTCTTGTCCAGGCGGAAGAAGAGTCACACCAAGCGAGCAAACCGAGAGGAGAATAAAAGGGACGGTGGGTCCACCAAATACGCCCTTTGTCATTCCATGTGTGTATATGCATATATATATATATATGTTTTTATGTATATATCTACTTATATGCATATGTATATGCATATGTATTCATATATACATATATATATATGCAGATGTGCGTGTGCGTGTGTACTTGTTAAAAAGCTGTCTTGACTGGCGACGCAAGCGAAGAGGACGTAATTTAGCAGCTGCACATCGGGTGCAACCCTGCCCTCTCTCTGCACCTCTTCTAGCACTTTGAGTGCCCCAGCTCCGTCTCTTCGCTTGCAGCAGTCCTTGACCAGCCCCATGTAGTACTGCAGCGCTGCCCTTGTCTCCCTCCGTCGTGGCTTGCTTGTCTGTGAGGGAAGGCCTTTACGTCGAGTAGAAGTGCCTGCACTCCCCCCTCCTCCTGCCCCACGCCGCACCGCTGCGGCGGAGGCAGGAGGAGCCTGATGTGCTGCCCGAGTAGTCACGGAGGCACTCGCAAGCTGCGAAGCTAACATCCTTTGCTGCACTTGTTGATGTTGCTGCACTTGTTGATGTTGCTGCACTTGTTGATGTTGCTGCACTTGTTGTTGTTGCTGCACTTGTTGATGTTGCTGCACTTGTTGTTGTTGCTGCACTTGTTGTTGTTGCTGCACTTGTTGTTGTTGCGGGTGCAAGTCCAGCAGACTCTCCAGGGGGCCAAGGAACGCAGCCTCCGCGGAAGCGTCTTCAGGCTGCTGCTGAAGGGCGGCGACTCTACCCCCCAGGAAAGACGTCTGGATTGTGGTGAGCCTTTTGATTTCCGAGGATGGCGGTGCCTTGGGGGAGGCAGAAGGCGCCGAGAGGCAGGAAAAAGGAAGAAGCGGAAGGGGGGAGCCATCGGGATCGGCTTCGATGCTGAGTGTGTCCTCGTGGGGGGAAAGCGTTGCAGCACCGACCGTCTGAGAGCGGCAGAAGGAGAGATCCGTCAAGGGAGATGGCGGAAGCGCAAGCTCCCCAGCTGGACCTCCCACCCACGCCGAAAAGTCTGTAACTCGGCGGTTCCCAGTGTTGCAAAGGGGAGGCGCAGACACGAGAGGCGGTCCGAGGAGGCCCCACCGCTCGCGATCTTCCGCCTCGCTGCAACACGCCTCCTCTCTGTCCTCCCCTCCCTCCGAACAACTCAAAGTCTCTTCGCGCTCCTCAGTAGTCACACTGCCCCCGCCTTCCTCCTCCCCGCGCGGGGAAATACACAAATCTGATGCAGATGCAGGCGCCACGGCTGCAGTGGCTCCTCCTTCTCCTGCTGTTGCTGTTGCTGCAGCTGCCAAGTACTTGGCCGCCTCCTCCTGCCCCTCCCCCCTTGCCTTAGAACTGCGCAGCGTACGGGGGTGCCCCTGGAGCCACGAACAACACCCCTCACGCGAGCCTTCTCCCAAGGCCTGATCAGCAGACCGCCGGGAGTCGCTCAGGGGTGTGAATGTCTCGCAAGAGATCACACTTGCGCTAGAGTTGGAGCGTCTCGCATCGCGGTCTAGCCGCCTCCCCCTATGAACACACGTGCCGAGAGGCCCCTTGGCCTCCCGGGCGCGGGAGGACCTCTCTACTACCTCTGCATGATCCGCCTCCTCAGAAGCAGCGAGCTGCTGCACCTGGCCACCTTCTTGACCTTTGACCTTTCCCAGTACCGTCTTTTGCACCAAACACGGCCTGGCTGCCCCCCCTACGTGGGGAGCCGCGTGGCGCCGCTGCCGCCGACTTGAAATGGCAGCCAGTAAAATCCACCCTCCAATGAGCAGGAGCAGAAAGAAGAGGTCGATCTCAGTAGACGCGTCCACGATGAGGCACGCAATAAGCGTCACCGCAAATACCAATGCAACCAGTATATTCGGGAAGAGCCACAAGAAAAACGGCTTCAGCACGTCATGCGGTGCCCCCCTCTTTGCTGTGCCAAAGAAGAATGCGGCGAGGGAAGTTTGCGCCGCCGACTCAAGTACAAACGAACATGGGCAAGCGGAGAGACCGGCCTTTGCAATGCATGAGGGCCCTAGAGTTTCGGAGCCTTGAGGGCAGGCGTCATCTTCTGGAACGCCATGCCCTCCTTTACATCCTTCCGCATGCCTGTTGCTGTTTTCCATGCCTCTGACGGGGGCAGCTGCCAATCCAGCGGGGGTGGCCATGTGGCTGCTGCTGCTGCTGCTGCTGCTGCTGCTGCTGCTGGCACTCCCATCCCCCTGGAGGGAAACCGGGGGGGCGTCATCCGTCCCTTGCCCTAGAGAGGCAGCACGAACAAGCTCCGACTCCTTTGGAGAAGGTGGCTCCTGGAGAGGCACCGGCAGAGAATATGAAGAATGAGAAGAGGGCGAGGGCGGCCCCCGCGGACACGGAAGAATGATCCCAGGGGAGCTCCTCATTGTGTAAGGACGCCGGGTATGCGGATGAAAAACAACTTTAAAAAGGCGCGCTTTCTTCCGCCACGAAAGCTATCTTCGGATGTTCTGACTACACAGGATACTGACTGGCGGGAACACGGAGGAGGCCGAACCTACTATGCCTCCTATATGCATGTATGCATTAAAGACGTGAGAATGAGGATATCTCGCAGACAGGAAACTGCCCCTGAAAAGGCGCCTAAAAACTCCTTCAACAACCAAACGAACGCCATGAAAGCAACTGAAGACAATGATGGAGGGTGATGGTGGCCTGAGACAAACGAAAAGAAAGGGAGCGGCGAAGAGCCATTAGAGGGGGAGCGGGCGGCACCTCTCCTTCTTGAGAAAAATACTCGGCCGCACCCTTTCCAGATACGACGAAGAAGAAGCAATATTGAGCAAGAAAATAAGAACAGTAGAAGTGCGATTCAGCGGGAGCAAACAGCAGCAAAGGGCGCACAGTAGAAGGAGGAATGAAGGAGTGAATAATACAATGACAGTGCGGGGGTAGAGAGAGATGGCCGTCCCAACGGGAAAAGCACTGTCCAACAGAGTGCGGGCTACAGATATACCACGAAACTGAACCCGGTGGAAAGTAAAACATGAATTGAGATACACGTAATACGCAGAAACAAACTTCTACCTCTCCTTGTCATCGCCCTTTAGGCTTGTGGCTATAAGCTCAAACCATACACGAGGCCCTGGATTGAAGAGGGAGAGGCAGCAGCACATGGGTATTTATGTGCTGCTTTTTGTACAGCCATACGGACAGTAATACGGACATACCAATCCAATGGCTTCACTATGTGCCTTGTGCTCCCGTCCCTCGCGTTTTCTTTAGGCGACAACCCTTTCCTTGGCGAATTACCATCGCCGCCAAACTGCTGCCGCCAAAGAGCCCCATGCTACGGCCTCACTAGAGAACAGCTCCTACGAATCACTTGCCTACTTTAGACAGTTTTAGTATTTATACTGAGCCGTCAAAAATAATCCACTTCTGCTATCTATTCTGAGCTCAATGTTCATCGGTTGGCCTCGCGGCTCCACTGTTTGTGAGTTGCAAGTGCCACGCCGTGCACTGCACATTTCAGCAAATTCTCATGATTCTCCTTGCTATTTCTCTGGTATTTGCTCGACGTAAACATCTTTTCTTCACTCTGCATCTATCTTAAGGCGCTCTACCCACCTTTAACCCTCTCAAACCGCCGCTTTCCCTCTGCATGCAGAGGGTCGCTACTGCTTTTCCTTCGACTATTTCAATCAATTCACCCTTGGACTAGGTCTCCAAAGGAAAGTATGTGCTTCTTCCTTTTTTTAGAGCATGAGTCTCGTGGAATACGGCTTCTACTCTGACGAGGAGGCAGACGGGTCCTCTTCTCCTTCTGCTTCCCTCCCGCCAAACCCTCTTGCGGATTCCAACGCCAGCCCTAGCATCAATCGCGGAACAAGCGCCAGTATCGCGAGTAGAGGGAGCCCCTCGGGACGGCGTCAGGCGCCTTCGCCCCAAAATGCCGACAACTCCCTCTCCGATTCAGATGCCGCTTCCATCTCGAGGTCCTCAACGCCGGCTCCTTCGTCCGTTTCACGGAGTGTAGATCTCTCCAAGGCAGCTGCCTCACCCAAGGATAAGCGAGGAGAACTCGGCGTCCTCCCCCCAGGCTGCCAAAATCGATTCACCTCACCAGTGGCAACAGATGAGGCCGCAGAGGGAGAGGCTGCGGCTGCAGAGTCAGAAGAGCAGAGGAAGGCTCTGGATGAAGAAAGAGCTGCAGTAAGGCCCCAAGCCGCCAAATTTTAATATTTTCCGGATAGCTGTATATGCCTTCTCCTATGTCCGTCAACGGAAGCGGTAGATCTCCGAAGTGGCTTTTTGTCACCGTGTATACTACCTTGTTGCTTCTTCATGGGTAGGCTGAAAGGCCAACGTATCTGTGTATCTCCATGTCAGATGCTTTATTGCTTCTGGAAATTCTGTCGCTGTTCTCTTTGAAGAGGCACTTCCTTTTTGGCTCGCTGCTTTTGTGTTTACGGACAGTCAGTTTGGCCCCGTGTGTCGACTATCCAGCTGTGTGATTGCGCGTGTGCGCGCGTTGATACATCTTTTTTATGCTATGAGCGTAAGAGGCAGACATGGCATGCGCGGACGCCTCACGGTGACCGCATCGTCTGCATCTTGTACGTATCTCCATACGTGTGTAATAGGATTTCTCTTGGCCACCCATGATCCAAACGCACTATTTTAAGTATCCTTCTTCAAGCATATACCCGTAACACTTTCTCTTTTCGCATCCTGCATTTTCGCGATTTTGAATTTCATGCTGTCCTTATTTTCTGTATTGTGGTGCTCTCACCCTTCATCCTTGCGGTTTCCTTGCCTCTCCACATGCTGGCATGATTTTTCTGGGGTTGTGTCACTAAGGCTCAGGAGCTCATTGCGCGACTGCCGAAGGGCACACCGCCTCAGGAGCTACTGGTAGGCTTTAAAATCGAATTAAGCACCTCCCCGAAACGGCCCATAGTGCAGTGGATTTATGCATTCTAAAAGTTTAAAGACACTTTTGTACTTGAGAAATGGAGACTCGTACGTTTTGCTTGGGAACTGTCCGCTGTTCCGTCTGTTTTCGGTGTGTTTGTTAATGCATCTTCGATGCTGGTGTCCTTGAGGTGTGTGCACGCAGGCGACGATTGAGCGGTTGCAGCATTTGAAGAGGCGAGGAATCACGGTTAATGGGAATATAAACACTTCTCTGGATTTCAAGAATCCCTATCTTCTAGAGGTAGGGAAATTCTTTTCTCGGGACTTCAAGACTATTGCTGGGTGTGCAGCTTGCCATTGCACATCGGCATATGTTCATGGAGGGAGGCATGCACAGATCTCTAGGCTTAGAGGGGGCGAGGGTGGTTCCTGCCTTCAGTTGCTCTCATCATTCTTATTCCATAAATGCCCTGCTTCATCTGCCGGATCGGTGCATCGTCACCCCTTTGGTACCGTGACATTACGCCTTGTTGCCCCCAGCCCACTGGTCGTATGGACGCTGCACCCCGCGCCCTCTCCCTAGATTGAGCAGCCTGTTTGTTGACCATGGTTGTGTGCTCAGAAAATTATGAAGGTGTTCGATATTGACCCGTACTGCTCCAATTATCCTCCTGGAACGTCGGACGCACCGGGTGCACCCCCGTTCGAGGTGGAAGGGGAGGACGCGCCCTTTTACGTGTACATCGGTGAGCCCTGGGGCAGCCGTGTAGCGCACATCCCCAGCTCTCTCAGAGCATCATGTCTGCATATACTCGTCTCTACGCACGCGCAACTTTAGGTGTATGCGACTGGTGCCAGAGCACGGGAAGAGAAAACAAGGGTGTTTTCTTGCAGTTGCAGTGGCTGTTTTCCATCCCTGGGCGTCATCTTCATGCGCGAAACGCCCTTCCTGCTACCTCAAAAACCTTCAGAAAGTCTCATAACCTTGATCTCTCCGGGCATTTACGTTCAGGGAAAAGGCAAGAGAGACGGAAGCAACGCAGAGAAAAACAGAGGGAAATGAAAGAGGCCCTTGCTGCCGCTTCAGCTCCCCTTGCAGCCCCCACTCCCTCCACGCCCTCAAAATCGCAGCAGCAGGGCGCAAGCACTGGTGCGCCCGCCTTTATCTGCGTTTTTCCCGATTTACATGCCCTCCTCGGTGTAGCAAGAGAGTTTAACGACTTCTGCCAATGCGTGCAGTACTCCAGAGCTTCAAAAGGACACCCATAGATTAACCTTTGAGATCACCTTTCGGCTTCTCCTACGCGTAGCCTTGGTGATGTATTCGAGCTTTTGCATTTTGAGTTTCTGAATGCGCAGGCTCAGCGCCCCCAGTGAATGGCTCGACGGTAAACTCTGTAAACGCGGCTATAACTCAGGCGGGTGCGTCTAAAAGCCTTGTACACTGTAGTTAAATAGAGGACTCTGCGTCATGGGGCAAAGCAGCAGGGGCGGCACTGGTGTCTCCCTTCATTTCGTGTTTCGGGTTGGGGTTTTTTTTTGCAGCGACGGAAGCGGTTAGGAAGGCTGCCGCTCGGGCCCTTATGTTGCAGCAAGAACAGTTGCTGCTACACCAGTAGCAGCTGTGCCGGCTGCTGTCCCTACGCCAAGTCTTTCTTGCGGCCAATGAAGCGGCGGCAGCAGGAGCTCATGTAGATCGGCGCTGAATTTTTCGCCGCAGTGTTCGCCGCGCAAAACAAGTCGCAACGCCCGGTTTCATCTGCAATGCTTATCTTGTGGCCACATGCTGTGTTTTAGGGGCAGCTATGCGTATCACCGAAACAGGATAGGGGGCGGTTCGCTAGGGTGAAGCCCAAGAACAATAGGATATGGACTTCAATAGGTCGTTGTACCCTGTTCCTAGATTATATATATTGATCTATACGAGCCCCTCAGGTAGTCAGGCGCTACATGAGAAAGGCAAATCAAGGTTGACTGCTGGACGCGCGTTATGTTAGCTTTCCTTTTCTGCCACCATTTGCCGAATAATTAAATAATGAGCTAATATTTTTAAAGCGAGTCTACTGCCACCCACCCTGTCGGACACACTCTTCCCTCGCTCGTCCTGGCACCCACAGGCTAGAGCAGCGCACCATGAACAATCTTTGAGGGGTAGCGTCTGCCGCCGAAAAGAACAGAGCCAACTGCATGACTGGCGCTGGGTCTGGTCCGCCTGAAGCTTTCTGGCTCACGAGCCCTTAATGAGGCCAGCGAGCCCTTCGCCCTGTTTGCACCTAGCAAACCATGTATGGAGTTGCCAAACCACCACAAGTTTAAGTGCCTCATCGCTTGTAGAAAGCAATTAGCTAGTTAAATAGGTAGCAAGCCGCCTTACCATGGACTCAAGAGGCAATAGATTTCCTTTGAAGGGTTTCTAAAATAGCCTTGCCCATCCCGCGAGTGAAGTCAGGGTCAATGAAGGAAACCTGGCTCTCGATGCCGCCAACGTTTTTCCCTCTACGGAGAAGGAAGTACCCGCGGTTGCCCCATCCTGAACCCCAGGTGTTTCTAACAATCCAATACTTCAGCGGCGGAGACGCCTCGCTTCCCTCGGTCTCGCCCCAGCCCACAAGATTGACCGCGTGATTCGTGAACTCCCATCCGCTGAGGCCCTTGGACGCCCCCGGGGCCCCCGGAGTGTCGCATACTCTCGCATGTGGCGCGTCTTCCGTGTCATACACCCCAGAAGTATAGCTGAAGAGGGACGCGGGCGCATCGAACGCCGCTGTAACCGGACCGCTTTCCATTATCTCCCTCATAATGTTCTCCTCCCCAGAGCACTGGCTGCACTCGTAGCAGCCCCCAACGTAGCCATAGTCACTCGCGAACCTATAGGGGAGACAAAGAGACAGCAAGCATACAGAGCAAGCTGAAAGCAAGCGCGGACTCTAGACATCCGGAAGACACGCTCCACACGCGCACAGACATGCATGCGCCCAGGGAACGTGGACAAGAAATGCCACACACACATGGGGAGGCCAGCGAAGCCGAACTGATCTACACTACTCTTTAGAAGCGAAGAGAACAAATGCGAGGCGCAGGCTCGAAAACAGCACGCAAAGCCGTCGGCTGATCAGTCTATTGGCACGGCAACCCAAAAGTTGACGTTTCGATATTGCTGCACATTAAGCGCTTCCTACCATCTCTGGTCGCCAACATGGCAGGCGTTGGACTCGCTGTCCAGTGCGAGAAAGGAAGAAGTGTATTCTTTGGGCTGCTGTTGTGGGGACCGTTGCAGCACAGGGCACGAATTAAGGTCCATTCCGTTATATGGCATGCAACCATCCTGCAGAATACCTGCAAAGGCATGAGAAAGTCGCAGGCCGAAACAGCCCCTGGGCACTCAGCGTGTATGCTATGAGCTTTCCGCCCCCCAAGATTGTGTCACTGCTCTCTTTATAGATCTCTTTCGATCTCTACATGTTAATATATGTATGTATGCATGTAAATATATGTAAATATCCCTATTTCGTTCAGCTCTTCGTCCCCGCAATCGCACAAAGTCCTCCCTCCTTAGAAAAATCCTCTTTTTCTAACAACTCTTTATAGCGAATCATACCACCGTGTGCGGTTCGTTTCAACGACTATTTCTGGATTACTTCTCAAGTCCACAATCCCCCGCACTCTCTCTTCTCCCCCACTCCGCGAGCGCGCCCCAGAGGTATACGGTATAGACTAACCCATTTCTGTCGCGTGCTTGCCCACTAAGTACGGGAATCCACCGTGGCAGCCTTGATTATAAAAGGAGCAAGCGAGAATTGACTGCGGAGAGAGTTTTCCTGCTGACGAATTGCTAAGGCCTAGAGCTGCTGTCGCTTGAGCTGCATTCAGATCAATTCCACTGAATGCCGAAACATTCTGACCCAGCAACTTGGAGAGCCCAATGTTAAACCTCTCCTCCAAAGCGTACACCGCAGCAAGGGCATAGCAACTGCCGCAATCGCCCTGGTTCGTTGCTTCTTCAGTAAAAGAAGGATCCGCGAAAGGGTTCGGCCAAGCAAATGCTTTTGGAAGACTGCCACTGCTGCCACTGGTGTTGCTGCTGGCTGTCAAGTAAGAATGGGGTGATGCAACAGGGTCGTGCTCTCTGATTGAGACATCCGCTGTCGAGATATGCAGCATGCTAATGGGAGACAGGACGGCAGCCGAAGACGCGTCTGAACCCTCCTCTTTGCGCGTGTCTTGAACAATATCTCCTGAATTGCAAAATCAGGGAAGCATCGAACCAGAATACAGCAATCCGCAACCACAGCGTGCGAGTCAAGTAGGTGAACACAGACCAAGCTTCACACTGCCCTGTGAGAGTCACGACAGAAGGAGCACCCCCTCAAATCGTCTGGCAAAGCACAGCAGCAAGCGATGAACCAGTAGAAGCAATCCAAGGGCGAGCGCAAAAGTAGCCAAGAACCACAGTCCGCATTCTCCCTTCCCTGCCCCCCGTCAGCAAACACGCCGCACCTTCTTTGCAGGGGCAAGCGTATAGCTGCGTCGAAACAGATTCGCGCAAGCCAGTTTCGTCCTGAAGAAAAGATGGCGTTGCTACAACACCACCTGCAAAAAGCATATCGTGAAGAAACTGATCAGCGATGGTGAGCTGGAGGAACTCGGAATCAGAGGCAGAAACAAGAGAGCCTTTCTCCCTCAGAGTGAGGAGATGAGATCGTTGTGTATGTGACAGGCGCATTTATCTATGCACCGGAACCATAAGCAGGGAGAGGCATAGCTCCTACCAGCAGTATTGAATTTAGAATATCCGAAATCCTTAACCAACGAAGATAGAACTGAGCGATGCTTTTGAATGAAGGATGAGTCGTAGGCTGCTTTCCATGTGCTAGTTGGCTTTTCATTGTGCTTGTCTACATACTCCTTGCTCAAGTAATACGAAACTTCAGAGAGAAAGGACGGGGAGGTGCCCTGTGGTGACTCGAAGACACGATTCTCTGCCCCCTCTGTATGATTTTGCTGCCGCACAGCCACAAAAGAAGGGGCAGCCTCCAAACCAAACGAGCCCAGCTTTTTTTCTCCATAAAAGCAGCCGGAATGCATGGATCCATCACTTGCCGTCATGTAGTACCACCCTGACCACGCAAAAGGAAACATTGATGAGTCGGCTTCTTCCAAATGATCGCACTCGCACAAACAGGCACTTCTATGGGGCAGTGCGAAAGCAACTTAGTTGTGCGCGCCACCGCTGCTGCTGCTGCTGCCTCTCCTTCTAAAGGACGGCTGCGGCTGCACCCATGTCTAGCCATGACTTGGCCTTGCACCTCTAAGCCATGGTACAAACTACAAGGCATGTATACCTATTTGCGTTCTAGACGCGTCAGTGGTATAGCATGTCGTCCTCCCATTTCGATCCTCTAAATCTCCGTTACTTGCTGTGGGGCAGGAGTCCTTCTTTGAGTACCGCATCAGCGCCATTAGGCGAGTCTTGTCAAGAAGATGAACCTCAAATCCTAGAAACCCCAAAATTAAGCACATCGCGCATATTTGTCGGCTCAAAAAGGGAAAAGGCGCTGACATCGCATGCTAGTACGCATACATAGATAAAATAGAGCATTCATAGTGATCAGAAGACACTCTCACACAATCACACGCGTACTGATCCGCACCGCCCTCTAGGAAAAAGGAAACCGTGCACGCGGTTTTCCAGTACGCCCCAGTCCGAATAGTGCAGCAGCAAGAGGACCAAACTTGAATTGCACCATCGGCAGCAACAAAACAATTACACGAAGCAAGCGAGAATCCGTCAGGGACACCAGCAATACCTTCATCGTACACAGTCGTCCATCCTCCAACAACTGTGTTAGTCGAATCCTTGACTGCAAGAGCTTTCCAATTTTGTCTGTGAGGATTTCCATTCGTCTCTCTGACCGAGGCGAATGGAACCAGGTCGTCGGTCAACTGCAACTCTAGAGTTTTCGAGACACCTATAGAGCAGCCACCAATAAAAAGGCCCTATTGCACTGCTAAGTACTTGGTTGAGGATTGTAAAGCAGAGGCACACCAGCCCTTGTGTTGCAAAAGGCGTTTGCGCACCCGTGGGAAGAACGGCAATGACTGGGAGGCAGCCAAGAACACATAGAGCTACACATGACATTCTTTGTTCAAAACGCCTCCTTCCCCCACTCCAGCCACCCCCGCCCTCTCCCACAGCAGCACAGAACATATACGCACACAGTGCCATACGCATAGATACGTACATTCACAAACAGCCATGTACACATACACTAGCTCTCTCCATGTATGTATATGTGTATATGTATATACCTCCGTGACTCTTTAGATATGTCTGGGGGTCCGCAATAAGGGGCTGCAAATTCTCCGTGTTTTTGTTGGGGGTTCCAGAGCCGCAAGTGTGGATGGCACTGGCTACACTTGGAGTCATGTAGAAAATCCTGTGCGTGTCAACAAGGCGCAGTACAGCCGAACGGACAGGAGGCGGTACATACAGACAGCGGGAGAGAACTCGTACACAATTTTCAGGCAGGGCGCGAAGAAAGGACGCCCTTTTGTGAGTGTGTTGCATTATTCTCAGTTTGGAATTCTCAGCATTCCATAAGGCGAAGGCGAGCCTGCTGCCAGCAAACCTTTCAGAAACCCTCTTTTGCAACCGCGAAATAGGGCCTCTAGGCCCCCCCCTCCCAAGACACGCCTTAGCAACAGCAGATAGCAAGGAAAGAGCAGGCAGTGCTGCTGCATTCTACGCAGTCAGTTGAACCGTCATGGCATCGCAAAAGTAAAACATGCGAGGTATCCTCTACTGCACCTATACGCGGGATGTCTAAGCCCTCTTTTCCTCACCAGTCGCCCTTTATATCGCTGATAGTTGCGTGAATCGGCAAATCTCCAAAGACTGACATAGGCGATGTGGCCCAGCATCCAGCCGCCACGACGCAAAACAAACGACGAAGGCCCCAGGAGGGCCCATTGATAAAAGCCATCGTTTCCGCCCTCCTCCCGTGCTGCCCTTTCGATCTCAGGCGGCAAAGGCGTGATGCAGGATAAAAGGGAGGTGGCGAAGAAGGGCTGAGGGGGCCAAAATGTTAGACAAACCCTGCGCTCGGTGCTGCTTCATGGATATCGCGTTTGTACGGGTGTGCACGTGTTGGAGCAGGGAACGCTCCATGGAGTAATCGCCTGATTTATATGCATAAAATCGAGGACTGGGGAAAGAAAATGGCTTAAACGAAGCTGGGAAAATGCGTAAAAAACAGAGGGCAACAACCGTCGGATGCACGGCGATGGGTCAAAGCCAGGAGCAACAATAGAGGGGAGGAAAGCATGAATTTCGGGCCTTCTAAAGAAGGAAGCAGCCAATACTCGATGAACAATGAAGAGAAATGAGGAAGGAAGTAATGGGAAGAGGCTAGCAACGCGAATCGATTCTATATGCGACCAGTGAAGCCGATGCGGAAAGGAACAGAAGGAACCAGGGTGAAGGGAAAGGAAGCCATAAAGTAATGCTGTTGAATTGTTTTTCTGGCAGAAAGCCAGCAAGTGAGTCAATAAGTGAACCTTCCCTCTTTGTTCTTCTGGGTGTTGCTGCTACGCTTCAGAAAACGGGTCTGACTAAGCAGCTAGCCGCCGTTGTAACAGCATGCATAAGGTAATTTGAACGGAAATAGCTGCTTAACTCAAAGTCTAAACACATTAATTATAGAATGATTGCGGCTATGCAGCTTAGGGTGGACAAGGAACTAATGTTGCTGGAACGGCACTTGCACTTGTACCAATATTCATCCGAATGCGCCCGTGAGTGCATCGATGCTCCATTGCGCTAGTCGCTTCCTCACTGTTTCAGAGCACATACCAAGATGTTTACTAACGTCTCGAATTCTCAGTTTCCTGAAGAAGGACGAAGCTCATTTGTCTGCGCTTTTGTCTCAAGTCTCGGCCCGCGCCTTTGACACCACTGGCGTCGTCTCACGTTTACCCCCGCCCGTCCAAGCGTTTCTCTCTCACCAAAGGACATGCGACTGCAGTCCTCGGCACAAAGACCAGCATTTTTGTCACAGACACCCCCTCGTTTCTTCACAGATGTGGATTCCAGTGTAGTGTCGCCTCCACAGCGGAACTGAGATCAATACAGCCAGATAAACGGGGCTGCTTTCCAAAATTATTCAGTCTCCCCCTGTTCTCCGATTTTAGATGTAGGAGCTACAGGCTGTTCGCGATTTAGTCGCCTTTGCACATAGAGGAGCCTGCTATTACTACTTAGGGGTGAGTAAGGGCGTCCTGCTTGCCGCGGGCTGTATCTGTGTGGTTTATTCACGTGAAGGCAATGGCAACCTGGGCCTCTGCTTCCTCCCGCAGAAGGTCCTTTTTGTTGCTGTCTCTTATGAGTTGTAGTCTGCTGGTCCTGTTGCTCCAGCCCGGCAGCCCATTCCTGTTTACTCCGAATGGCAGTCGATCTTCTTTTGGCTATAGCCGAACGGAGGAGCGCGAAAGGGGCTGGAACAGGACTCGATTCAATAGCGACCATGCCTTCTTGATCACGGAGGGACAACAGGAGGACTCAGTGTCTTTACCTTTTCTTTTCACGGGCCGCACGAAGGAAGGCGAGGTAGCTGAGGCGAACGCAACAAGAACCAGCGGAGTGGGCGAAGAAGAAATTAGGCTGTGGATGCTGCCAGCAGAGTCGAGAGAATACACGATACTTCAGCACGGTACGCATCTGGTCTAGCCGAGACGTCTCTTGTTGAGCTTATATTTTGTAAATGCTGTGTTGCCGGAATAGGATAGCCGCAGCCATCTGTCTTATCTTGTACGGCAAAAGAAGCTGCCACGCGGCTGCTGTTTGTCTGGATATATGTGTAACTGCGCCTCAGACAGTAATGTGCTACAAGGGCAGGATGCAGTGTCTTTCGTAGCAGACCAGCAGGGCCCGGAAACTGTTGCACAGAGCGATGCAAACTTTAAAAAAGCATACGAACAGCGTCTGCAGGTCCCTCAGGAATCGTCCTTTTCTCTAAAGTTCATGCAACAAAACCGTAAGCTGGCAGACCCTGCTTTCTGTGCAGCTAAGAAGCACGTGGTGAAGGGGAAAGGGCATGCAGTGTGTGGCAAGACGGCGTGCATATTGATATATATATTTATGATGCGGCCTTGTTGTGGGATGAATTCTGTTTTATTATGCCACTGGCGTGCTAGCTGGAAGAAATATCGCACTGCATGCCGCTTTCATTGTAAGACGGGGAGGTGCAGAGATGCACTTGTAATTTTTTGGCATGAAGCAAGTCTAGACGCAGCAGCGTCTTGCACCCTTATGAGTCAAGATATAATAGGGTGAAAAGATAAAAGAGGCATGCTTTATGTAGTCTGTATCGTGTACTGCTCGCAGAATGCCAAATATTGTGGGGAAAGGTTGAGATTGTAACGAAACGTAAGAGCCAATCAAAGATAGCGCAGACTGCAAAAGACCTTCTAACTTCATGCAATGCCTCTGCATTTTCGGCAGTCAGTGGTGGCGAAACATCGACCTGGCGAGAATGCGCAGCCAAGTTGTCTGGAACCACAAGGTTTTTCTCGTGGGTTAAGCAGATAGGGCAACTCCAAGGCACCTGCAGTCTTCTGGGATATGTGAGCAAAAAGGAGGACGAGGAAGAAAACGCCGCGGCATGCCTCAGGGACGGTAAGCCGTAGGAAGGAGTGTTTGTCGTCAGAACGGCAGGAACAAGTACACGAAGTACGGCCAGTGTTAATTTGTTGGTGCGTGCAATTGTCAACTCGACGCTGCGTCCTCTTGCTTCCTTCGTAAGCTCTCTTTGCTTGTTTGTATGGCATGTTTCACAGCTCACTCCGACGAAATAGCGGTCACCGGCATGGTGGATGATCCGCTTTGCACGAGCTGCGAAGTCTCCAGCTGGACGGATACCCCGTGTAGCACATGGTGTGAGGCGGGTGTTGCAGGCCGCTACAGAACGATACTGAGTCACGCCAGTCAGGAATACTGTGCGCAGGGAAATGATCAATTCTGTGATATGTGCCCCCACCTGTGGGAGATAAAACTCTGCAATCAAGACACTAAATGCGGTGCGCTCGTAGAAAAGAATCGTATTCGGTCAATGCGGCTATACCTGAATGACCCATGGAGAGCAGCAATGCACTGTGCGTAACGTGGTGGAAAGGCGGAGAGGTGGTATGCGGCTAGCGCTGCTCAGTGATCCTCTGAGCAGCGCGATATCGCTCACAGCAAGAGACAGAAAACGCTTTCGTAGCTTGCATCCTGCTTAGCATAATGCATACCCCAGTGCTATGTCGCTTCGCGATGCTCAGGAGCTCCTATTCAACCAGGGGCGCACTACTGCCCGACGCAGAATACGAAAACCAAAGTGGTTACATCTTGGCGGCAATGCAGCGAGGAATGCTTTAATGCTTTTGAAGCAAGTGGTGGCAACAGGTCTGTCTCTTGTTGATTTAAATGCCTCGTGCGGCTTTGGCATCTGTTTTCCCGGATGATGCCCAAGCCCTGTTAAGTTCACTTCGTAGTATAGTACATGCTTAAACGGTGGCCGCCACGCACTGTACCGTTTTTCGTATCCCTGTAGAGTCAACTGCACTCGAGATTTCGTCGTACGCGAACTTGTAGAGTTATAAGCTGCTGGCTTGGTTTTGCCTGTGCGATTTAGCGGCCGCAATAACCTTGTCATGAGCGATTAGAGAAGGTTATGGAGGCTGAAGCCGTCAGTGTCTTCTGCTTATTTTCACGTGCTTCCTTGTTTGTGGGCTCCTGTACAGCCTGGATCCATCGACGTATGCTGAAGCCAGTTGTTTTCATTATTCATTCAATAATTCAACGTCGTCTTGCGAGCTGAAAAATCTGGTGTCGTGCAACAATAGATTGACCACTGACAGCCTGTGGATTTCAGGGGATGTCCTCTCACTGCCAAGTGCCGATTATTCAACGGTGGTTTTTTCCGAATGGTCCCAATGGAGCAGTTGTGAGGATATTGACGCCCAAAAGGGGTGGAAGAAAAGACGAAGAAACGTCAGCATCCCCTAGTTGCATCGAACTTCCCTTCCTCGCCTCTTCTCCCTTGCCCTTTTTCTTTTCTGTGGCATTGCAGCACTTGCGCTTCAATCCTAGGGTCGCCGCACACAAACCGTCTGGATGCATTGGTGTGTGCAAATTCTTGCAGGTGAGTAACTGGGGTTTTAAGAATGACCAAGCCGAGTTGGGTACAAACCTCTACGAAGTTGCGTCTTGCCTGTCTGGAGAAAGCATTGAGCCGGAAGAAACGGGGAATCCACCCGAGGGTTAGCTGTTTGCTTCCCTTCGTTTTCACTCGTTGTCCAAATACAGAAGCATACAAGCTAGACCCTTTCACGAGAAAGAAACAGTTCTCCCCTCATCAGCTACGGTGCATCTGCCTGCTTTTTCTTTCCCTTTTGGCACTCGACGTTAAAGACATGTAGGCAAGCATCACCAGAATGCCAACTTACCTTCGCTAAGTTTGTGCCATAGGTTCATCTCTTGTCCTGCCTCTGTTGCTGTGTGTTCACCTCAGTGACTTGCTGCCTTTATGGCGACTTTGTAGAATGGTCGGAAGCGCATTGCAATCCAACCTGCGGCTCAGACAGGTTTCAGATACGGAAAAAGCGCCGGCTGCAGAACCCAGTGCCCAACGTAGATGGCGACTTTGACCCCACCTGCGCCCTCGACAAATGCAAGCAAGATGGCCAGCAGGCAGAGAGCAAACGATGCGATAATGTACCGGAATGCAGTAAGCGGCTAGAGGAGGAGGCAGCGGGAGCAACTGGACGGAAGGCGAGGGTGGGCTGCAGGCCTACGAAGAGGCAGAGGTCCGCTCCTGTTTATGTGCATGTGCTTGCTTTTTCTGCAGCTTCTGATTGCGTGTATATGCAATGGACCGAGTGGTCTTCCTGCACATGTAATAGCTCCTCTGAGCAATCGGGGACAATGTCGCGTGTGAGGAAGGCTGTCTCCGGGACCATCTGCCCTGACATGAACGAGAGTGAAGAGTGCGCGGACTCAAGCTGCAAGCGTGAGAGTTGTTTGTGGCGTTTAGACGCTTTCGTATCCTTGTCAAAACGATCATTTTAGCCTAAACCAGAGAGAAGGCAAAGAATACTGTTTCAACTAGTTTTGCGTATTTCTGGTCAGGAATCGTGTTCAACAAACACATATAGTGTCTACGCTCTAGACTCACCTTAGTCTGATGCTTGCTACCGCACTTTTCCTCCTCGTTGTTGTGCTTGTACTTTTCTGCATGCAGAAGAGAGCAGCAACATGACCTACATCTACGCTGCATGCGGTTCAGTTGGTGCCCTCCTCCTCTTAGGAGGGGCTTTTGCACTCAGAAAGCACAACGTGTCAGCTATGGAAAATGCGCAAACCTTCGAAACCATGTAGACGATGCTTGCCCCGTCATTTCAGGGGTAGTTTCATCACTTTCCTCATAGTCTCTTCTTCCTTCTCGCTGCTCAGTACTGTCTCCACGTCTTTCCCTACTTCGTTCTATGTCCATCCTCTCTGCCAGCAACCGCATGCTATACACAAGATGCTCCGCAGAGCCTTCAATCCTTCTGTCTTGTACGGCATCCGGTACCGCACATCAAGCCTCAGAACAGCGGCCACGAGGCCAAAAGCGAAGAGGCAAGACGGAACACATGATGGTTTGGTATGCTCTCTATCCGTGGCTCCAACTGTTCGCCGCACATGCGTAAAAGCACGATGAGCTACAAATTGAGCCTTGTACCATCCACCATTGGTTTTAGCAAAAAACTCGCTTCCCTTTCACCTTTAAAAAGCAAGAAATAGAACGCTGCTTTTGGCGAGTAATTTCACGATTTTTCGTTCATTTCGGCGTAAGCGACAATTGAAGAATCCTCTTTGCCGTAGCTGCTGCTGAGCTGTATGGAGAGGGGCCGAGGCATTAGGGCTGCCCATTCTTCTCGCAGATGGTTTTTCTACAGTGTGGGCCTTAGTCGTATTCCTGAGGGGCAAAACCGACGCCAGCGAGCCTTCCCCTTTTTCTGAGCCTCGTCAGGTTTGGTTAGTTGTAGTGCCTGCATCCGTACTTATTGTATTGCATCGCCCTTCCTAGATCTCCCCGGGCAATCGCAGAATCGAACCTTACAACTTGCGGAGCTGCATGTATTCTACACCCCAGACACACGCTACTGAAACAAGTCAGCGTGCAGTGTGGCTCAGTTGCATTCCAATAATCGTTTGCTTGTTTCGTCTTATCTGCCTTCTCTGAGGCATTTTCGCTGTAGCATCCGCAGGAATTCGTCGCCCCTTGGGAACAAATTGTGGGGGCGGTGCACGGACGAAGCGCGAGCAGGTGAACCCTACTGCTAAGTGTCATACATGATGATTTCAGGTTTCGATGCAATCTATTCAAGAAAGTTTTACAAAAAAATAGTTTTAAGGACATGCAGTAATCTTTCTGGGTGTTTCCATCCCGATTCAAAAGTTGTTTAAGAGTCCATGACACTCCGTCACTCGGCGCAATAGAAACTGTTTTTTAACATATCCGCTTCTGCATGAGTGGCGACTCCGAGAAGTTGCCGTGCCATGGCGTCCCGCTGCTTTACGGTCTCCAACACTGGGTCTTCCTGCATGCTGAGCGCAAAAAGGACACTGCGTTAAAGGGGCTGACCAGGTCACCCCCTATGAATCCTGGTGCTTGCCACTGCAAAACTATGGCGGATAGGCATCAGCGCTGATGCCACATGCAGCAGCAAGGGAAAGACACCCCTAAATACTACGTGTCAGATCCTCGGCGAGCAAGTTCTGCTCTTCTCCCGCTTACAAAAAAATTTTAAGCCCCTGTTAAACCAAACCCACACTATCTTACGCGCCGTGTCGGCAGCGGGAGCAGGGAGGGCTACCCCTTAATCCCATGGCAGGCTTTCCCTCCACAAGGTTTTCTAGCCTTCGTGCTGGAGCAGGCAGCAAATGGTATTATGTGGTAAAGTACCTCAATAGAGTATGGGGCGCCACGACTTGTACCGAACGGCTAGTTTCAAGGTCTTTGGTGACTTTATTGAACGGATAGAAGAACGGGGGCTGGAAGATGCCTTGCTCGTAAAAAGGTGGAACCAGTGCATGAAGACACAGCTGGCCATACTCCGCTGGATAGTTGAAACCAAGAATTATCGATTGATGCAGCTCTGCTCTGCGACGATCGCTTCCTATTAGTTCTCTCTCCATGGTTTCCCCTTTCTTTGAATCGCCTGATGCGACGCAAGCGACGGGCGCTTTCCCTGCACCTGGGGAGCACCCCCTGTGTGCAGTGTTCGGCTTCGGTAGGGATCCAGAGGCAGGTAGAACCGCAATATCGAGCAGCGAACGGGCGAGAGCAGCGACTTTTTCTCGCATGCTAAGCAAGAGAGGAAGATGCGCCCTTCGCAACTGCCTGATGTCATAAATGGAGGCTTTTGGGGCCGCGATCAGGTGAATGAATGATGAGGGAAACGGATACGTCAAGATGACAAAATGGAAGGAACGGAAGAGCTCGGTAAAGCCTTGAGAAGGGCACTCTTCGAAGGAAGCCGTTACACCCAGAGGACGCGGCAAATCACCTAGTGCTCGCTGCAGGGGTACCACCCTGCCGCTTTTCCACACTCTTCCTTCCTCCCTATTCCCCCCTTCTGCCTTTTGCCTTTTTTCTGCCTTAGATAGCAGTGTCGCAGTCTGGTCATGATTTACCTGCCTAGACACCACGAGGTCGCGGAGGGCATCTCGCCCTATAGGGTGAATGTCCAGGTCTGTCAGCTCCTTTCGGCAAAAGACGCAGACAGGAGATGGCAAGATATTGGGTCTGGTGCACTTCGGGCATATCTTCTTGTGATACCGGTTGGTGAAATAGCGTTGCAACGCAGCGGAGTGGTGGTACGAGGCAGAGGCCAGGGACGAAGGAGGTAAAAGACTAGACGCGCGCGAACGAAATTGGCTTAGGGGATGGAGGAAGCGCGGAGTGCAGTCCAGCAGCGACGAGGAGTACATCAAGTGGCGGCTAGCGCGCATTTTTTCCATTCGTCCCTCATTGGTGGGGGGCGGAGGGAGCTGGAACAGGAGTCCAACAGTACAGAAGCAACAGGTCTTACCTCGACCGTTTCTCTAAGCTAGCAAACACTTCAGGGCGGGTAAATAGCGAAAAGGCAGCAACGGCAATGGACTTTCATTGACAGTGGCTCGTTGCGCGGCGATATCGTGAGAATTCGCAAGGAACGCATCAGGCATATCGGCCCCCCTCGAAGTACAGGAGGGAAAAGTGTTTGGGTAGGCAAAGAATACAGCAGCAAAACGGAAACCCAAGAGAACAGGAGTGTTCATAGCATCTTTGGCAGCTCCAGGAGGCCCAGCCCCATGAGAGCGAAGCATCTCATGAATGACGAAAAGAGAGCAACCCTCTTGCAGTAACACCCCCCGTCCCTACCCCCTCTCCAACGTGGGTTTTGTTGGTTTGTCTCTTGAATATTCACATACGGGCAGTTTAGGGTGCGTTCCTCCTTTCAACACCATAACCTCCCCAAGTTTGCAAGAGCACCACCCCCTGGACCGGGTTCTGCACGATCGCGCCGACGCCTCTCCTGAACGTTGAGAAAGCACTTTGATGCCGAAAATGAACGACTGCGGTGCCTCTTATGCTTAGTTACGGGCTGTCATCAGCGTGTTTTTGCCACACCGTGCGTCGGCTGCCTCCATAGACAGCCTTCACCCCCCTTCCGCGTGAGCAGTGCCTTCTCCTTCAGCGTCACCTCTTTCCCGCACGCCGCATAAACTACGCCCCCTGTTATGAAGGAAAAGCTGATGAATGGCTAGGGCCTCTGGAGCCTAAGCGAGGAAGCAGTTTCAAGATGGAGGCCGCATCGCCATCCCCCCTCCATCGGTACGGTCACTCTCCCTGCAACGATGAAGAATTCCCTCCTGCTGTGCGCGCCACGCATGTGTGCGTCCAAGCTGCACCCCTCGATTGTAACCGCCTTCTGGCTCTGCTGTTACGTGTTTACGCAGGCGCGGGCGTCTCCGCAAGCGCATACACATCGATGATGACAGCGACGGCGAGAAGTGTGAGGCGGGGGATGCCAAGCGGCCTCCTTCTGCGCCAGCATCCGATAAGCGCGGCTCATTCATGGAGTCTTTCGTCCCACGCAGCCCTTCCGCCTCCACAGAATCTCCTGCGCGGCACGATGAGAAGGAAGACATAAGGGACTTTCCTGAGGAAGCAGCGGATACAGACAGCGCCGCAGCAAAGGCCACGCAACCCAAACGGCTGCGCCTGAAGATGCAAAAGGGGGAAGATGCCTCCGATTCTGGAGAATTCCTCCCTCGTAGCCCCACACCGCCGTCGGAAACACGTGAAACAGCCACAAAAAGCGAGCGAGAGCCAAGCACGCCCAAACCCGAGAGGCCCCTCTGGCGTAGAGACCGACCTTCAGATTCATCAGAGGTAGATTTCTCACACTTCCTGCGGCTACCTGCATCTATCTGCCTTTTTTCATCTCTCTCTCTTTGTGTGCAATGTATGTATGTATGGGTGTATGTGTATGGGTATACAGGTATATGTATGTACACATATGTATGTTTCTTTTTGTATGCCTGTGTATGTGTATGTATATAAATATATATGTTTCTGTCTGTATATCTGTGCGTAAATATGTATGTATGTGCAGGTATGTATGTATATATATGTATGTTTCTGTCTGTATGTGTATGTATGTGTGTGTGCCTCTTTGTTGGGATGGTGGCTAAAGTATGTATTCCACCACCCCTATCGCCGCCCTACACACCTTCCATCACGCTTTTTAGGAAGCTGGAGGGGGACTGGGCTCGCTATTGTGCAAAACGCTCATGAAGAAACGCGATCTACCCCATTCCTCCCCCTCCTGTACTGTCCCCCTCTTCTCCAAATGCACTCCGTGCCGCTGCCTGTATTGCGCTGCAGGCCAGCGAGGACGATAGGAGCTCTCAGTCAAGCGCTTCCCTCTCTTCGAGTAGTAGCGGCTCGGAGAGCAGCGACTTGGAAGACGAGGAGGGGCCCCTGTCGCCGCTCGGACGTCCTGGGGGTGCCTCTGCCCAAAGGCGGTGGATAACTTCCCCCTCCACTGAGGGCGAATTTCAAGAAGCTCTGGATTGGTGCCTCTCCTATATTGAGAAAGACGGGCACACATTTGCAACAACCGCCACCAAGGAGCAGCGGCGCTTGGAAATCGCCTTGTGGGATGACGAGCTGACCCGGGGAGGCACCGTGAGGCTATCTCAATATGCATGTGTGCTAGCTAGCTAGCTAGCTAGCACACATGCACGCTAGCACACCTAGCCCGTATACGTAGGCACGCACATGTATGTATGTATATATATGTAGATAAAGATACAGAAACTAGGTAAGAAGGATAATTCTTAGGGAGCAACGCCTCTTGCCATGGGGGTCACTTAGAGGCTCTAGGAGCCCTCTGTTTGCGCTACTGGATGAGTGTACTAAGCGCACGGCTGTGCGCGCAGCTGAAAGCGCGCAGCCATTAGAGGCTTTAGTGGCATGCAGAGGCGCGTCATAGAACGCGGCTTTGGGGAGTTGTGTGTTCGCGTGCTGCGCTCGCCCTTGGAGCTTAGATCGTCTCTCCCCATGCGGCTGTCTTGGATGCCTGCCTTTATAGCGCTCCTTTGCGGACGCCTTCTTCTGCGACCCACAACGCGCCCTAAGTGCACAGCACCTCCCCGCGACAACCCCTGAGGAGAAGGCGATTGTGTTTCTGGATTTCCCGAATGAGGTATACCAGACGGAGTTTCTGCACCTGTGAGCGCTACATGAGGAAACCGCGCCGGCGGAAGCGCATTGCTGCTGCAAAGACATGAACGGAAAGAGAGGGGCATAAATGCACGGAAAAGTTGTATTGCATAGTTGACCGCACGCTGCCAACCTGTCTCCTCTGCAGCCGCATCGTCGTCGTATATGCCTATTTCCGCGGCGAGCGATGCATTACTTCTCTGCATGTGATTAACTCCACGCCCCTATATGCGCTGCACCTCCGTCTGCAGGCGCGTTGTAGAGGCGCGCACGCGCCGCGTAGTAATCGCCAACCTCCTAAAATGTGCAGCTGACCAGCAGACCGCCCACCAAGAATACGTCCGATGGCTCGAAAAAAATCAGCGCTTCTTCCTAACCCACGAAGAAAAGCTCAACAAGTTGTTTCATCTGAGAGTCGCGGAGCCTAAAGGGTTGCGCAAGGTAACTTTAGCGAACAGGAGGAAAGGGGCGCACCTATATGTATATATATATATATATATGCACACACGTATATATGTGCACACATGTACATACACATATATATACATATACATACATAAAAAGAGAATGCGAAAGCTTGTGTGAAATGGGTGTGTTGTGGGTATATATATATATATATATACATATATATATATTATGTACGTGGGTCTGTCTTCTCCGTACCTATGTGTGTCTCTTGCGCTGCACGTCCATGCGCTTGTCTGTTGCGGTTGCTGCTTCTGGCGATTGCTGCAGCTGCAACATCTTCTCCTGCGCGCTGAGCAGTGCTGTCTGATCGAGAGGACGGCATCCTTGGGATATCGCCGTGTGACGGCTCAAGAAGAACCAGATGTGGCGTACTGCGGTAGGCTGCCGTCCTCCATTGCCTCTCCCTTCTCGAATCCCAGCGACTGTCACGCCTTCCCGTTCTCATTTGTGGAATTGGCGAAAGCACGAGGGAGGGCTAGACGGGTTTTGAACACATATAGTCCTACGCTACAGTCCATGAAGACGCTGCTCCCTTGTTTCAAAAAATTATTGAGATATGTATATTTGTATATGTGCAAAATATTTGTTTATGTCTGTCTGTGGATGTGGATGTGCATAATGTGTACTGTGGTGGTGCAGCGCGTGGCGCCTCGCCTCCCAAAGCAGCAGCATCTGCCGACCCTTCTAATTCCTTCCTTTTTGGCCCTGAGGATTCGCAGTATGATCAGGATGCGTTTTCGGATGAAGAAGGAAGCTGCAGCAAGCTATGGCTAGGAGCATCGATGAAGGGATGGGCGGCGCTGAAGAGGAGCGGCCTTTCACGGAGTGCTATCAGTCAGACGGCATTGGAAGGTTCGTTGGTCTAATACCGTTCCACGACGCCATACATCGATGCATTCATGCATCCGTGTACATATGCACATACACGTTGCGCGGTGCTGGGGAGGCCCTTCTTGAGGGGGCGGAGTGTGCAGTGCGCGTCAAACTTAAGGAGGCGTGGCGTTGACTCTGATCCGACAACACCAGGGCGGCATCCATCGCATGCCGCTCTGGTGTTGTCTCTAAAAAGCCTCTCTTAAGGCAGACACAAAGCTGGCCAGTGACGGCGAGACACGTTGCGCGCAGCGTGCTCCTGCCGCTCCTGCGCAGAGGAGGCTGCCTTTTCTTGGAGGCATGTGTGTAGCTTTGTGGGAGGTCTGAAGTGTCGCGATGTGCGTGCTGCCGCGCGCTCTGCCATTTGCATTGCCCATGGGCGCCTTCCTTTTGTACAGCATTCAGAGGGGGAGACAGGTGTGCTGCGCTGTCTGCTACGCCGTGCGTGCGATGGTGCTTTGCTCAGCCTCCCTGCAACCGCAGACGCTGAAAGCGCGCGTCAAAGAAGAGCAAAAGCGACGGCAGGAGCATCGAGATGCCGAGAAGCAACAGGCGCGGAGGGCCGCCTTGAGGCAGCGCTGGACGGATATTCAGAGGCTCGCAAGAAGCACACACCACGGGTAAGTGTCTACGCATGGCGCTGCTTTCGCGGACCGAAGGCAGGACAGGGATAGGCAGATTCTACATCATCCGGAGAGAGAAATCTCAAGATGGACATATATATATGTATATTATCAAAAGACAGAGCGAGACTTTTGGACACATCGAAAGCAGCAGCACTTAGGAGGTGGCGCAGTAGAGCGCGTACAGGCGCGAGAACGGCAGGAAAAAGCTCCTTTGAGCATTACAATTTCTCGACGCCTCTCTGCTAGCAGCCCTCTGCCGCGTCCGCCTGCACGCTTTTGCAGTGGGCATCTGCAGATATACCCAAACACCGCAGGTTCTCTATTTGGCAGATATCTTATTCGGCTCCTCCTCTGTGTTTGATGATGCTGCCTGGCGCTGCGCACGCTGTTTAGACGCCTCACTGTCCGTTGACGCTCTGCAGGAGGAAGGCGGAGGGGGTTCTCAAGGGGCTGTTCTTACCATGTATGTGGATGTGCATATGTATGGATATGTGTATCAACGTGTGTGTATATGTATGGATATGGATATTTATGTGGATATATTATGCCCCCTCTTTGCCTTTGCTGTCGCAGGCCGCGTTTTCATCATCCAAGCCGCGAGGAATTTGCCAAGGCGCAGAGCTTCGCCGCGCGGGGGTTCTCATTCAAGCGACACGTGCGGGAGGCCGTCCTTTATAGCTCTTAGGGGGGTTGGGACGGATATTTTCATGAATAAATTTATGTAGAGACGCACCCATTGGCTGTTGGGCATGAGTGAAAGCTGCCTCGAAAAGGTTTCTGCCGCGTGCAAGAGTCTGCCCAGGAGCGGAAACTTTTACATGATGAACCTCTGGGCCATGCATGTCTGTGCAACAGTATCAAACGACCCCATTTTCCACCTTTTTACACTCTCTTTCTTCCTCTCTATTGCTTGATCTCTGTATCCATCTGCGTTCTGTATCTCGCAGGAAGTGGTGTACGTTCGGCCGCCCCAAGAACTCGCGGGAAAGCCCCGTGCAGCGCTCGACGAGTACTTGCGGCAACTGCCGCGCATGCACAACTTGCTGGCAGAGCCTCACAAATTGGTGCGTGCATGCTCGTGCCAGGCGTCCCGCCTACCCCACCCACCCACCTCCCTACCCATGTGTTACACGACGCTAGTTCTCCTCTTCCACAGCACGTCGTTGTCCAATAAATAGGCGTGCAGACACGCACTGATGCATGCATGCATCCACGCACGCCTCTAGGATGCAATGCCTTTTCTCTCTCTCTCCCGTGGAAGAAGGCATGGCGCTGGAAGAGATTTGCTGCCTTGCGCATCAAGCCTGCATCACCACGCCTCCGCGCAGAGACGCTTATCGCGCGGGTCACGTTGCCGCCTGTGTGTAATTCAAAAGCCTCTCCCCACGATTCAGTAAAGACGCGTGTGCTGTCTTTCTCAACTTGTTTTTGACGCGCCTTCAGGCGGTCGCGTCTAAGTACGGCCTTGTTCGCGTAGTTTCCGAGGACGAGAATCACGCGCTTCCCCCGACAATCGAGCGGCATATTGAGCCATGGCGGCTCAAGGAGGCGCGTTCCCACTGGAAAGATCTGGAGAGCGTTTTTGGCTATGCTCCTTGGAGCATTATGGGGGGGGGAGGAGGCCTTGGAAACTTCATTCCTGCGTCTCTTGCAACGCGGCTGAGAGAGAAGCTCCGCCGAGGCGAAACCCTGGGAGACGGGGAAGGAAGCGGAGAATCAACAGAGGCTGGCAGGAAGACAGCTCCACGACAGGCGTCAAGAGGACGCTCTGCCTCAGCATCTCCTCGAAAAACACCCTTCAAACGCGCGCCAGCAGAAGCTGCCAGTGCTACTGGTGCCGCAGGGGAGGTGAACAGCTCCTCGCTACCCCCCGCGGAAAGAAACGCGGTGGCTGCAGAACGCAATGCGTCTAGAACTCCCACGCGTGCAACAGCAGCACCCACGAAGTCGAAGCAGCAGCTCTCGTGCGACAGTCACCACGGCGTACATCCGCTTAGAACGCCAACCTCTTCCAGCAGGCTGCTGCGAAAAGGAATTCTTGCGGAAGAAAGTGCTCCGAAAGCCGCAGCTTCCGGTGCCCCTGAGACAGGGGGGATGCAAGCGACGAGCGCGGCCCCTAAAGACGCCTCTGCACAGCTCTCGCTCAACGTTTGCAGGCGTGTCAGTGGCGAGGAAGGAGAAGGAAAGGAGAAGGAGATGGAAGAGCACCAGCAGCAGCAACAGCACCAGCAACAGCACCAGCAGCAGCAGCAGGCGCTTCCTCCTTTTGAGGCATCTTCCCCTCAATCTGCATCTTCACGAAGCCTTCGAGAGTCATCTTGTCATCATGAGGACAGCGCGGTGAAGCATGTGGCGAGCACGGCAAACGCTTCAAAAGATGAAGCGCAACAGCTGCCAGCTGAAGGCGCTGCAGCACGGCCTGCTGTACCTGCTCCCGATCCACCTGCTTCTGAGTCTGGGCGAACCGCAGAGGCAGCCTCGGCAGAGAACCTTCAGCAAGCCGCCTTGCAGCCTTCCACTACGGCACAAACAGCGCCCTCCGAAGGCAGGAGTCTCGAGCATGTGGCTGCAAATCCGAGGCAGAAGCCGCGGCAGGCAGACGGCACTTTCAGCTTGAGTGGGCCTCGTCAAATGAAGCTAACGGAGCTTTTCCGCTTAACGCTTCGAAAGGTTCGGGGGAAGCTGTCTTTCGCAGGGGCGGAGTCTGTCTGGCCGTCTGCTCCACCCAGTGATCTCCAGCTGGATGACGAAGCCTCCGAGGACGACGTTTTCCGCGCGCAGAAGAAGTCTAGGAGAAGGAAGTGCATCGACGAAGACACGCTGTTGCTGCCACAATATGTTCCGCCTCGCCCCGATGGCGATGCTGCCGGAGATCAACCTGAGCAGGCGTCTTCTGAAGCCGCGGCAGAAGACGCCTTGCTCGCAGTCGGAGGCGGAGCAGGAGTTTCTCCTCGAGCAGCGCCTGCCGAGAATGACAGCCTGCCACAAGAAACCCCAGCAGCAGAAGACGATTCTGAAGCGGTGGACCGCCAAGAGAAGAAGAGACGCAAAGAACTGAAGCGGAAGCAACGAGATGCAGAGCTCAAAAGGCAGAGGCGCTTGGAGCGAAAACAGCAAGTTCTTCTTCGCACGCCACACCAGACCGCTGCTGCACACCCTGGGAGACGCGTCTATATTTCTCACTGTCGCAGGATTCGCCTGCCACAGCGCCTCTCGAATTCTCTTAGGACTGCGTCATGCCATGTTCTCTCGTGCCTGGCGTGCTGGGGTGTGTTGCTCTTCGGCGTGTATTCAGACGCATGCGAGAAATCGTGCGGCAGATGGTGGAATATGAGGCGGAGGAAAATGACGAGGAGCTGCGGGAAGACGCCGAATACGCCGCAGCCCTACAGGAGCTGAAGCACAGGCTGGCGCGAGAAGGCGATGATGAAGAGGACGAGCTGGAAGACAGGTAGGAACTGCAGCCGCTTCTGGGCTACTACGCGTCTGTCTGTCAAGTAGCGCGCAGGCGGCATAAGAGCCGTCTCTGCATGCATTCGAGGACGTGCGGGTAGAGCGGCTTTGCCGTCCTGTTCAGCCGCGATGGGAGCGAAGGAGAGAGGGAGAGGAGAACGGGAGGTTGGGGGTTGAGAAGAGCTTTGTGCTATCCCTGACGTTACGCTTTGAGCCTGTGAAAAGAGTGCCTCCTCTTGCATCCGATTCTCTCATACTTGCGTGGACAGAAGCGTCCTGACTTTTGAGAGACATTTCCTTCTCCACTGTGGGGCTTGAGGTGTGGGGCGGCTCGAGTTGGAAGAGCTGGCAGACGTAGCGAGCACTTTTTGCTGAACTTGTTTTGCAGCGATACCGAATTCTTGGAAGACTTGGTTGCGAGGCCGGAGGACGCGGATGAAGAAGAACGCAACGAAGACAGGGAAGCGATGAACATGAAGTTGCAACGAGATCTAAGTCTACGCGAGGAGGAGGTGTATGAACGGCTTATTGGGAGTACGCGTGTTTGAGACCCCCCTAAGGGGGAAAAGCAACCCGCTGCCGAGTCGCACTGCATGCAAACAATGGGTTTCCTTTTGTTCGTGAAGGTCTTACAGACCACGAGACCGAAGCAGACTCGCGTCTGCTGAAAAGCTGAGAGCTTTTTCCCGCTTTGTATTTGCGCAATTTCGGAGGGACGCTTCCCGTTCAGCCGCACAGGGCCCTCACCGACAACATGCATTTTCCTTCTTCTGCGCTTTCGACACACCTCTGTCTATCACTGCAATCTGCGTTTTCTCTTTCAGGATACCAGCGTAATGCCAACAAAGAAGGAACTGAGCTCACGGAGCAGGAAATGTTAGAGTTAGAGATGGAGGAGAGGCGGCGAAAGCAAGCCAAGCGGAGGAAGCTTTTGGGTGATGGAGCCTTTGCAGTAAGGCAGACACTTACAGAAGCTGCTGCAATCCTTTTGTTTCCACTGACAAACAGATGTACATATACACGGATGGACCGAAAGAGAAGTTTCAAGCTGTCTCAGCGTAGATCGGGCCTATCGTATCCAGTTGCATCGCAGGGCTTTCGCCTTTTTTTCCGTCTTTCCGAGCAGACAGTGCCATCAGCACTTGTATCATAAGTCTACCTTGCTGCCTTTCGTGTGCACTCCTTTCTGCACCCCCCACTAGATGTACGGGATCGTTAAATTGTTCGTTTGTGCGTTTCCTCACTTTGTGTGCGGGTGTGGGGGTTGCTGCTGCTGCTCCTCAGGACTTGGAAATCGATGACTGGCTGTCAGAAAGCAGCGGATCTGGCTCGGACAGCAGGGAGGATGAAGAAGAAACAGCGGAAGACAGCGCTGAAGGTCTTGTGCGCTGGTCTAGCTTGGCGCTCGAAGGTGCAGCCAACGCCCCAGGGGGCACGACTCTGGCTGCCGCAGCACCGCCAGTAAACCCTGCAGACCTCGTGGCCAGGTGTCACGCGAATGCAAGCAGACGGCAACAAATCCAACAGCTCCGCGAATCGAGGAAGCGTCGAAAGCTCCAGGAAAGCGGCAAAGTACCAGTTCTGCGAGGAGCGGGGGAAAGCGCCGGCTTCGGACAGAGCAAACAGTCAGCAAACCTCCCATCACCTCCAAAGCAGAGCGGCGAGGATCGCGAATCGCACGCCGCCAACTCTTCAGACAGCGATGACGAGATGGAAAACCTGTACAGAAGTGCTTCCCTGGTGCAAACGATAGGGGGGACAGTCAAGGGGCCCTTGCAGAAAGCGGCGGTAGGGGGCATGCAGTCTTCCTGCATTCGTTTCAATCCCAACTACCAACCGGATTTCGAGCTCGCCAACAGCAGCAGGTAAGATTGTACACCTGCATCCTAAAACGCATGATGCCCTCTTCCCTCCCTCCCCTCTTCCATACACGAAACTTTGAACGCAAGGCACATGATCGAAGTGCCCTCTATCGACGGCGCAAGGCCACATTTATGGGCTCTTACTTGTGCGCTGTGTACAACACAGCCGGACGGTAGCTCCAGTTTTCTCTGGGTTCCGCTCAAGAGACACCCGACGCAAAACGACGAATGCCAGCCCTGGGCAAGCACCGACGTCGCGGGCTCCCAAGAGTTCAAGTAAGCGATGAAGGAAATACCTATATATACATATATTGCTGTGCAGACCTGTGGCTGAAGTACGAATTCATGAGCGAGACCCTCTTTTCTCGTACCTCGATCTTCAGGCCTTCGCACTGCACGGCGTCTGCCGCTCGAGCCGCCAGTCTCGATTCTTCTTCGTCTAGGTTCATTTCTAATGACCATAATATGTATACTACGTGTGCGCACCAGGCTCTGGATTTTCCGGTCTCCTCAGTCGGCTGGTGTCTACCTCCTCGACGTCGCAAAAAGGAAATTCCAAATAGTGCAGCCCCACGATAATCCGTACTACAACGCTACAGATACGAATATAACTATATTCTGCCACTACCGACACACCCCAAACAGAGCGTTGCCGATGCCAATGGAGATTCGGGGAAGGGGCGTTCTTGCAGGACAAACTTCGATCCGTCGAGCCGTGCCGGTGCCGCAAACAAAGTCCGTTTAAGTCGCAGCTTAGCCTTCTGTTGCAGCGGGTGTGCAGGCTAATCGATTTCACACGGTCACTACGGAATACACGTTTCTGCGTTCATGTCGCTACGTTTGTTGTTGGTTCTTCCAAGCTGTCGCCCTCCCTATTGGGAATGGACACTTGTGCGGCCAGGGGAACGTAACAGCAATTAACTTCACATCGCAAAAACCTCGTTCTAAGTGCATTTCAGGTACCTCAACAACACGTTAGTAGACGTCTCGTCAACTTTCTCGACGAAGCCCGAGAAACGGCGCGCTGGGCTACGTACTGCTTGGCATGCGAAGAACCCTATTTATCCTCCTTGCGGTTTCCACGCATGGCACTGTGGCATGAAAATTTTCACGTACTAGGCACGCTATTAATGGGGACTAGTGCTGTGCAATCACTCGCTTTCCTGTCATTTTCTGCTCGGCACGCACTGCTGCACGACTGTCTTCTACCAGGATGCCTGGGCCTCCTTTCAGACTCTGGAATAATTAGAGGTAGCACCACCTCCTAGATTTGTATTTAGAATCTCCAGCCGTAGTGTCCACATATGCATAATTAAAGCGACCTCCAAGTGTTTTATTCGCAAAAAGTACAAAACAAATTGGCTGCGCTGGCGCTTCCTTTCCGTACACGCAAGCCCCAAGGATGAAGCACTTGCTAGGGCTGTGCTAAAGCATTCTGTTGTCCGCTGTGTCGCAAATTTATACATCAAAAAGGTTCCGGTGCTCTTGAAGAGGAATGACGCAACGCGCTAAGGGCTGCGCAACTCCGACTGTGAAGCTTTTGAACCAGGAGAGAAAGCCGGGCCCTCCTCGTCGTCGCCTCGGCCCAGTGCAGTATAGTGATACAGTTTTAGCATGTGCTTATTGAGCAAGGTAAAAGGTCTTTCCACAACATACAGATATGTTGCGACTAGTACCATACAGGTACCCATGCAAAAAAGAGGGGAAGGGTAGAAATCACCAATTAGAATCCATGAGACTACGCAAGAAAACACGATAGACATGGCATTACCAAAGCATTTGAGTATGTTATCCGCGTATTTAAGGACCGCAGCAACTACAAGGCCTCCCAAAGCCTGCAACAGAATCGCTGCCACGGTCAATCCGGTGTATCCCTGAAAAAATCCACCCTCGCGGATTGCAGGTCCATCGTTCCACAGTGCGCCGACAAGTCCAGCTGCCACTCCGTAAAGCGCCAACTGCATGTTGTTTACCCAGATGGTAGTTGTTCTCTGCTTCAGCAGCTTTTCAAGATACACTCCAGCAAGGCCGCTGGTGAGGCATGCGCATAGCACGGCCACCAGGCCGAAAATGGGGTTGTTGTTCATGGTGGCACTGTTGTCCGCATCCTCGGAAAAGGTCCTTGGTGGGTCGGCCTGCGCGGGATACTGAATCAGAGTCACGCCCACGAAGAGAAGAAACAGCGCTCCCCATCTAAGGGAGGAGAGACTTCGTCCTAGCAGAAGCACCGAGAGAAGGGCAGTTGTGAGAATCTTGAGCTGGTAGGTCACCTGGTACATAGCCCCCGACAAATTAGACAAAGCAATGAAAATTAAATTATTCTGTAAGGCATAGAGAAGTCCGGGAACCGCCACCTTGGCCATTTCCTTAGGGCTATCAATGATATGCTTGTACACTGCGAATGCTGTATCGCGCACGCTCTTGTTCTGCTCGAGCCATAACAGCGGGATAGAGGTCAGCAGCTTGACAACTTCGGCCGAGACAACCGCCGTTGTTGTGAGATAGGGCTTTCCTGTCTGAAGATCGATGGAACGGGAGAGGCGTAGCACGGTGACGCTAGCCACTGTCTGCCCCACAAGAGCCAACAGGGCAACCCAACGCATGGGGACCCCCCAGATACTGGGGTCGCCCTTACCCACAGTGGAGCCCATTCTAGCGCATTCGGACAAGCTTCATGCGCAAGGACAACACGCAAACTTATCGCCCCGTGCTCCTGAGTGTAGTCTCGGCGCCGGGATGTGCGAAGGCGCTGATACCATACAGCTAAGCCAACAGATACGCACACAACAACCGCCTTTCTTCATGTCCTGACTCCGCAGCTGCCACGTTTGCAAATGTGCAACATCGATCGCCGGTGCTACAAGCCCGTCAGCAGTCCAGATAGGAAGTGTAGCGCACTAATGCCGAGAAACACATGAGTAAAGCTTCTGAAGAAGAGGGCAATATAACCGGCTGAATACTTTGTGAGCGACGCGAAACCTGTCATTGCATGCTAGTGCAGTGGGTGTTGAAATTCCGAGCACGCTGCGCCTGTGTCCCCCATATTGGCTGGGTCCGAAAGAGGCCAGGCTGCCCTTTGAACCAGCACAGTGGAGCGAGAGCGCTCATATAAACAGTTTTCTAAAAGCATTACATCTTGAGGCTGAAGGCACAAGTAATACCTGTAGATAGATAAAATGTTTTCTTCTTCACTTTTATGCCGCATGCAACATGCCCGCGCAGCCATGGTTTTGTTTCAACGGACAGCCTCTACGTCTAAAGTCGCGAGCTTCTCTACCACTGCCAGCGGAGGAAGGCTTCTAAATCCCAATCCTAGGCCGACACAGTACCAGACGGTGATTGTGAACGAGGCAGTTAACCCCGCCCCGGGGAAGCCGTTCAGCTGGACGCCTATGCTGATCGGCGCAGGGGTCTTCATGGTCTTGTTCCCCTGCATCCAGACCAAGATGGAGCTCAAAAAGTACTATAAAGAGGTAACGTGTCCCCCTGCACAGGTGTTCATGCTTTCATGAAGGCGCAACGCGACATTCGCCCAGTGGTGTGCAGAGGTGTTGGGCGAGGTAAATACGGGGACCAAAAGGGACATTGACGGTAGCAGTCAGTCAGCGTTTCAGTTGTGAATCGGAGTGATGCATGGCGTGGAGGCATGCGATGCCCCGTGCCAAAGCCAGGGGCAAATGCAGACACCGAACAGCACAGAGCCCATCGTACTCATTCAGAGTGTTGTACCGCTTATGCTCGCCATGGTGGTAGGGGGATACTTGCCTCATTGCGCATACCCACAACATGAATCGAGTCCGAGTGTCTGGATGCCTTTGTTGGGGGACTGACTGTGCGTGGTTTGCGTCTCTTATACATGTATCGGGTCGGGGTTCAGTTGGTGAGAGGTGCAAGAGGAGTTCAAGACTAGCGGCGTTGAAACTCCCTTCCCGTGCTGCTGTCTCCTGTCCGTTTGGTGCTCAGACAGAGCACCTCTACCGGGATGGCTGGAGCGTGTTTCACTATGACAAGATGAAGAACGACTTTCTGTCGTGATGTGCCTGCCAAGCGCTGTTGTCGGGGGAGGACGGCAGGGGCATCGATCGGTATTCGTAAGTCCGGCTGGACTAGGTCTGGTTTTTGATTGTTTGGTGCCCAACTAAAAGGCTACAGAGAGAGGCGTCCTTTGAGAAGCATTAAGCCTGCACTCCGCGAATTGTGGAGCCTTTAGATTTGCCGTCCCTCGTGAATCGGAGGTGGCGAGCGCGACCCCACTATTCAGGGGTCTTGCCCCTTACTTACACTTTGCAGGAGGCATTCACGCTCGACGCCCTCTGGCGCCGCAACAGCTCGGCGAAACCTCTTTTAAATGACGGATATTTCCGTACTGCTATTTTCGGGTCATTTGCCCGGCAGTATATCATGCTATGGAGCATAATGGGCGTGCGTTGTAAGGAAAATTTGACGCTCTAGAGTATCGCACCGCTATTCCAGGAGTTACTATGACACACACTTAATGGTTTGCTTATAAAGATCTTGGGCATCTCCCTTGCGCATGCACCATCTCCCTATTTGTGCTCTACCACTCTTTGGATGGACTCCTCGATTTTGCGCTTCTTCCTTCGCTTTCTTTCTTCTCATTCTTGCTGCCCCGCTTTGTCATCTTCTCTGTTGGCGGGCTTTACACTCTCTGCCGAGGGCCGCTCCTCGGGCTGCTAAAGGTTGGGTGTGACAAACACGAAAGAGCGAACATATTCTCCGCTTGATTCAGAGGAGATGTCAAATTGGGCGCTTCCTGAGAACTTCTGTCGTGCCTGTGTCGCCATTATCTCCACTTCCCCCCCCGCGTCGTTCTGAAAACACAGTTACGTTGTGCATGCGACAGAGCTCCTGTGTTGCACTTACCAAAGCGCCCGCGTGGATCGCAGCGCGGCAGACAGAGGAGATAGGGCTGTAGAATCCTGTAAGAAGGGGTTAGCATCGCGAAGGCGACCAGCGGTGACACTGCTTTAGCTCACCGCTTCCATACACTGGAGCGCTGGTACTTGAGGCGCATCCGGGTGGGCAGACAATCAGCTCCCGTTCTTCAACGCCGAGCTTTAGGGTAAATAAGCCGTTCATGTCGCACGTTAGTACTCGGAAAGGGGGGGCCGCTTCGACGGAGAAGGACCGAAGTTCTGGGGTTGTGCTGTGCGTGCTGCGGATGCCTGAGAGGCGATGCCGCAAGATGTGATGCAAGACGACGCCTCCCAGCAAAGCTTCCCTTGCCTACCGAAATGGCCTTGCGAAGCGTCGTATGACGGTAGACCTTCTGCAACGACGACCACCAGCTCCCCCCCCTCCTTCGGTAAGGCTCCCGAGTGCAGCCCTGCCTTGCATATGGAGCTTTTCGAAGTATAAGTTTTGCAGCCTTCGAGCGGTCCGCTTGCGTGGAGACAGTCGGGGGGACAGTGGGCAAGCACTTTCTGCCCGACATAGCCGTTGAACTCGTGTCGCCGGAGAGAATCGGTGCACGAGAGCATAACTGCAGGCTTAGTAGGCCGTGAAGCCTCGTCTGCCCATGCAGGTCTTTGGGCAGTACACGGAGAAAGACACAGTCTCCCATCTTCCGTTCTTCTGCTCTCCCCGGGGGCTTGTGGGAGATGAACAGTGAGTGTTTCAGCAGTGAAAGCATTCCGAATCGTTGCCACGGGAACTTCCCGGTTATAGAGCTTGACCCCCAGGATATCGCCCTGAAAGTAGTCCGCCTCCGCTGCACTGGCCCTCCCAATCATCATTCTTCCCTGCAACCATACATTTTTTGTCTTCTGTGCGGCAAATAAATTCCCGAGCGCTCGTCTCTCTCACTCTCAGGCTCATGTCAAAGTCAGCCTTCTCCGATGCTACTAGAGCACCATTCACAAAGAGCTGAACAAGCCGGCTGCTCGTGGAGAAGGACACCGCCGCATCGAATGTTTCTGTCCATGCAAAATCGCGTGCACTTGCGTCTCGCTGCGGCACCGCGTGCTTGCCTCACCTCCCATCTTGGGCTTGAAGCCAGACTTAAGTTGATGCGGGTGGCAGGTTTGCTCGAAAATAAGTTCATCCGCCTGATCTATCACCAAAGAAAAGCCGTCACAGTCGCTGTGTGCAACGAGCGTGCGCCACTGCCCTTCCCCCCCTGCAAGTTTGCGAATGGCAAACACAAGCACAGACATGTAGCGGGTAAGCAGCTGACCAGTAACGGAGGCGCGAACTACGATAGTAAAATCCCTAATAGAGGACACCAGACTAGCTTCCGCCATGCTTGATGTATCCACGAAGTCATCAGGTCTTCCGTGGAAGCCTGCAGCGGCTCTGAGTGTTTTTTTGAGCTAGAAATAGTGATCTCTAGTACCTTTGTGTCCCTCTGGTGGAAACCAGTGGAAAATATCTGCGACTTGAGGAGCTGGTGGAGTGTGCAGTTCCATCATGCGTGTTGCATCTTTGTATGAGAGAAGCACCGCGCTGTTGGTCTGCTTGACATCACCAGGTGGTGCTGCAGTTGCTGCTGCTGCTGCACCCGTCGGACCGTAGCTTCCACGAGCAGCCTCTTCTGCCTGCGGATTCGTTCCCCCAGGGAGGCTTGGTGTTGCCATGGCCATGCCAGGCCCTATGCCAGCGCTTGTAGCGTCCTGCGGATGGGGTGCTGGCTGCTGAATAGAGGATTGCTGCTGCTGCCCTGCCCCTCTCGTCATCGCGGATTGGGGCGGAAAATGCGTCACTGTGTGTTCTGCGGAGGGCTTATGGCCAGAGATCAAGAGGCTGTGCACCGACTGGTCCACTCGCGCAGCGGTGACTGCAATGGCCACGTTCAGATTTGTGTGTGTGTGTGTCTCCGCAACCCCAAGAGGATGTCTTACATGATCTGCCATACGGCCCGCTCTCTTCGCTTTGAATCCCGTGCATTTCTAGCGCCGAAAAATGGTGTTGCGCATGACCAACGACAAGCACGCACTCGCCACCGTCTTGGGTAATTGCCCCGCTGTGGATTGCCGCTCGGCATATCTTTTGAAGTTCATGTTACATGCATGATTTGTGTAGGTGTAGTGAGGTGTCTCAGCAGCCTACTGATGAGTCTCCTGTATAGATGAATGCCCCTTTGACTTCTGCTCCCGTCGACCTGGAAGGCCACACATGGTTCCCAATGTTTTCTGTAGAGTTGCAGAAACATGCCACCGAGCTTACCCGCATTTCGATGGGCACACTATCAAGTGCATTGTTCCTGGAGGGCCCCCCAAGCCCTGGTGCGTTTCAAGGCTGTCGAAGCATGTCAGAGGCAGTGACCGCAAAAACTGTTTCTTCTGAACAACGGCTTCTTCTTTGCGGAACGCCCCAACCCCAGAGGGATCACCATCGCCCTCGCAGGCAACCACCACGTCTTCATCATGAACGCAGTACACATCGTCGCTAACATTATGGGGGCACTGATCAAGGGATGTCTCTCTGCCTGAAAACTCATCCTACTGCCTAGTGTGAGAAAACACGAGCATTCGAATCCTAACAAACCTGTACAGGCAAAATTCACGGCAACGATTCTCTCCTGTTCCTCGCCGCAATAGTTCTCCCCCATTATGCTGGAGCAGCTCTCATTTCCAGGACCTTTATCCTACGCGGAATACCATTTTCCTCTCTTGAAATCGGCTATCATGAATTTAGTAACTGACTTTCACACTGTTATAACCCATCTGACGGCATGCAACCTGCTCAGACTGTAGAGTCCATCCGTCCGAGCATACACTGCCAAAACCTGAAACGAATATATCCAATCAAATGGATCGGTCATTTTCGAAAGAGATCTCTCGAGAATCGCTCTCGAAGTGTATATGTCGTACCGTTGTTGTAATACTGGAGCCGCCCAATGCCAGATTTTGAGGGAGTGCCAGTCGGGCCAACAATGCGTATAGTCCCAGGCGGAGGCTCCACGCCAGACACGGTGTTGGTGCATTTGATTACGACATCGTCTCTATGCTCCATGCACATAGCCGTAGGCTTCTCGGCCGTGCAGGCGGACAGGGTAGACTCATTTCCTTTGCACTGTTTATCGACTATTGGTATGCTCTAAGGAGCCAGACAAATACAAAATTGGCCTCACAGTAATGCCTTAAATAAGAAGAAAACCATTGGTGCGGGTTTTAGAGGAAGCAATTTGAAATTCGAACGAACCTGCACTGGCGACCGGGTACCCCTTTTCGGCGCACAAGTTCGCCCCCTCGACGTCTTTGCAGCCATCTACTAAGGGCATGCCAGTCTTGAATCCTACAATGGCAATGAAAGAGGGCCCTCCTATGAACCGTGTTCCGTTGCAAGACCTACCTAGTTCCTGACACGCGATTATTGCCGCTTGTGGCGAAAATGTCAGGTAATCTCCCTTGTTGCTGGAAGTTGCATTGTGATGGATCGTGCACGTGCGGGCGACCCACGCAAAAATGGCTCTTACCAAACGCTTCCCCAAGTTTCACCATTCTTCATTTCCAATCGTCCAACAGACGATAGTTGGCCAAACTCTTCATTTGGATTTGTTGTATACATTTAATTGCATACCAAGCGTCACGCACAGGTGCCTACCGTTTACAATGCGAACGGTTGTCTCGATCAGATCGATCGAATCTGGATCAAGGAAGCCTATAGGTCCGCTAGTCTGATAGTGTTGCTAAATAATGCCGTACCGACAAGGTACAGGTAGAAGCTGTATTGCTGCCTTTCTGGGAAGTACGCAAAGTCGATGGACTCAATACCTGAAACCAAGATTTTTGTTGCGCGCTAACCGTTGGGACCAAAAAGGTGACAACGAACCGTTGAAGGCAACTCCGGAGTATTGCTCTACGGCCCCCACAGCTGTGATTACAATATCGCCTCCGGAGGCAGTGAGCAGACCATCCAGTATAGCAGCAGTGCAGATGGAGGAAGACGCGGGGTGAAGCGACGCGCCCTGTGTGTGGGCGAATTCAGAAGCTTGACAGTTCATTGGACAGTGAACCTTTGCAACATTCATGACGCTCGGGTTCCTGATAATTGGTGCAAATATGGCAGTGCATTCCACCATACGGGGTCACATGGTCTGAATACCCTTCAAATATATCTGCAGCGCGCGTGTGGCAGTCTACGTCTTGAGCTGCTAGCTCCAGTCCAGAGGGGTACCGCGGGACATAGGCTGAGGATGGATGGGGGGCCCCAATCCATCGTGACACTTTGAAACTCGCCGCATCTCCGTCAGTACGAACTGTCACGTGTTTGCAGAACCAAGGAGCCATGGTGGACTCGTTAGACACAACCACCGCTTCCAACGATCCAACTGTTCAGAAGTTACAAAATTAAACTGCATACAAGCAGTAACAAAGAGTAGTAAACACACCATCGGCTGCCTGCAGCTTGAAAGTCCTGTTGCTCCCGGGAGGGAAGCTGCCTTCAAGAACCTTCTGTCCCGATGAGCGTAACGACCCTATCAGAGTAATTCGCGGACGGTGGTGCGTGCCGCCTAATCCAGTCATCAGGTCTATTGTAGACCACATTGGAAACATGAGCATTGTGACTTACCTTTTGGATCCGGGCCGGTCAGTATGGTCACATCGTATACTTTGCTGCCAGACAGTGTAAAGGTCTGCGTCTACTATACAGTCTTGCGCATATGTTGCGAATCAACGTTTTCCTCACTGCTTCCGGATTTAGTGCGGATAGTGGTGCCCCACAGTCGAAAATCCAGTAACGAAAATCCTTCCAAACAGTCAGTTGCCGGCAAGACCACGCAGTTGGGCTGGTCAGGTAGGCATGGATCACTTCGGGATTACTAACGTCGACGCGATCTGCCGTCACCCTGAGGCGAAGAGATAGCTACGGCAGGAAAGTTCTTTAATAGTTAGTCGCACCGTTTGTTTGTACCCCCGCCAACTGATGCTATTGAAATGGGTTTTGTACGCCTGCCGTTGGAGCCCTCGATTACGATCTTCAGGTCACTCCTGCACCGGCCACTGAGTAAATCAAGTATTCATGAATGAAGAAAAAGTCATACTTTAGCTCTAGCCCGAATGAGGAGAGAGGCGAGACGTCAATTACATAGCGGGCCACCGCTTGGTCGACTGGAAGACACCGGGCATACTGGGGAAGTCCCGCCTGCGGTGATGCTCTACACCAGCCATCATCAGCACGCACCGTCCAAAGGCAACCCAAAAATACAGTCAAGGAAAAGTTGGACAACATCTTTCAGCAGTTCAGCAGGATGCCTTTCGTTCTCTTCCTCATAGCTCTTTGGAACAACCCGTTTCATGAGCAGTTCCATGCAAATTTCCCAGGTGTCTGTACACTGCAACTGATTGCTAAGACCATCATTCTTCTGTGGATAAAAGTACGAAATTTCCGCTGGGGAGTTCAGCCGGCACTAATTGCTACCTTCTCACTAAACTGCTTTTCTCCAGCCTCGTATCCTACCAGCAATAAGGAGTACAGGATTGCGCAACATACGTTGGATACAGAGTACGCAAGCCTCACTATCGCTATGCGCCTGTTTTGCACTGGAAGTTTGGAAACTCCACCTAAATTCTTGCGACTTAAATTTCACGTGCTGCACTGGAAAAATACCCATGCAAAAATGTGAATAGGGGGAACACCACCGGAAGTCAAGTGGGTCCCAGAATAAGAAACTCCTTTTTTCCTAAATAAGAACGGTAAAATGAGTAGAAATTCAACAAACACATCTTACCAAAATGCCGGGAAAAACAGTCTCACGCGCAGTGACACCGTAGTACGCCCTTGCGGGACGAAATTTGACCCCCACCACTGCCACGAGGGCAGCTAAGGAGGAGTTCACTCTTTCTCACATTTTTTCAGGCGAGCTGACTTATTGAGAACACGTACGTTAAGCTGTTCTGCCCTCTCAACGATCGCACAACGCTTCCTTGTAGATACGCCATGGGCGATCTCGGCGGCAAACTTTGTGTTGTGCATCAACAGCATATCTATGTCCTCAGGCCTCTCGACGCGGAACTTGTAAAAACCGCTCCTGAGCATGTGTCGGGTCTTCTTGTTTGAGCCGTAGCCAATGTTCGGCATAAGGTTGGTGCCCTTGAACTTCCGGCGAACACGGCAATCAATACCCTTCGGTTTCCTCCATGAGGACTGCAAGCAAAAAAGACGAAAGAAATTGCGGTGCAAGCGAAATTCAGATTCCGGGAAAATTCGTCTAGCTTCAATATGACCAGACCGCCAATAGAATGCCAGGCGTGTGGTCAATGAAATGGCTTTCTTACTAGACATCTGTACTATTGCCCAAGTTCAAACCATGCTGTAACGACTCACGCTAAGGCGCTTCCATCTGTCCGATTGAAAGCGAGGGAATCTCTTTGTCCGCTTCTTGATAATCGGACGCTTTACGGTTGAAACTGGAGCCATCTGCAACGCACCGCAAGCGACACTGAACCGAGGAGCCTAGCTCAAAATGGCACTCGAGGGAAGCCAATAAGGGGTTCGATACAATCAACCAGCAGTCTGATGCTGCATCGCCAGAGAAGAACAACCAGCTGAAGTACGAAATCGACGAATACTCGCACTGTCTGAATTCAGCGCTGTTATGTTGGCATTTCATGCCGGCCATCGGTACAAAGATGAGGCATCCACCGCTGGTGGCTACAACCAAAGCTTCAGTATGATATAAATAATGAGCAAAATGATCCCCGGTTTTGTGTAGGGAGAGGTTCAGCGACTAAAATGGCCCTGATCCCCCGTTCCCCACATGGCCCCTTTTGCTTAGGACGCTCACGGTGACAGCGGGAGATTAGCGATGGTGAGAAAAGATGTTAAGACGAATTCCCCGCAAAATAAACTCCGTCCAACCGCTGAAGGCACAGGCTGCGCCTCTGTGGTTTCCCTTGATTTGCTAAACGACTTATGGGGAACCTTCAGACGACCCCGCACCTGCCGCGGCTCCGGGGCTTGGTTGCATGCCTAGCATGCAAACACAACTCATCGAGTGTCATCCTAAGTTGATCGTGTTTTGGGGGTATTTTGGGAGTTGTTGTACTGTTTTAAGCATGATATCCGGTGTAATATTAGTAAAATACTACCTACTGCCCGACTCACTTATGCCTCTTCTTAAGTGGCGCAGTTGCAAGTGATTGGCTCCTTACTGTGGTGCCTATTCAACAATTAATATGCCCATTGATCTCAATTACTCCAATTTGTGCTCTTTTTTGTCTCACTGGTTTCTGGAGCTCATCCTTTCTTTATGGAGCTGCACTACCCGATGCTATGTAGAATCCCTGCATTGTGCAAACCTAAGTATCTGTAGGCTACAGTTAACCATGTCAAAACTTCGGGCACATAGATAGGCTGAGTGTATAATTGAGCAGCGTTTGACTCACTTCGGCTTGGTTTGGTGTGTGACGCCTTCTCTAAGGGGTCCGTAGGGGGACGCTTCGTTCCATCATATTACGAAGAAATTCACGGAAATTTATGGTGTTTCTCAAATAGTTCCCGCTTTCTCCCCTTCCCCCTCTTTGTTACTTAGGGTTACAACATGAAGAGAGATGAACGGCTGGGAACGGCGTTTCTGCATACTCTCAGCACTCTGAGAATAAAGTTACCGCTAGTTGACCATCGCCTCTAGTGCACACCCACTCAACGTTGCTTCTTGCTATAATGAGCACGCTGCTACACAGTGAAAAAGGCGCACGAACGACAGACCAAGTATTCAATCCTCTATCAAGTCTTAGGTATCTGGAACTACCGTAAGACGAGGGCCAAATGTTTCATAGCCCACTGGAAGGTGCTTAGGGCCATGTAACCACGGACACTGTATCCTAACAGGCAGCATGAAGTCTTTCTGTTTTCAACAAGTAAAGCATATTCTGAAAGTAGTGATGTTGATACCAGAATGTTTAGAGGGCCTCTCCAAAGTATGTGTATTTGTCGCCACTGGTACTGGCTGACGTACAGATTTATGGGTTGATTTCGATATATGCCTGTGCGATGGTACACGTCGACAGGGAATTGCGTTGCTTTGTACTGACCCGCATCATCAAAAGGGGTTTGTATAAACAATATGCGACAGGATGTCTGAAAGTAGGTACAGCAGGGTACTGAGGAAGCGCGGCTTGATAAGCATGGTGAGTACTAGTGAGTCGGGCTGCGTAATCCTCTACCGAAGCTTAGGGCGCCATTGCGTATTTAGTGGATGGAAATTATAATATTTGCCGGAATAAGGACATACGAGTCGATACTTAGAAAAGCTCTGCCTGCACTTCATTCCTCCCGCGCAACAGGACTTGTGAGCCAGACACACCTAGCTGAAACCGGGTCAAAGGTGCACCGTACATTAAAGCGGAGTAGCTTTAACCCTGTTCCACCGCGAAAGTTCTAGGGTCTTTAAACACTTTTTTACGCAAAGGAAGTTCAGTTACATTTAAGAGCCGCAAAACCATAAGCTTACCCTCAACATTTGGAATCATAGATGGTCACTCACTAAACAGCATTTCTCAGAGGAACTTGGGGGTCAGCGAAAAATTGGCTACACGGAAAGTCAGTCATAAATTCACACTTGTAAACACCCATGATACCTTTTTCGAGTTTATTTTCGCCCATGGCAACACGAAGAATTTTTCGAATTCATTATTTTCCTTTATTTAGGCTGCCAATCGGCTAGGAAATAACTGAGCTTATTTAAATGCCTCACTACTTTACGGGGCCTATTCGGGTGGTGATTCTGAGGAAAGCCACTTTAGAAATGTCTAGCAACCTTACGCTGGCTTAAAGACCACAGAGTCGTTCCCGTGAAACGGTGGAATTTAGTTCCATCCACTTCAATGTGACTGTCTTGCACATGCGGTGCCTCCAGATTACAGTGAAAGCCAACATTTGCTATTTTTGTATGCTTGTTTTGATGTTTATACCACAGCAAACACACCGAGTAATTGTGTTAATGTCCCTAGCACGAATAAATTTAATTTGATGGCATCCGGAGAGGAGGTGCTCGTATTATAGCTTTGCGTACAGCATCTACATGACTTCGACCATTCGCTCATGGAGCATGATTTATAAAGCATGTTATGGTGGCTATGAATAAAGTTGCCTAGCGTGTTTTACTGAAAATGCACTTGCATATGTCTTTCTGCTGAAGCTATTAGTCCTTTCAGTGGTGGCCTGCCGAGTGAAAAGTTGTCTGCAAACGTATACGTTGGCTGTCTAAACAAACATTTCTTATTGCTAAACGTGATTGCTTTGTTGATATCATCTAATAGCAGTCTGTTTTTGAAGTACATCGAATTACAACAAGACACATGCACCGCTCTACGTTTGTTGAAGCAAACGCCTTTGAACGCTTGCATAAATGAAGCAAAGGGCCTTATATGTACGTGCCTGGTTAGAATCAAACGATTCTTTCTGACGCAAAATATTCATAAGCGGTTCTTCTTTTGTAAGAATGCAAGGAAATTAAGTGTGCTATAGTGTGCTTTTGTATTAAGATCTAGAAGAAGCACCTGAACGCTCCACAGGCAAGCGCTTGGTGCTTCGCAGGCTCTAAACAGCTTGCTGCTATATGCCATATAATTCCATGGGTACTGCAATGACCATTATGTAAAAGGCTGAAAGATGTGCACTGTCCATGCCTTAGTGTCGAAAGGTGTGCAAATTCAGTTTTAGACGGAACGATCTGACAGTGGGAAAAGATAACGCTGTAAGGTTAAATGGAGAATGAATGGCTGTTTATTCATGCTTCAAAGCGTATCAATACCCTAGCAATACTAGAATTTTGAAATGCTTTGGGAAAATAAAAGCCATATTGACGGAGGCAGCTGCACAGCCCCTGATATTACAGGGTTATATGATGTGGCCCTGGAGTTGCTATACTACGCTTTGCAGATGGTTCATTGTGTATTTGCGCAGCATCAGCAAATACATGTTTAGGACTGGATATTGACTATCAGATACTGCCTCACTATGGCACAAGGCATACATTCGGCACAGCAGTTGAGCACTGTAGTCTTCGTAGTCAACAAACTGTGGAAGGATCGAATTTCATCTTACAGTACCTAGAGCTAAGTAATGCAATAGTAGAATCAAGCCCTACAAGCACAGTACATATGAATCTGATCAGTACGTAGAATGTAAAGTAGTTGATCGCAAGCATGTCCACATGCTGTTGGCGGTCCAAGAAACGTCGGTAATACAAGAAATACCATCAAATTTCGACATTTCTAACGTGCCCGACGAACAATTAGTGTTCTTGCCGGGTAATCTTTTTTCTAATAAGTCACAACGTTAAGATCCCAGATAATTCTACGTGGCATTACAAAACCCTTAATGGGGTATGAATTAAAGGAGCGTTGGAGACCGATTTGATGAAGTATGCTTCATTTTAAGAGATGAACACTATAACATCGTTGAAAGGAGCGCGCATGACAGACGATAGCAGCGAATCAGTTAGTGGACACAAGCAGCTCAGCGTTTCTGAACTGAAGAAGAGGAAAATAATTCTACTGTTGTCTATATTCCAAAAAAGATATTGATTTCTTTGAGGACATTGCAAAGCCGCGACGACCATAAGTGGAGTTTTTAATTATGTCTTTGTTGGGATCCTCTTAGAATGTCAAAGAGGAGAAGGCCGTACATCTTCCTGAATGCAAATTCATACAGTTGACCACGTGGAGCTGCTGCTTGTTCTCAGTCCTGGATCCCTTGCTGATTACCAGGCAAAAAAACATACTGGTCAGACTGCTTATATTTCTTTTCACGCTGCTCTTATTAATTCTTAGTCTTGTGCGTTTAACAACCACTGCTACCACAAAGTCCATGTTACTCGTCCCCAGAAAAGCTGACTGCTTTAGTGCTCGCTCGTCCTAGCGTATTGCTCTAGCTGCACAATTAGTAAAAGCGGTCATTTGAAGCCAGATATGACGGTCGGGAAATCTACGTTGCCCATAATTTATCAGAAGGTACGGCTATACACGGGGGAGAGACTAGGTACCCTGTATTATCCATTTGAATGAACGACTTCAACAAGTAATAGAGGCGTATAGCTTCCAAAATAATGCACAGCAAATGCAATCTTCTGCAGAATTTGTTGAGCCACAAGACATTAGCATGAAACTCTGCCTTCAAAGCAATGTCGCAGGGCGAAGCGACAATTTGTCTGAGCAAGTTCTTTTCTAAGTTTCAAATTATGGCCCACTGGCATCCCTTCTCGCGTACACCATTCGTTTGAGAATAGATCTAGCTCAATGCTCAAAGAATGGATGCTGTGTGCCTGTGCTGTAAATCGATATGCATGGCGCGGGTGTGACTGCTCAGAGCGCCCATTCTGTGTGCGTTGCCGTTAGCTTGCTGTCCTTCCGCCCTTTTACTAGAGCCTTTTGGGTTAACGGCAAGCAGATGGAGCATTTTTTTGAGTGAGCCTTTAATGACTTTCTATTAAGTTCTGCATAGGGTCTGCGCTAGGGGTTGCGTTGTTGACACTGTACATGAGCTGCTGTATCGCTGCACATAACGGCCCTCTAGGGAACCTCAAACGGGTAAATTTGGGCCTTTTATAGGCGTCAGGGACGAGTAGGAAACTCAGGAAATACACAGGAATAGTGTGCAGTGTGGTCAACCTAACGAGCATGCGCCGCAGTGGTGTGTCAACTGCGCTTTCAGAACCTTAACTACCCAGTGTCCCTAGGATAGGGTTTTCCTTTCTAGAACCATAAAATGCTTAGCATTTACTCAAAATGTGAAGGAAAAGTTTTGGAGGGGCTCGACTTTAATTAATCTTTACAAGGAAAGCAAGACACGATGGTGAATCGGACGACCACGGCGGAGAGGGTCTGCAAGCACTTCAAGTGAAGTGCTTCCTAGTGACTGTCAGGTTTTCAAAAACCTAAAAGATCCAATGCCTGAGGCGGTAAGAGTTATTGACGTTAAAGTCTAATGAATGATGAAGTTGCCAATTCTGCACTCGACGGACAGTACTCTTACAGGGTTGGACGGAAATTGCACAACGGGTGACTGGCGATATTAATGCTCAACACGCACTATAGAACGCAGATGAAGGACTAAAAGGGTCTTACATAAAATCAATGCAGATTTAAATGGTAATGATGAGGAAAAAACAATTTTTTGTGTGCTGCAGCGCTCTCTTGAGTCTTATTCGTGATTCAGCAAGATGAAGGGTGGGGTGCAGTCTGGGACATAGAAGACATACCTTCTCGGCCTTTTGGCTATGATCAAGTGTAGTATCTGTTCTTATCAGTGTGACAACTGATATGGATCCAACTGGATCCAACAATGTCACAATAATTTTTGTTTGGGGAGGACCGAGTCTAGAGCTTGCTCTGCTCGCCCTCGAGCGTTGCCCCACCCTTGCACTACTCGGTGGGAGTAGCGTACCCTTCCGACCCCTCGGGGTTAACAATGTAGTCGATTTGGGGGTGTTGTGCCGCGTAATGTCCTTATACAGCCCTTTAAGCGTCTTTAGTGGTCGTGGTTGGCTTTCGCGGTGCGCCCATGCAATTACAGAGTGTGAGCGCGCCACTTAAGTGGAGTACGCCAACCCGTCTAGAAGTGCGTGGACGTATCTGGTTACTGATTCCCGTTGGAGCTGCGTAACGATTCATGACCGAGCTGCGTCTTAATGGATGAACGCTTATATGTATGCGCCGCGTGAGCCTCGAAGGTGGGCAAGTCCGTCGTTGTGCACCGCATGTGGCGGCGTATTTGGCACTATATTGTACTTTGGGTTTACTATGGGTCAACCAAAACATGTAGGGATTGAATTAAAGAAAAGGGAGTCTGTTGAAGGTGGGGTGGGCCCATGGCGACTCGTGAAACGGACCACAGGTAGTACCCACACTACCAGCATACAGTGAACGTAACGCGTCGGTTCTGTGGAGCAGCGATATTTTGCCCGATTTGTACGCTTCACTTTTGCTATGCGGAGTCCGTTATTCTGCCTTCTTTCCATGCTTTGCTCCCTTCGGAGAAAATTTGGAAGTGTCAGGGCTAGGAACGGTGAAACAAGGGATACCCAGACTGTCACAAATATCCGAAACCACGGTGTACACGAAGTCTGCGAGGTAAATGAAATTAAATAAGCACACCGCCTGAAAGCAACAAACGCCAGGTAATGCATTAAAATCCAGTTTCCATGTAACCTGGATGCTCTAGGTGGAAGTTGGCACTAAACCGCTATTAATAAAGCTGCATGGGGACCCCAGGACAGCACTTGTAAGGGCTTTAAAGCTTACCATCATGGCGCAAAACTCCTGGTCCACCGTTAGATTGCATAAGCGAAGTGCAGCTGCGGCAGCTGCCAGGGGTAGCATTGGCCATTGAATTGTTTTGTACGAAAAGCGGCAGGTGGCCGAGAGGCATAGGCGCAGCATCAAAATGGTGTACGTCAAGCAAAGAACCATGTACACTAGGTACGGATTCAACACTGGCCGCCACACCAGGCCTGCATGCGAAAACAGAGGACAGAAGAACAACCTGTTTCTCACCGCGAAATGCGTCGTGTTTCTTTCGTACGCAGAAGACGCAAACAGCGTTCCACGATGAGAAGGCACAGAAACTCTTCGCAGCAAGCCGCACAGTCACTTACAGTGCATGTAAACAACCCCCTGGACGAAGACGTAAACCAGAAACATAACCACCTGCATGAGCGCGAGTAATGGCCGCGGCGCCCGCCGGATTCCCATTATAATGTTGCACATGCAAAGGCCAGTGTTGCTGAGAAGCACAATTCGCATAGCACTTACTTCCACAACATGCAGTGACAGCAAGGATCTCGGAGTGTTTCAGAAATGCGAGGCTTCAGGGAATAGCCATGCGGTGTGCCTACCAGATTAACAACAACCACTGAAGCAGCACGCTGGCTGTTACAGATACTCCACCAGCTTTTTCAAGCTGCGCTAGTGGCACTCTGCGACACATGAGCAGCCCTTTATGCAAACAGAGAATGGGCTTGTTTGATATATGTACACTGTGCCGCATCTGCAATCCGGTGACACTAACGTGCAAAATGCACATGGCAACATGTTCCTCACGAGTTCATGTAGATTTCCTGGACGAAAGTCTAGCTACAACTTAAAATCTTTGGGGGAAAGAATGTGCAACTTACCCTAATGCTGACGGTAGGTGTGCCAGGAGATCAACATGAAATATCTCGGGACCAAAGATGCCTCCCATGATAGACAGAAGTATCACCTGAAACAAAGAACAACAGAACTTTGCTGCAGGCAGCCCCCCTGTCTGGCACAATCTCATAGTAAGCTCCTGACGTTACAGAGCCTATTTGGTCCCCGCAGCTAAGCACCCGAGGAAGGCTTGTTGCGTTGCAACTTACCGCGAGCTGCGCCTCTGTCACGCCCACAATGCCTGTGGCGGTGTAGAACACGTGGAAGTGAAGCTCCCACCACTGAAACACCGTAAACATTGCAATGGCCAGGCAGTTCGTAGTGTCATAGGTGCGGGAAGAGCGTAGGAGCCCTGTACAGCTGGGCCCGTCCCTTTTAACATCCAAATGAATGGATATGCCTGCTTACTGTATATAAAAATTGCAGCATCTGAGTCGATACAACTGCTACGGCGTAGGGCATGAGTCCAACTCCAGCACCAATGACTGTGGTGCTGAGAAAAGTAAGGGGCGTAGTGCTGAGGATGTCACATCCGTGATCCATGAGCTGCCCCAGTGGAGAGGAAAGGCCCAAGCGGCGCGCATGTTTCCCGTCTATTGCGTCTAGTGTTTGAAACAAGAATAAGAAGAGCGCCCCTCCTATGAGTACCCAGCGAGGCGGGGCCTCTGAGAGGTACGGGCAAAAGGCCAGTACCAAGCAGCTCCCCAGGATGGCCGAAATACAGCTGGAAACTGTTAATACATTGGGGTGCACTCTCCAGGGAATGATCTTCTCAACAGCTTCCCACCATGGATTCAAGATGATGTCAAACGGAGTGCGGTGACCGGACACATACGCATATTTGTGAAGACTCTCCAAGCCAGCAGGTGGCAGATAATGCCCGAACGCGCCTCGCATGGTTCTAAGGGTCGCCTGGGGTGCGGGACTTATGAAGTTTCAACAATAAAAGTGGGACTGCTTGGCAGTCTGCGGCCGTGCCGGGATTAACACAAATATGCCGAATACTCTGTTCTCCCCAGGAGAAACTATCTACCACAGAGCCGGCCGCCTCCTGCCTCGCCTTCCGTGGAATACTTTGTCAAGAAGACAATTAAGACTGGTAGAGATTTGGGGACGCTGTTGAGGGCGGGTAAAGGCTGCTTCTGGAGGGGTGTCTAGCGGCTTGTTTTCGATGAAGCGCACATCATGGAAACGGTCAGCAAGCCCATCATGAAGAGGATGGTAGTCTCTGGGCATGCACCATATGCTTTTGGGGTTAGTCATACAAGCATCTGCTAGCCGCTGTGCTAGGGATGAATCCCCTAAAGCATATTAGAAAGTCCTGAACGGAGCTGTGGCAGCAGCCCCGCTCCCAGTCGAGGGCCTCACAATGTAACGTGCAGTAATGCAAAGCACTTGAGCAAAATTCAAAACCCAAATATATCATGAATGCTCCGAAAACATGATGAATACGTCAATGTTCCTGCAGCGGACGCAGCTGTGATGTGCGTTACCCTCTCTAGGCCCACGGTACTTTGCGAAGTAGCATGCCAGAGCTTCCGTTGGTAGGGAGAGTCACATTGCTTTTCGAGTCATAATTTTTTGGAGCAAGCTTGCCATCTGCATCGCTGATTTTCATGCATGTAGTTTCCCAGCGTCTAACGGCGACTCCTGTTTCTCGCGGGTCCTCAGTACGAAGCATTTGGGTTGTGGTACTACTGGGGAACTCTCTCGCTTGCCATGTGCGAAGCGCAGGCCACAAGGGCCACCCTTCGGCGGCTTTACCTGCAGATGCAGGAGAGGGTCTTGGCTGCTAGAAAAAGAACCTTGCTCCTGTCTTCTTCTGTGACCACCGCAGGCCCGTACTCTAGCGCCTCTGAAAATCTCAGTTGCCTGTCTCAGTTGAGGCAGAGATCAGGGAAGGTCGATAGTCAGCGTTACACAGGGGAGCCTGCAGCGGGATTCACAGCTGCACCGACCGCCTCCCGCATACAGGACATCTTGTGCGTAAAACAATGGGCATTCTCCCCATCTCGGCGCAGTCTGGCGGCCTTTGCAACTCCCTACGCGCATTTTTCAGGCACAGAATCTCAGCCTACCCTTTGGAGCTCGGCGTATGCAGTGGGTCCAGTAGGATCGCGACTCGGAAATCAGCAGCCAAGGGGGTCGCGATACGCTTCGTCTTCCCCTTCCAATGAAGTGATAAAAAAAGCCACCAAAGCTGCATGTCGACCAGTGCAGATATTTCGCCAAGCGTTTCCCGCGCCCCTCGTGTTAACTCCCGTTCGTCTGATGTGGCATCGTGGCGTACTGGAATTACTGTGCAGCAGCTGCCGCTACGTTGTTCGGCGATGGCACGTTCCAATTCTAGGTGTTGACTGCAATGCGAACCCACGCCACAAACAGGCATTAACGTCCCCACCACCGCGAAGCAGGGGCATCCCAAAGCACTTGGTGCCATATCTTGTAGGAAAGCAGGCCCCGAGACACCCCAGATGGCGGCAGGACCACACGATCCGCGCGCGAGCGACTCATCTGTATCGAGCAGGCTTGCGCAGAAACGGGTAACTGGGATTTTTCAACCTACTGCTTTCAACGAGCTCTGAGGTTTTGAAGTATAGTAGGAAATTAGAGCCATGTCAGACAGATCGTCGAACTGTTTTATCTGGGTGTGGAATCTTCCAGCTAGGCTAAGGCAGCTGAGTGACTAGTTTGTACACCAGAGTACTGCTTTGCTTTGATATGCAGAGTCTTCAGACGGAGTGTGTGTGAGGAGAGAGCTGCAAAGCCCCTCCTGAGCCCTTGGTGCTCTTCGGGGCTAACTTAGAAAGCGCGATCTTTGAAAGTTGCTAGATGCGAAGGGTGAAGGGTTCTATTGTTGAACTTAGAAGCCCCATGCATACGATGCCATGGGATGATAGTTGAAAGGACGAAATCGATGCGGCACGCTCTCTCAACAAAACATGTAGATGATGGCGGCCAGTTGCTCCCTGGATCGGTTCATGCCCTTACATTGAACACGGGGCTATTTGCAATGTGGCCTAGCGCCGCCCTCACACTCGATAAGACATATGCATTTATATCTATTGAGTAATTTAAAGTGGTCTTTGCCCTTTTTTAGAATGCAGATGCCAAGGCGGCTGGTATCTGTGTTACAGCTAGCTGGTGAACCGCCAGCCACAGCGTTTCGCTGCAAGTGGAGAAAGTTCTTGCCAACTTGAGCAAACGTTGTTTCAGCTGCCCTAATCACACTGAAATGCCCTTCAGATAGACACATCCACCAGAGCATCCAGGCAAGCCTTCCCCGCCACGGCGACGAGCTCGTTTAGCTGGGACGGCTGCGATGTACATTGGTCACATAAGTCAAATTTCCTTGTGGACCAACCATTTCGATAGCCACGGATATGCGTGTGCAATGCAGTACCAAAGCGCATTCAGGCATTGGGCCGATCAGCGCCCCACACTAGATTACTTTCGAGAATGGGGCGTTTTGACAAAAACAATTATTAAAAACTGGGAACCTGATATGAAGCTTTTAAATTGTGGCTGGCTCACGGTGATCGGATGCATAAAGTGATCGTTAGTGCGGCTGGTCACTCCGATGTGAACGGCAGCCGCCTTCACCAGTTCCATTCTCCTGGATGCCAAATGGAGAAGCTGGTGCGTTTCCATTTCCAACGTCTGCGCCCCGCAGCGCACCAGTGTTTCTAGTAGGTCTTCGTTCTCATCCTGCGGAGCAATGCGACACTATCGAGCAATGTGAAAGAGAAACGCTGGTGGTTTGTTTCCATCTATCTTCCAGCAAATCATGTGCAGCTCCTCCATACTAAACACGGCTAGTGACACTGCAGCATGATGAGCGTGGTTTTCCTACCCGAAAAAGCTGGTCTTCTCGGGCCTGACAGCTGTAGAATGTCTCTGCGGATGCGTTTAGTCCTGAATGCCACGCATTCGCCGTTGGCAACAATGCGGCTTTAATACACGAGTGCCATAAGTCCGGTAGTTTTACTAACATCCCAGCTAGTACGATCGCGTTGCCCTGGAGGGGCAGTTAGTTCGATGATTTGCATGGAAGTATCCGGCGTAGACTTGTGTAATGCATAGCGTGCGCCTGGTTCACAAGCTTTGCGTGCTCCCGTCGAGGGCACTTCGCTGCCCACGTCCTGGCACTGACCTTCAAAGACCAGGTCTGGATCGTGAGCTGCCACATGCCGATAGATGAGTCTGTGTCATCAAAGCATGGAAAAGAAAAGGATCAATTTTCGCTCCCCTCACGACACCAACAAAGGTGAAATTCTTGCTCGTGTAGCAGTCACACAACGACCTCACCTTGATAGCTCTGGATCGGCAGCACATGGCCTGGTAATAGTGTAGGGCTTCAAATCTACAAGCGAAAAGGCAACAGAAAGAACCCGAACTCTTATAGTTTTGCAGGAGCTCACCAGTCAAAGTTGAAGGTACTAGGCCTCCTATGTCTATGACCTTGTTAGACTTTCAAGTATTGGCCAGTGACGCGAATGCATCTGTTTTACCGACTTACCTTGAGTACGCGAATACTCTACTGCAGTCCCATCAAAATATGCATAGTTTGTGTAGCAGCCTAGTGAGCCGGCAGTTGCAACCACAATTGATCCTGGCCGCAGGTCTTGGTCCAGCAAAGTACACGTACCTGGGGTCAGATTCAGCGAAGTATGCACAGCTGTCCCTCTAGGCAGCTGTCCAGCAGCCCCGCATTGCAATTGTAAGCTCAAACCTCTATTCCATAAAAAAGAGATTCCATGGAGTTGAATCAACAATCACAGAAACAGACTGGCGCCGACAAATGCAATGGCGAAGCTCAAACTTCAGTACAACACGCCACGAGCTGCCTCTGCACTGAATACCATGCACGAGCCATAGTGTACACAAAAAGCCACGATCATGGGAATCAGACTGATGGACCGCGTGTTTATGTTCATACCGAGTCTGACGATTGCTAGGGGACCACTCGTGATGTACGACGCCTCGCGAACCAGCACGTCCATCATGGGGGCCCCCATACCGAAGGCAACGATAGACACAGGTTTTCTTCTGTAAAATCCTGGGGCGGAAAGCAGGAAACACCTATTCGCGCGTTTCGGCTTCAAAGATGGCAGAGCAAAATTGTCTTATCACTCCCTTGCAGTCCATTATGAGGTGCATCGCATCACAGCACGAATCGGAAGAATTCGGGGGAGAAAAACTGCTCATAATGAACTCAAATAAATAGGTTCGCCAACTCCTGTTGCCTGTGAATTTGGCTCTTCTCAACTCAGCTCACCTGAGTGCAATCTGAAGTTTCGGTTGCTTTTCAAAGAGAGTGTCCGCATGTGCGAGTCAAGGAACCGCTCTGCAAGCCAATCTGCACGACCAGCATGGCCTACTGTCAGAATACGGTTATAAAGCTCTCCGTGTTGGACACCCAGATGGTAGGCGCGGCCTTCGCCTGGAACCAAGAGCGAGTCTCTTGTCCGCGTCGCGCTCAGCAAATAAGTCGTGGGGGGCAGCCTGCCTCCACTGGGTGCATTAAAGCCTACTTTTCCGACATCCGTATTCTTTGCATTGTCAGCGCCGGCAGTGACATTTTTCACCCTATTTTGATTTGGGTAGAAGGCTGAAGTGTGCCGGCGAAGGGCAGGTTCTTCGGGGACTGACGTAGCCTTCCTTGCTGACGTCGATGAACTCCGACCGGTGCTCGAGCGGTAGCCCATGTCATCGAATTCAAATGATTCTCTGGTATCTGACTGAGACGATTTGCGGGATGAAAGGGACTTATGCTGTGTGTAATACGGCTTATGGGAGGTGCTTGCATGGAGCCTCCCAGAGGTGGTCGTAGTGGCCTCTCTTCTGTGTCCGAGTAGCTCCTTGCCAATGCGGTGCTTGCGTGATCCACTGCCTGTGTCCGTTGAATTAAGCCTTCCGAAGCTGCTACGTCTTAGGCGACTTGAGATGGAGCAGCTCTGATCTTGGTGTGGAATGCATGATGTACTATGTATTAGGCTATAAGGAGAATTGACAGTGTCATCGTCCAAGGCCTGTTGGGTAGAATGGCTGCCCCTGGTTCCCGCTATTGAAAAACCTAAGTGCCCCCCGGCAATCGCGTTTCGGCGCCCCTGCGTGTTACTGGGGATGGGGTCTTCAATGCTCGATCTTCGTCTGCCAACGCCGCCCGCATTATCGTGCGGTGCTTGAGGGCAGAGGAAACTTGCCACTGTCTTGGAACGAAACTTGGATGGACCTCCAAAGGTATACCTTTCCTTCGGTCGGACATCATCACTGTTGGTTGTATGGGTCTGGAGTTGTCCATTTCCAGGTTTGGGATCTACGCCGATGCAGCGCTTCGTCCCGACCTCAGAATTACCTCTCTGAAACATGAGGGAACAGAAACGTGATTATGTCCTTCCCTTTCGGTGTATCAAGTATCCAAAAAGTATTTTTTAAAGATAGGACATAATTGTATGCAGTGTAGCAGCTGTTAGAGGCACTCTGCCCTCATACTCTGTCAATAGCGAGCGACAACACAGCCTGAGCATGTCAACCTTAAGTACAGGACACACAGTCCCAGTAAAGACGAAAGGTTTCGCCTATTAAACAGATCCTGCAGTGTAACTGGCTATGATTTCCAGCTATCTGCAGTGGGTTCTCTAATTTTCGGTTTTGGGAACAGTCCCTGCCAGTCCAGTGGCACTGCGCCTACGCTCGAAACGCAGAGCCACTGCGCTACCTCTGCGGTGGGCAAAAGCATTTATTACACGCTTTTAAGTCCTAATTGTGAAACGTTTACTACTCTGGATTCCTTCTGACAACAGGGACGACCTGACGGAGGAGGGCAAACACCACGCGGCAACAAAAAGGTAATATGAAATCGAACGGTAGCATAAAGAAAATCAAAATACTTCCGATCGAAATCCAGAGGACTAGGAACAAGAAGCCACATATAATACTTGTAACGAAGTAATATATCATGTTGCTTTAGGCTATTAAATCGTGCCATCGCCGTTTAAAAAAAATGGCTCGGTAAGCAAGTCTTACGCTCTGCTGGCTCGAGAGGAGCTTGTTGGAAGAAACGCATTTTTCTACATACACAGCCCATTCGCTGTTCATGAACTACTTCTCTCCTAGGATTTAATGCTAAGGTGGAAAAGTAATATCTCACTTGCCAAGGATACATGTCCTGACGAGCATGTAGTCCATCGACCTTTGACACTGTAGAAAGGAGAAATACAGCCACCCTCAATGCGCAGATTCTTGATTCAGCTGCGTCTTCGATGGGCCAAAGGCACGAGACAGTGCGAAGCAGCAATGGTCAGCTCTGGTTCTTGTCTTCGCTGTGTATTCCCCAGTACACCTTGCAGCTTAGCGGCGATGACGATGAAGCGAGCCAACAGGAATAGTGAATACAGGTAAGGTTTTGCACCGACCTATGGATGTGAACAGCTTGTCGAAAGGCAGTCTTCGAATACTCATATGCATAACCTCCCAAACATGAAGGCATGATAGGTGTTGGGTTACGTAACACCCGCAGCACCCGCAGGAAACGAATTTTGCTAACTAGGGCTTCGCTAAGTTGATCATACCTTTACAAGGGCTCACAGTGCCTAGTATGTCAACGATAACGTACAAGGATATAAATAATACCAGCATGCTGGAATAAGTGCTCAGGGATCCACTGCAATATGCAGGCCCACCAGAGAGTTCTCTTGCGGCGAGCCTACACTAGATATGTCTCTGGGCACCCCTGGGACGTGTCCTGACGAATGGCAGTCGAATACCCGAGTTGAATCCGCCATGATTTAGCGGCTAGCAGCAAAGGATCGCAGTTTAGAGCGTGTATAGCAGTAAAACATCACCCAGTTTTCACATGCTTTGTAGCATGTTCTCGGATCCTCGAAGTTCGTATACACGAATATCACGCACCTTCAACCCATTCTAGAAATTGTCAGCTCTTTCGTTTATTTTGCAGAGAAAAAGAGCAGAGAAAAAGATGCCACTGTGTAACAGTGACCTATCTGGTGGAACTGCAATATGCAATGCCTTCAGGACCTAAACGGCTGCTGCCCACAAAGCAAAACTTGCCCGTGGGAACTGCACTACAGAATGAGGCCTTCCGCACCACAGGAAATAACAGATGTCTACTTTTCACGACCTCCAGAAAGTGTGTACAAAATTGACTAGGAGTAAATACATTTACTTGCCTTCGTAGATAAAGTGGATAAACAGTTTCCCCCAGGTTTTCTGCGTTCAGTGCCATTTATGTACACGTAAAACCAATAGGAAAAGGCGAATGCTAAATCTCAGATATATTTGTAGGAATGCATATGATTTTCTCGCTTGTAACAGTGTAGGCTTGTTGAGCCGTGCCGAAAGCCGACAAAACAACAACGTCGATGGGCAGTATTCCGTCATACATCTTATGAAGGGGTTTGGCGAGGCAAAGGGTACAAATGGGTATAGTGAACGATACGAAGTAGCTCATTGAGACTTGATCCATCCAGCAGCTGTATCCTGAAGGCAGTCTCATGTGCACACATATTTTGTCATATGTCCACCCCCATTCCAGAACAGAAGCATACGACGATAGACTACACAAAGATAAAGGTTTATAACGTTCTTGAAGGAAGCCAACAACGTATTCCTTTTTAGAAAGGGACGGTGCGTGGGAACACCACAGCAACAAAACACTTACGCTTGCGGTTCCAATAACAGTTCACACCGCATGCTCTGAAGTTACCAGTCAAGTCCTCACGCACTACATGCTGAGGACATTGTTGCTGCTCCAAAAGTTGCGTCGTCATTAAAGCAATTGTACGCAAGAACAAGTGCATGGTAGAGCTCAGCTAGAAGCACGCTCATTGTGGGCTTGTTCACTGTGCTACGAGCGCCTATATGCAGTAGATAAGATGCTTCTCAGCCCACTCATTTTGTATGCGGCACACGCAGTTATACTTCTCCGCGGCATTACCTTCGCTCAGATATTGTATGTCGGTAAGCAGCTTTACTTGCAGACCAAGACGGCATGCAAGGAACTGTACCTACCACTTTTAAATGCTAATCTCAAACTCCTTTTGTCAGGCTGTTCGTATATTTTTAATTTACATGTGCAATCACACCGAAAGAGACGGTCATAGAGCTAAAACTCGTTTAAAACTACTTTGATAAGCTGCTAACTTCAAGAAAAGATGCTACTAGTACGCAATGCTTGAAGGCACGTGGCTAATAAGCCCTTACCCTTATAGCCTTGCCTTACGCAAAGAAACTCCAGCAGTCATTTCAGAATCTAAGGTACTTCTAAGCAGGCAACATGCACGGAGGTGTACAAACATAGACAGCACCTAAATTAACCTAATGAATGCTCGTAGCAGTTGCCGCCCAGAGGCAAACCCCTACCACTGCCAGTAGTGGATGCTGCGGTCTACTTTTAAGAAGAGACTACCCACGGATCAGCGGTACAATTTTGGAAATGGTGCTAGCGGTAATGTTTGATCCCAGTTCGTTGTATTCAGTGGTTTGTGTTTGTTGATCGCAGTTGTCCTGAACTAGGAGGGCGCAAGCTTAATGATATTCATTCGACCTATTGGGACGTCGTATATTCTTCAGAACCACCGAATAATGATAGGACGGTCTCTACTGCGGTTCAAAAGGATTTGCAGCGGCCGTTTATGGTGGTGGTAGGGTGCTACGCCAAATGGTTCCTTAGAAATTCCGGCGCTGCAGACGGTGTGTCTTGAGCCAATGCGTTCACTGCGTGCAGTAGCACAGGCCAGACGATTAATGCTACCTTAAAGGATCATCTTTTCCTCCTACTACGTGTGAACTGGCTAGATATGGAGCCTGGATTTAATTGCATGCCTTCCAGAGTTGCTTGTACTGCTCGGAAGTGAGCAACCAACAGCTATCCTCCAAGCACCTTTACGATCTGCTTGAAATATAGGACATCGATGTACCTTTTGAATATATTCGCATGCAAGCGATATGGCATGTGTGCAAAGCTTTTGCATTCTATCACTAATTCCGAAATCAGGCGTACTGAGCATCTGCCAATTCTGGGTGTATGGGATTGGTGCAAATGCGTACTCTCGGTAGCTTACTGACTCAAGTTTAAGCCCACAACGGCACGGAAAGGCATGCCACACTCTTCGAATACACGGGCTGAAAGTGATTAATGGCTTGTTTGCTTCTCCGGTTGCCCTTTCGTATCATTTGAACTAATTTTGATTTGAGGATGTGCTTGCAATTGGCTTGTTTGTCGTTTTTACTCGGTGCATCTTGAGTGAAAACCAGCCTTCCACCTAATTCGTTATCTACATGCATCGTCAGCAGCGCTGTCTTGGCCATATACACACCGAGCCGTTCCACAACACAACCCTAAACCCCTACGGCAATCCCAGTATCAGCATTAGCAGACACGCATTGCCATGAATTAGAAGTATTCCTGCGATATATGGGTGGCAAAGGAAACTGATTTAGGTGTTTCCATAAGCGTGTGTAGAAATCCTGTAGTGGAGCGCTCGGTACTCCGGCAGGTCTTGAGGAAATGGTTTTCTGAGAAACTCGAGAATTGACCTAAGTTTTGGATGTCTGCATCGAAAGCATAGCCACTAACCCCAAGTTTTGGAATCTAGCCGAAGTACTGAGACATATACATGGGAAATTAACCTTTGACGGAATAATTCTGGTGCCCATTTCCTTGCATTGGCCATTAACAACTGCCATAACGATCTGTGTAGACTCGCCCGCTTATCACCTTGAAACACATCAATAGCAACATTGTAATAACAGCTGCGTTGCGAGCTAAGTTGCGCTTCTGCATCGAAGCACAACAGCTAAGGGCTCGGACCATGCCGCTTTGGAGGGTTCGTCGCTCGGGGGCTCTGCTGCACTCCCGGGCCGCTAGCCTGCTCGAGCAGCCCAACAGTGGCCGTAAGGTAATTTGAATTAGATCTTAAATTGTGAAATTGTTCGCGAACCACCGTTCGGGCACTGTCTGGAGGAACTATAGGGGTGTAGTTTGGCGGCATCAGGGGACTGGGTCCTACAGGGGTCCAAGACGAGCAGGCGTGGCGAAGTGGGTTATGGGAGGGAGCGCAAGCAGAGAGCCTCCATTCGAGGGAAAGCAACGCGAGAGCTACCATTTTTGGACAGTGCATATTGCCATCGGCACCTGGGAGCGAATGTAAAATGAAGTTACGCAAGGGTGCCATGGAAACAAGCCTGGAAGACAGAAGTTAATGCCACCTCGAGTGGAGACTTCCGTCCAGGCCCTAGTGCCTGAGCAAGCACTCGGCAAAAGCTGCCCAGAGCGGCACAAATTTTGAGCTTGCTTGCTAAGAACTTATGGTCGACGAAAGGCCCTTCAGGTGCTTCAATACCAACGGCTTTCCGCAAGCATTTATGCCGCCAAGGCGCACCAGGACTAACAAAGCACTCCAATGCTAAATCTTTGCACGTGGGTAGAAAATGCATCGCCCTTCCCCACGCATTGAGGGAGTGGACGTCGAGCTGGCTTCGAAACGTCGACTCCTTGATGGCAGCGTTTGGCTAAATCAGTATCGCGTTTGCGAGAAACTAGCGAGCAGTGAGTGTGCAATCTGATTTCGTTGCTTCATTTCATGACAACAGGCAGGTGCATGGCTTGCACAAATGCTAGCCACTCCGTGACAAGGGTAACTGAGTTCACAGACGAGCTTGTGAGAACTCCCCTGGGTTGTGTTTCAACATGTATGCGGTGCTGCTGCTGCCCATATTTGTCACCCCGTAAACTATATCCGGACTTTGTCGCATTGGAGTGTAAAGCGTTAGTGGGGTGCATGTGAACTTGGCTCTTTTCTTCTCGCTTCATGCGTCTGGTTTCGGCATCTCGCTAAGGCAAACAAACTCTCGGTGTTTGTGCTGTTGGCAGCTGAACTTTCCAGCGTTTTTCGTGTGGAAGGGACGAACACTGATACTGGAGAAGTGACGAGTTATTGCTGCAAGAGATACCGAAAGATGTTGCTCCTGAGGCGCAGGGATTTCCGTCCTGGTCCAACGGGAATGGGTTTCAAGACCAAAATGGAAGACGTTAAGGAAGAGGCTCGAATGTTGTCCCTGCTAAAGCATCCACGTTGTCTTGAACTGCAGGCGATTCTTGACTCGAACCTGGACTCGGCGGAGGGCAAAGTGTATTTTCGTGAGGAGCAACCCTGCCGGGAGCGCACGGTTTAATATCCTTTTGCAGCCACCATTAAGGTGCTGTGCGTCATCCATCATGCTCACCTGGTGTTTCGACACTTAGTAGCAGAGGCGTAGTCTGGATATTCTCCGGCATCCTACTTCAGCCCCACTTTTCATGTAGATTTGTATGCTGATGTGTTCCTGTGTGCTCAGTAACAAACTTTTTAGTAGGGGGTGCGCTGATGGTATTAAGACCATTACGAGATGGGATGCAAGAGCGAAGTCACTTGCTGAAGTCCGGTCAGTCACCCACCGTGTCAGTAGACGGAACAAAAACTGCCCATTATACGGCTCTGCGAGAAGGCTTTGTTCCTCAACTGAGATCACAGAGGACCTTCACTGAGGCCCAAGCCAAATGTTTCATCAGGGATGCTGCGGAAGGTGTATCATACTGTGAGACACAGGGCAGGCTAACATCCCCAGCACTTGAGGGGTCCAGATAATTGGCAACTGCATGCACTCTTGTGATTGCGCTGACGAAATGATTAGCAGCCCTGAGTAGCGTTATTCGCCTTGCAGAGTGAACTCGTTTTTGGCGGCATCTGGTTTACTAGTTTTTGATGCTGGCGTTGATGGAGCGCCGGTGCTTGTGACGTGGCTCAGTGCACGAAGATTTAGGAATTTGCCACAGGGACTTGAAGGTTGACAACCTTCTTCTGGGGGCAGATGGGCGAGTATGTGTCGGAGACTTTGGAAGCGCCGAGAAAATGGGAGCTAATGGCAAAGTCAGACACACGAAGGTATGAATTGATACCCATCGCACTACCGGTTGCAGGGGGAGTACTCAGCTTCTCCTTAATGCGGTTAGAGTCAAAGGGTTAACACGAGCAACTAAAAGGGAACGTCAGAGAGCGCGATCCACCTGGGTTTCAATCTGAGGCACTTCTTAGTTTCCGGCTTACGAGACTCGGGGGCACAAGAGATTTTGCCTCAGCCTACATTTCAAGAATCATGATATTGCTCACAGTATGCATGCGTGTCTGGTTTGGCACTAAGGAATCAATTTATGCATGACGTCTTAATGTCGCTGCGTTCGTATTGCTACAGGGTACTTACATGTTTATGGCCCCAGAGTGCTTTCGGCCATTGGACGACACGAAGCTGTACGAAGGCCACGATGGGCGCGCTGCGGACGCCTGGGCATTGGGAATTTGCACATATGTACGCACTCACAACGCCCGCCAGCAAATAACTAATGTAGAAGATTGCATGTGGCATGAAAAGCCGTGTTCGCCAAAAATGGCAATATTGCAGCATGTGTGACACACCGTCAAACGGTCTATTCCAGGTTTCCGTAGGGCATTTAGTACGATATGCGGTTCTCTTTGCCACTGCGTGCTGGAACGAGCTTGTTTACACCACTAACATCGCATGCTTGTGTGTGGGCTTCTGGGGTGCGCTGTTTAGGTTATGGTATTTGGTGTGGTGCCTTTCGATGATAGTTCGATAGAAAGCCTATTCGAGGCTCTTGGGGAGGGGGTTGTCACTATTCCTAGCGAACCTCCCATATCTCCCGAGCTGCGTGACTTTCTTGGTAAGGTCCTCCACCCAGAGTGGAAGGACCGTATGTCCGTTCGGCAGATCCTGGTGAGTAAGCTCAAAACATACGATGTGTGCGCTATGGCGCTAATGTAAGGAATAAGAGGAAATTATGTCCACAGTGTAATGTATTTCCATTCGACGCTGCTGTAATGTATGGATTGTGCAGTCCCACCCGTGGGTCGCCTCGGCAAACTACAAAGACGCTGCTGATTACGCTGGGGCGCTTCTTCAGCAGAGAAGCCTCGACGATCACATCGATAATTAGGCCGGAAGGCTCGAGTAAGGGCACCTGCAGGACAACCCTCAGTGGCTTCAAGTCTACAGAGGCCTGATATTTATCTTGTGGAGTCTAATGGGGTGGGGAAGTTGTGCGTGCCGCACGATTACCAAGGTGTGCACTTTTGTTACAATATATTCCTTTTCCGCAATAGAGCTAATGAGCCCCACTGGTGTGGCTTAACGCGCCATGGCTACAGTACCCAGTTGTGTACCCTCCACAGTTGCCAGAGCCAGAGCATCCTCTACAGTGGGCTTGAATTGTCAATGGGGGATGATGGCGCACGATATTTTGTGACTTGATGAGACCAGAAGATTTCGCCAGAGCTGCTTTATTGTGCTTCATGAGAACAGAAACTCTTTGTACATCTCGGCTGTTGTCCATGCAAGATACGGGGCTGGTTGCTTCAAAGAAAGGCCTGCCTCTTGCGGAAAGTCGAGTTGCTTTTCTTGATCAAGGATCAAGGCGCGTAAGTGCCAGTCAAACAAGCCGTACCTATGGATGCAGGCATTTAAGCTGGTTTCCATCACTCTCTAGTACAGTGCTGGTTGATCACAACAGCAGTACTCTCCCACCATGGTACATCTGGCACCAAGCATACCTCAGCAAAGGAATTTGTAATGATTTAGTCTGCGGCAGGAGCATTAAAGAACGTGCTTGAGCATCACAGTTTACAGGAGCTCGTGTGAAAGCATTTGTAATCAGTGCAAGGCCAACTTGTCTTGCTGGTGATTTCTGCCTGTTCCTAGGTGTTAACCGTAGCTAGCAATGGGAGCAGTACACGGTGCGTAGTTAAGTCATGTGACCTCCTTGCACTTCAAAAAAGAATACATCACAGGTCTGAGCTAATGTTTTAACTAGGAAGTCGCAATAAAAATTGTTTTCAATAGAGCAGCCTACCTAAAAACATTCTAAAGGAAGTACTTGGAACAATTTTAGCTTCTGGGACCCACATAGGCTGAAAATACGATTATGAACGATAGGATTGCTTTGCTGAGTTGGTCAGGGGCAAACTGAGGACTACATCGTACTTCACCGCCAGTAAGGTCCCCCACAAATGCACAATACGGTCTATTGCCAATGTCTATGCGTACCGATAATACTAATGGCGTCCTAGGTATTACCGCGCAGCATATTGCTTACGCCTTTGCTGATTTTGTTGATACAGTATATCCGCTTCTTATTTCACTTCGTGCTTGGAGGTGACCTATTAGCCGTTGCGTCGCCTCAAATATCAGGAGCAAAATTGAGCAGCTTTAGGAGAAATGTTTGGATCTAGATGTGCATCGCTAAGAAGGGCTTAAACTTTCTGTCAATGTAAGAGCTACTGCAGTGTCTTTTACCTTCTCTTAGGGATGCGCTTTGCGAAACATGAAATTGGTCCAAAGATTTCTTACGCGTAATGACGCGCTACACAGTTTCCACAAATATCGCATGTGGTTGCAATAGTCCTTTTGAGTACATAAGCAGTAAAGGACGAATTCAGCAGAGATGCGTACCTAACTACGTGCTCAACAAGTTATGATGCACTCTTGGGAAGCCCTGGTGAAGGAGTTCAGAGGCCATCCTCAGCACTGGAGTGATGAGGTTATTTGCAAATTCATATGTGGCACGAAGTGCACTTTGGTAGTCACATAAGGTCGGGATCACCAAATAAGGACCGACCACCCTCATACCGCGAATGTTTCCCCAACTGGGTGCGCAGGAAGTTGCGTGGCATATAGGATACTTGAAGAATGAGTGTTGGCTACCAAAATACAAAGTGCAGACTTAAACGCAATAAGCTATAGCATTCCTAAATACTGCCTTAAAATTCTTCACCCGCAGATAGTGTAGCCACCATGAGGTGCTTCAGACCTACCAGTCGAAAGGCCCATGGAGAGACGCCCAGGTGTCACACTAGTGAACACACTAAGCATCATACGGGGGTACGCTGGTTCGCAATATATGGTATCCGATAGTAAAAACTTCTCTCTAGGTTACAAGCGAGACACTGCAAAGAGAACATTACTGCAAACTACAGCGAATGTTCTCTATGATTCTTTAGTTGGAAGACGCAGCAGCTGACTTCGCTATCCTGACGGCTGTGCCATACGCCGTATATTCAACGTGCATTCGCTGCAAACCCGAGGTTACCAGTCGAACGCTCACGACTGCGTTAGCCCCAACGGCTGCTGCCGCTTCTGCAAGGCGCTGCAATGCAGAGGTTCGAGTTTCTTGTAGCAAGTCGTGCAGCAACTGTTGCTCACCGCCGAGCTGCTGTTGCAGTTGTTGGCGCCAGATCTCCAAGACGCTGCGTCCGCGCACTGCTGTGCCTTCCACCAACCCTGCAAGCCCCATATTCATCAATTCAGCGCATAGTATGTTAGCGCACTGGAATAACCTAAGACTGCTGCTCTATTGTGGGTGAGTTCCCCAGGGCAAAGGGGGCTGACTGCTGGAAAACTACACTGCCTGACACACTGCATTAGAGGGCTCAACGAGCAACATGCAATTACAGAATGCATGATGAAAATAATATCTCCTACTGCTCAGCACTGGCGTGAGACATATGGGCGTGTACCTTTAAATTGAACAATACCATGACCTGGTACTGCGGGGGATGTTGACATAAGAATTTCCATTCCGTCAACAAGGTAGCGCTTTGGTTCGGCATTCGACTTCTGGGTTTCTCTTTCCACGGTCCCTCTCGCTGCTGCCTCCGCGGCAGCTAGCCACTTGTTGCGAGATTCCCGACGCGTGATGCTGGAGGCTGAAAAGATTCTCATTCGGCTGCCACTGGCCAAGGGGACGGATGGCTCACCATGAGGCGCTACAAGGCCACTAGTGAACAGTGGCCCGCCCTGCAGGGGCCCCATAAACGTAGACGTGCGAACAAATTGGGTTAGTGACCCATGGCTCCACCTAAAGGAAGAAGTAGGGGAGCCAAACAGGGAGGACCCCGGAGTGCATGATACTGGAAGCTTGCGGAATCGACAAGAATGCGACATCAGCGCCACATACAATGGCTTTACATGCTGCATTTGTGAGCAGAGATCCTGAAACTGGCGCCCCCCGAAGTTGAAATGGACATCAACTCAGTAACAAGGCGCCGAGACTCATGGATAAGGAGCCGATTCAGTTTGCACTTCACTTTAAATCGCGCAGAACCTTCCAGAATTTGAGCTGAGATCAGGGTTAAAAGGTAGGAATGATGCTATTGTCACGGTTTTCAAACAAGGTTATGCGGGGCTTGCTTAACGCGGCAGAGCACTGTAGAGGTCGGGTCATACTGGGTGTCTGGTCTACCCCACAATCTCAAATATCCACAAGTTTTGGCTATCATATGAGGCTCAATCCCTGATTTACGGATATCGGCGCACATTATGCATCAATTTTTTGCGCCAAAGTGTCGTAGTGGTACGGCTCACACGTGATTCCTGTGCAGTTCACAAGGCCGGAAAAGGCTAAAATTGTTCATCTACTTTCTGCCTTTCAGCCCCTACATCATTCAGCCGATGCTAACTATGGGCAGTTTCCTACTTAGCCCTTGATAGTGGGCCCTCAACCGCGGTGCCCTGTCGGTGCGTGGGTCGGAAATGCTAGACCTTGCATCTTGCTTCAGAGAGAGACTCCGGGGCAAGGACGCTTTTATCTGCTTGAAATAATACTTACCTGGCATCTGACCATGCTTCTTTAGTTCGTCAACCATTTTGGCAGTGTCTCGCTGATCTCACTTGATCCTTCTGAGTGTTGCCGGTTCCTCCAATGCTCGCGTATGCCCAAAGGGGGCGTATCCTCATTGCACATGCATTCCACGCCTCGAAAAGATGTGCAGTAGCCCAAAATTTCTGCAGGATCTTTTGCTTCGCCCTGAATCGGAATAGCAGGTTACGGAACCTTCATGCTATCGCTAGAATACCACCGCTAAAAGAAATTGCACTCCGTACCGTCTTACACGAAGTTAAGGTGCCCATACATTGCATCTGCTGCTGACGAATATGACCTCTTTGCTATGTAGTGGGCTCCCCTATAGCTGTACATTACACTCCGGGACTTCATGGACTGGCCCACGAGCATGCCTTACCCCATCCTATTAGGAGACCACCACTAGGTAGAGGCTCACTGGCTGTATATTTTTGTGAATCCCACTGTAAGTAAGGAACCTTTGTGCCAAGAACTCACTGCTGGTTTACCATACAAAATTTTTGCCAATAAACTACTCGGAGGAATGAAGAATGGCTCTAACAGTTCTCGTCTTACACACTCGACAAGCACAGGGTAGTCAGTAGAAGTTCCCACATAGCTTGTAGGTCCTGGCTAAGGACGTGATAAATTCAAGCTCAGGCAAGTAAAAGTTAGCGAATATCAGAAAAAGGCATTTAGTGGGCCTATTTATGGGGATCAGAGTACTAGGTACTCAACCTAGAAGATTGACCAGCGCTTCGAAGTGCAACCTGTGTATTGAAGCCACTAAACATAGAGCAGAAAGCTTGAGGTGCAAGCCTTGAAAAGAAGTAAGAGACATAATTAGGGAAAGACCCTTTTTCTCAGGCCAGGTTTGGGAAGGTTTTGCCGTAAAGAATTTTCCTCAGGTCGTTCTCTCTCCGCCATCCATACTGTGTTTCAGGCACGGCATATGAGGGCAGAAGACGGTGCTGCTAAGCCACTTCTTGGCTTGAGAATCAGCATGGTTTCTGCCTTTACGCAAGCCCATAAATCTCCAGGAGGGTTTTCTGGTGGACATGATAACAAGACCAACTCTTCATATACCAAAAGTAGAGTGGTAGTTCACATTCGAATGGGCATGTCCAAATTTATTTGCACCACAGCAACAGCGAACGACTTAGTGTTTGCTTAGTACAGGGTTGACTGGCATGCGAACGCTTTCGGTCAGAAGCAAGATTTGGCTTCTGGGGAATTTCAACTTGTAAGCGTCTCGAGAACGACCAAGCAATCAAAGGGATCTCCTCATCCAGGGCGATCTAATGTTCGCCTTGCGTGCTAAGCAACAATCTCGGAAACCTGCGGCCTTTTGCTGCTGCGGAAATGCATCTGCATCAATGGAGGCTCATTCAGTTGTAGGGCAGGGGGACTCAAATTTTAGTCGGTGTGAAATCCCCTATGCCCACCACATCGAGGGGCTTTCAGCGCGACAAAGAAAGTCGCACGCATAGATGAATGAGTACTACAGAAGAAGATGGTGGCGCAGAGTCCTAAAATGCTAGACCAATAGAGGGGGTCTCTTCTTTGGTACAGCTGGTTTGCGCGAGTTCTTTGCCTCCGAAAGATGCCGCGATAGCAACAGTGAACAAGAGGAATGGCAGAAGGCCTACAATATGGCTCTTTATTTAAAATAACAATTTACATGGATTTTTGCATAGCGTTTTGGTAGCACCCGTGAGCGCCACTAAGATGCAAGACATGCGCGGCGGAGGTCACACAATCTAGGCGTTGGGCGACGCAAGACGATAGAAGAAGCTATTTCATATACTGGAAATATTTGGAATATGCTCGGATTCTTTTCACTACTCCAGAAAAAGGGAGTTTTCACAGTGGCGTTGTTTTGATTGTCGTAGCTTTGCAGGCCGTCCTCAAAAGCCGCAAGGGGAAACCGAGCAGGGTAAATGTACACCCTTAGCGACAGTCTGCATGTTTTGCCCTAAGTGATGCAGGACGAGGAATAAGACACCTCTGGCTTCAACTTGGCTGCTGTTTCTGACGCCCAGACGACATGCCGCAACGTGGGAACTCTTTCAATAGAATGATGCACTATGCTGTTTGATGTTAAGACTTGAGCCTCTGGAACTTAGTGCGCGGGCCTCATTATTTGTGGGTCTGAGATGAGCTTGACTAAAACGTTGGTGCTGCCATCCGCCCCGCAAGCGTCTTGGATTCACCGGAAAGTCTCCCCTGTCTGCGGCTCCTGTACCACAGCTGTGGCCAGAGGTAGCAACGCTCCAACAGCAGTCTGCGCAAAAGGGGGGGAACGGAAGCATGCTAGGCAATGGGACTTCTTTAGGACGTCAGCGCTCTGAAAGTTCAAGTGCTGGCAACGACAGCACCAGCAATAGCCGACCATGCATTAGCCACACTGGCACTCCTCCGAGCATGACGCGTCCTTCTGCCGGCAGCATCCCAAAAACCGGTGCGGATATCAGCAGCACTTGGAAGAATTCGCCTACCGGCAGCAGCGGGAGCAGGATCTCTCATCCCAGAAGTAGCTCTAGTCGCAATAAAAACGGCGCAGATGCTCGCCGTGGAAGCAGCAATAGGAGCACCGCATGTGGCGATGGGGGTAATGACGACACGTTCGTGAGTGAAGCCTTGCTACGAGAGATTGTTTTTGAGGATTATTCCCGTGCTTCTTCGTGGGAGCGCTTGCAGCATCAGCTGCTGTCTTCTGTTCGCTCCCTCAAGATTGCCGTTGCTCGCCACCGTTTCCTACGTCAAGTGGATGCCGCGAATGCAGAAGCAGCAGTGCCGCCTGTTGCCTCCGCCCCCCATCAACCTATGCGCGCAGGGGATGCGTTAATCAACAAAAGCGGCAGCTGGCACACCTGTGCGGAGATCCTCCCGCGGTGTGCTTGCGCATGTTCTTCCTTAGCTCAAGAGCAGCAGCAGAGCTCTTTGTCTATGCAGCTGTTCGCACCTCTGGTGCTTCAAACTCTGCTAATTAATCCACAGCACCAAACCCACCCCCTGGGCACATCCCAGCGGCTGCCGGGAGAGTTGCTGCGGCTCACATACACGTGTTCAGCGCCTCTGCCTGAAGTTCGCCGCTGCAGCTGTACTGTCAGCAGGCGTAGCGGCGATGTACAACACGCGCTTCAAGACACAGATCAGTTTTTTGAGGAGCATGGGTTCTTGAGCAGCAGCGCAATCTCTTCTCTGCTGCGTGGAGGCAGCGGGGGCCATCGCGAACTGCGCTGTGGCAGGTGTGCTGCATGCATACTGCAGTGGGAGAGGTTGATTCCCAGCCGCGCCACATTCTTGCAGCGAGACTTCGGAGGTGAGCGAGCAGACGCCAATCTCAGGAGGCAAACTTTGCACCCCGTGTCCAAACGGCAGAACTTTACGCTTCTAACGCGGTGCCTGTTGTGCTTTCAGTTTCGGAATATCTGAGCCTTGAAGCAGTTCAGCTACCACCCGGCAGTCGCCGAACAGGAGCGAAGAGCCAGCAGGCTGTGGCTACTACTAGCGCTGCAGACACCGCAGGGGCGCTACAAATTGCAAAGCATGCCGCGAGGACTGTGCTTGCGGCGCTCAGTCTCGCAATACGCACAGCTCAGCAGCACGAGCAGCACCAAACGCAGGGGCAACAGGAACAGCCGCCCAGCAGCCATCTCCTGATGAAGCTGCCACTCTTTGCCGTTCACTCACCGCAACATGAGGAGTGTATAGGCACCCATGTACTTTCCAGCCAAAAGGCCACCACCACCGCGTGTTGCTCAAGCTCACGTGCAGAAGAAACAGCAGATATTAGCGGAGCAGCACCATCTACGGAAGCGGCGGGGAACGCAGTGAGGACAGAGCGATGCGAAGGAAGCATTGCAGCCAAAGCCACTGATATTAGCCCCCTCCTTATAAGGGAGTATGCTTCCCATTGTCTGTCTTCCAGCTTTGCTTTCGGCGATTGGACCGGTGAGTCACTGTTTCCCATAAGGCCTCAATGTGCTGACTGACTGCTAGTCGCTAGAAAGCAAGTTGGACCGCGCTGTTTCCTGCCTCTACAGAAACTGCAGCACTTTCTGAGCTCGTGCGCGCTGCGCAGAATTTCTGCATTTAATCCTCCCGCATTTAAGCGTGAACTTGGAGTGTTGTCAAGAAGCAAACCCACACCAGGGGCACCCAACAATCTGCGCGCTGCAACGCCTCGCGGTTACCGCCCAATACACGTATTTCCTTCCTCGACAGTGGCAGCACACTTCGTGGCGTAAACTTCAAAACTGCACGTCCGCGGCAGCGGTAAAAGCCCCGCATGAAGCGTGGTGGCTGCAAAGTGCGCCCGGTAACGCTTACGGGGATAGCGAAGGGACCAACAGCAGAAAAAGTGCCAGCCTCATCGATGCTTGGCGCGAGATAGGAGTAGGGGCAGCCACGCCACCTGAGGATACTGAAGGCAGCACGACTCCGACGGCAGACATGTTGCTGCAGCTGCTACTGCAACAGCCCTGTCCGTTTCAGGACTTGCATGTGATTTGGTGCTCGCCGCTGCAGACACTAAAAGACTTCTGCGGAAGCAGTTGCAGCAGCAGCAGCAGCAGCAAGCCGGCCGCTGCCGCATTGGATTGCCGGCTCAGACTGACGGTGCATTCTTCATTGCTACACATGCACAATAAGCTTCTGCGGATCCACGAAAACTCGAAGAAGCATTCGCAAGAGTACAATATTCTCGCAAATGTTTTTCAGTCGCTGAAGTTTCTACAGGGGGATCCTCTGGGCGACCACTGTAGAGCTACAAGACGTATTTACAACCTGAGCATGCTACTGCTCGCCTGCAGCAGCAGTACCAGTAATAGCAGTACCAGTAATAGCAGCAATAGTGCTAGCAGTACTAGTGCTAGCAGCGTCTATAAGGCCGTCTCCCAGCAGCCACTACTTTCTGTGCGTCCCAAAATCCTGCGCCGTATTGAAAGCAGCATTCGGCAGCCAGATATGTCGATCTGCCGGAGGCGCGGCTCTGCTGTCAGCAGACGCAGCAGGCACAGCCACGACAGCCGCAGCAGCGGAAGCAGTAGCGATGCGAGCGATGCAAGCGGCGTGGAGGCAGCGTGTGTCGTAGAGGCAAGCCTGCAGCAGCTATTCAGGCCTATGAGGCGACAGCAGCAGTTGCTAATTCATGAGCAGCAAGTCAAGCGGCTATTGCTGATCGGAAGAAGCTCCCGCGGCGTTAAGTGCAGCTGCTGCTCCAGTGCATGCAGCTGCTGCGGCGTTGACGGGGCGTTTGGCATTCTCTGGGGAAGCAGCAGTAGCGGCAGCTACTTTTCTGAACTGGCACTCATGGCTGGGGAGTGGCAAGGACTCCAGCAGTTACAGCGCTTCTGGCATAGGCTGGTCATGCAGCTTCGCGACATGTGGGAGAAGGGACGGCTGCTGCCGCGTATCGTTGCAGGCCTTACAGCAGCAACGGTGGCAACATGCCAAGCGGAAGCCACGCAAGGCACAACCGAGGAGGGACAGAAGTGGAGCGCCTTCGCTGCAGCGAGAGGCATATCTTGCTGCCCAGATGGACCCTGTGCACTGCCCGACTTGTGCTGTACTCCCCTGCAACAGCTGTTCCAACAGCTGAACTGCGCGATACAACAGCGCCGCTTGCAGTGCCTCCTGCATCAGCTGCCGCAGGAGCAGCCGCAGCAGCCTTTTGAATCCCTGCGCTTCGTGCTGCCTTCTCCCGAGGATCTCGCTGGCTTCCACGAACCCATCCTGCCGGTGCTCCCCCCCATCACCGAGGCAAGCCAAGTTGATGTGCAGTACTTTAGCCCAATATATATATATATATATCTGTGAAGCAGTTTTCCCTATGTGTATGTGCCAGATCAGATGCCCCCCAGGACACCCCTGCCTGCCCCTGCACAGTCCGAGTAAGGTGACTCCTTGTTGACGCTTTGTTCACGTGCCAGGCTTGTTGACGGTGCAGGAAACCCTTGACATGCATGCGACCATCCTACGGGAACGCAGAAATCTTGGAGGCAGCCCGCAGAATCCCCTCGGGGCGGCCTGCCCGTCAGTGGCGCAGTCTTCGACCAGCGCAAGTGTATGCACACCCGATTTCAATCCTGCATGGTGGCAGCACTGCTTCACCGGCCTGCCGCAGAGCGCAGAGCAACTGGTGCTTCAAGGGGAATATCTGCTGCGCCAGCGGGAGGCAACACGATCGGCTGCGGCTGCAGCGTTGGCTGGCGCGACACACCCCCTCGGTGCAATGCAAAGGGCGGCTATGGCCGCAGCTCATCTAGTGACGACTGAAGGGCCGCCAGACTCGCAAAGAACTGATCCAAAAAGGATGCATTTGGAGGCAGAGGCTGCCCAGCAGCAGCCCCTCTTTAACTACCTGGTCAGCCTTCTTCGCCGTGCAGGCGATCCTGCTCGGCTACGTCACTCTGACATCAACAACTAAACAGCTGACGCCATGCTTTCTCTTGAAGCTCCTGAGAAATTTGCATTTGTACTACTTAATTCTGCTCTGCAATGCTTCCTGCCGCAGGTTGAGGGGGAGATGGCTTTACATGGACTCGAATCTCTCACAGCCCCTGATCTGTTGGGACACCTTTTGCGGATTCTCGTGGCCTCCCTGTCTGAACAGTGTCGGCTTGCCTGCGCATGCGTTCTGGCCGCTGCTCCAAGCTGCGACGGGGGCATCAGACGTTGCCTATACACTCCCGGAGTTGCTGCTGTATGTTTTGAGCGCAGTGGCCGCGGTGTCCATGCCACGAACAGCACCAGCACCAGCTGCAGAGGAGCTCTGTTTCCTTGTCACATTCCTGCTCTGCAAGCTGCTGTAGACGACCTGCAGCGGCACGCAATCGCGCATGCGGCAACGATCCCCGCGGCCGCTTTTAAGGACGGATCCTCGTGGATACCGTCTGTGGCGTTGCTTGCAGCATGTCTGAGATGTGAGTACATGTTCTCTGCTGCTGCTGGCCTCTGCCAGGTGTTTGGCACCGATCCAGCGGCTCTACCCATAGTACGCCGAGCCCTACAGCTACTTCTCCAGCAACTGCAGCAACAGGAACACGCTGCAGCAAGAGGCACCATCGAGCAGCGTACTACAGGCCTTGAGGGCTGGCAGGCAGGAGAGTGTCCAGATGCAGAGTGCGACATATTAGTGCCTATACTGTCTTGCAGTGAGAAGCGCGCGTTGCAACACGTGTTGCATCGATGCAGTGGCGACCTGGACTGTGACTCGGCCATGGGAACTTCTGATGATCCATGGGATGTGCGCCTCCCATGGCCTCCGTTTGCTGAGGAATACATTTTCCTCTCCCAACCTGCCGAAACAGGCGCTCACGAGCATAGAGGGCGCTTCTATTGCAGAAAACAGCACGGCGACAGGGCTTTCGCAGTAGCCATAGAACGATCCTTTCGGTAGCTCAATCAATGAGTAATTGCAACACTGCCGTCCTGCCGTTGAATCCTAGGTACTGCACACATGTGAATAGAGAAGTGAGCTAATCTCAGCACCGGAGCTTTTGCGTATTCGAAACAAAGTGCATAAATACTACCGGAGAGCGCACTGCGCGAATATATGTGTAACGACGCAGCCGTATCGGATGTACGCGTCGTCATCTACGTGCTCCTGCAGCTCAGGAGGCAAAAAGGAATGCCGGAAAAGCAGATCCAAAAGGCTAAGTAAACCATTGGACGACGGTTTGGCGACATTGAGTTGGCCCCTCAATTAACACACTTTTTACAACTGCGGAGCGCAATTATCAAAACTTGTTAGATATGAGCCTGCAGGCAACCAGGCACCGCCGAAACCCCTTTCATTCTCTCTACGTCCCTGCACTATTGGAGAGCCGTGCGAGACGGACGTTTTCCTGAATTTTTTTCTGTGAAGGGAGTTCCGGGTTCAGGGGGCAAGTCGCACACACAGTAGGTCCGCATATTAATAGGAAGATGAGGCAGAGTAGTCATGGGGGTTCTTGTGGGTGCATGCAATGTATGCAGGCTATGCCAGTCTCGTTAATACGTGGAGGGAGGCATTGACTGGAAAGTGATCCCTAGGAGCAGCAAGGTGCTTTGCTTGTTATAGCCTCCAGATTCCATGGAGTGACAGCTGGCCTCGACGCACGTGTACGCAGCAATAGACCCCAGCGAACAGCCATGCTTGCAGCTCCGGGAAAAGGGGTTTGCTTTACATGCAATCTGTGAAACAGGGTTCCCCAAAAGCCGAAAGTCTTCCACTTGAGGCACGACTTTGCGCCCTTGAGGCACGTTGAGAAAAATTGTAGAATGGTGCACTGAGGCTGAGGCTGCAGGCGCTCTAAGGGGTTGCAAGGGGTCTCTTGACAGGGCCTTGCTGACGTGCTCATAAGCGATATCGGTTAGCATCCCGAAAGAGCAAATTGTAGCAGTGCATACTGACACTAATAGCAGAGTCCACTTGTATATCCTTATTTGCTGCAGTAGCGGATAAATACGTGCACAAACGCTGTCCGAGCCCAACTACTAGAGGGCCGGGGCCAGAAGTTTTCTGCCTTTTGTGGCTTGAATCGCGATGTAGCGCTGCGATGGCATGCCTTGCAGATAGGTTTCCTCGCGACCTAGAACGGAAATTGCAAAATGGATTATTCAAGCATATGAGGCCTAGATGAACGCTATAAAAGCAAGAACACACTGCCATGCGAATGAGACCCTACAACGGTTTCTTGCACCCCGGGATGCAGTAACAGCTCTAAATGTTCCAAAAAAGCCGTTTTCAAGCAATTGTCGTAAGCGGACTCCATCACACAAAAGTAATTGAGAGTGAAGTAGAGTTGCTATAGATATTGACGATTACTGAGGACGATGCGCCAAGGCTCGTACTTGCCTCACCTGCACATCCTCACAGTCGACGAACTGCACCAGGCGTACTCCACTGCAAGCTTATGGTCGTGTGTTTTTTAAACATCTTTTTATCATATATCCTCTTTTGGCTCGATATCGCGCCCCTATCCAGTTTCAGTAGTTTGTCTTTCAGCAAGTAAAAGTAGTGAAAACGTTTTGGGCTTGTCTACGCCACCTTACCGCTTACCGAGGAATGAAGCCTTAGGTCGCTCATGAGCCTGCACGGCTACAGGAGTTTGCATGCCGAGCTGCCCGCTCCACTTCCGTACGCCGCCAACGATAAGCATAGGTAGCTGTTCAAAGGTGTGAACCATCAAAAGAACCCTTATTCGGTATTGCTGTACCATGCACACCTGTTTTGGGGCAGTGAACGGATGAAAAAAAAACACGCGTCGCTGTCGCGAAACGCGGAAGGAGCCAAGTCCGTCATCGAATAACACTGCGTTTTGCACCTACAGCGACGCGTAGGCCATATTATAAGCCGTAGATGAATGGCCACTCATACAAAACCCTCGAATGGGGTATCAAGGATTCACTAGTGCAGAAGTAGCAAACTACGGCCTATAATGCGAGCAGAGAAGCACAAAAGGCCTACAACTCGCAATGCTCACGCCGCCATACACAATTCCCGGCGGTCCTGTTACAAGGATAACACTGTGCGAATGCACGACTACCATTCAAGTTCGGAAGAAGCACGGCATCCCGAGGCTCCTGCATGCACATACATAGACAAACACATACACGCATACATACACAAACATTCATACATATACACGAGAAAAGCGCCTTCAGAAGCCTATTTACGTCTTAAAGGGGGTTCAGATAGAATTAGTTGCAAATGACCTTGCTCTAGAAATTGGTGTGGTGCAAAAGTCTACGTTTCTCACCATCATCTGCCGCAGAAGCTAGCCGAAGCTGCCTACAAAGGTCCACAAGATCCCTCAATAGAAAATGGGATTCGTGGCCGTCTTCCCTGACACGGTTCCAACAACGCAGACGCAGAACGAAGCCGCCTTTGCATATGTAACACAAGAACTGACATTCACAACTGACCAAATCCAAATACTGTACGCATCACAATGCATAACGAAAAGAGTCGGTGTAAATTTACAATAATTTTGTGCTAACCAGATAATCGCCACCTCGTCAACCGCAGCTTCAACCAGCTTGACAATTACTACATCGCGTTCAGAAGTCCTGCAGAAGTAAAAATATCTAGAATTCGTAAAGCGCACCATGTCGAGGGGAATAGCTGTCCACATAAACTCATGAAAATGATGCAACCCTCCTCTAGCTAGAGGAATATTGCAATAGTCAAATTGAAGTCGATGGATAAAACTGCATCTCACCTTAGCCGCTGGCCTTCTAAACCTCTTGACGTGCATTCTCTGCACTTGCATCGCTGCCGTAAAATATCTCCAGAGATTTCGAAAACCTCATTCACCATTACCGGGTTGCCTGCATCCAACAGTGTTCAGACGCCCCTAAGGAGTCCTTAAAGAAAGAACAGCGATGTTTACAGGCGCTTGCCTTGCCCTTAAGGATGGATAAATATACATGCGTAAATACAGAAGCATTCGGGAGAATGTACAAGCAGAAGGAGTACAATGAAGGAGGCTAGCGATGGGGAGACGGAAGTGGCGGAGCTTGCCGAGCTCGAGCAATACAGGTAAAATATGCATTGCGTGCCTCCGACCAGTGGGAACAGAAACACTTTGAATCTACAGATCTACACAAGTAGCCAACTTGGTACAAGGCTATGGAGAAGCAATAGGATGTGCTTCATCGAATATGTGACAGATCATGGTAGGGCCGTTGTGCATGCAAGAAAAAACTCTTGGTAGTAGTGTAAAAGAGTCTCACCCTCTCCTAGGAGAGCCCTCTCTGGGCGTACAAGAGACACCAGGACCGCGGTTCCATCAGCAGTAACGGAAGGTTGTGGCTTTAAGGTTCCGAAGTGCCTTGTAGAGAGCTCGCAAGCTACCCTGTCTGCAAGGGAGCGAATAGCACTCCACACCTAAAACGCCAATACAAACAAGTGCTAAATCGCACGAAGTGCTGCAAGAAGCAAACGCAGAATCGGTCCGCGTGCTTACACAGAAAAGCACACTCCAAGCACGTGGAACAACAGACATCCACTTTGAAGAGGGAGTCAGCTATATGGCTACATTCAAGGTGAAGAAAGCCCTTCGGCATGGCGATACACATCCTGGTACAACAGTAAGCGCCAACTCACTGGATCTTCAGGGCCTAGTCTGTCCACAAAGGAATCCCTCGCATCAGGCTGCGGCGACCCTGCGAATGAGATAGAATTGAGTCTTGAATCAAAGGGCAGAACAAGCAACTGTTGTGCAGCGCTAAGCTCCGCCAACTGCTGTGTCGCTCCTGGGACGCCGTAAAGCTCGTGGCGTTTTTCGCAGCTATCACACGTGAAGTAGGCCATGTTGCATACAACTGATAATATCGGGATGGATAGACTTTTCAGCATCATGATACCCCTCTGTGCATCCACCAAGCTGCAGCAAACACGATGGCACAACACCGCGTATCTACGAATGCGCTCCGCAGCGGTGCTACAATTGAGACAAATCATGTGTTTGCTGTGTTGGTTCAGCTTTGCAGAAGCTATGGAGTGCCGTGCCAGAAGACATAGGGCATGACTTGCATGAGGACGGTATCTATGAATAAATTGCATGGGGGGCAGAATACATGTGGCACCCCATTTAATACCGCATATAGCTTTCAAGTAGGGTGTGATTTTGTAGATTATGCATTTAACATGAAAAACGCTCTGTTTCCGCTGCCTACCTGAGGGCCTGTGGCGTCGTCACCACAACACAGCCATCAAGAGGCACCTGCTGCTGCGTAAGAGTAATATGAATATCCCCTGTTCCTGGAGGAAGATCCACCACTAGATAATCCAGTGCCCCCCATCGCGTCCCTGTTAGCAGCTGCTCCACTACCGAACTAACGAATGGGCCTCTCAAGGCTGAGTAACCCTGGCACACGATCAGCACACGCAAAAATAGACGTAGGAACTCAACTGAGGAAAAACAGGATTGAGAGGCTCGACTAAGGGAGAGCCTCTGCGCTCCACTGGTGGAAAGTACTAAAAGTCTCACGACTGGAGAGATGCAGGCAGGCGCACTTGGTCATGCTCTAAACGCAGGCTTAACGCCTTGACGCTTACCTGTTCATTCTCCTTCGCAATAAAACCATAGGACATGCACTTTATCCCGGATACCATAAGGGGAAGCATACTCAAATTCGCTTCCTTTGTAGCTGCAGATCTTTGTGCCTGTTCAGCGTTAGCCTTGAGAGGTTCCTTGGCATGAGACCCTTCGTACTCAATGCGCGTTCGTCTTACCGCCCCTGTTGCCGGTCTGCCTTGCAGCGAATGTGTCGTGTTGTGTTGCGCAGCAGCATCCACTTCCTCCCCCCCGTTGCTCTCCCCGTCCACATCAAAACGGACTCTGGCTTCCTCCATAGTCAGCAGGGTGGGGAGGCTTGGCCCATATATGTCTGCGTCTAGCAGTCCCACTCTAGCTCCATTTTTCCTCAGCATCAAAGCAAGAGAAAGTGCAATGGTGCTCTTACCAGAACCTCCTTTGCACGATGCGACTCCAACAACAAACCCGACTTGTCTAAGGTTGGAGGGTCGACCAGCTGACGCAGCGCGGATATCCACCATCGAGTCCAGGGAGATCCTTACCTGCAGACGCGAAAGCAAAAGCAAGGAACACCACTGAAAACCAGGAGGATACATGAGCCTGAGCTCCGCAGACAGACGAACAAAAGAAGGCTGTCTCGCAGAAACGAGCGACAACGCACTGAGCAAGATAGGCTTTATTGCACATATTTAGTGTTCTTTCTGCTCTTTTAGCTGCTTCAGGGAAGCCTCTTACCTCTTTAACCCAGGGCAAGCGCCGCACAGCAGCCTCCGCTTCGTCCCGTATGTGGCCTTTGAAGGGGCAGGCGGGAGTTGTGAGACGCAAACAAAACTGAACATTTCTACCTCCCACCTCTTCTTTACCAATCTCCAGGTCACTTACAAAGCCAAGAGCCACAATATCCCGCCCAATATCCGGGTCCTTCACCTGAGAGGAGCAAAAAAAGGAAAGATGCAGGCAGAGGTGAAGCTTGGAAGAGTCTAGAACAAGCCTGTAGCTACCAATTCCCCAGCAGGCGGCAGATCCTCCCTTGGCCAGCATGGGCCCCATGTGCAACTGCTAAGATAAAAAGAGATGCCTCACCTGCCGCAGCTGCTCAAGTACTTCTTCGTGTATGTGGAGCACTGGCGATCGACTGGGGGCTTCAGCGTGCTTATCATCTACGCAACACGAGTCACTTGCGTCCTGTTTAACTTGTTGTGCCAAAGCCGTGGACCCCTGGTAAAGGATGAACTCAGCGTCCAGAAGCTCAGGATCCATTGACACGGTAATGTGAGGAGGACTTTTTCGAGCATCTAAGCGGCCCCAAAATAGCCAGGCGCAACGAAACTGCTTCTACTTTTGTGAACAGTTTCCAAGAGGAGCCACTAATAAGGCTCATTTAAACCTTCTCCAATGTTACCATGAAGCACAGTTGGGAGCTTAGTTGAGAGTTATTCCGAAGGAGTCAATGAAAAGGACCACCTGAAGCAGCTGGTAACGTGGATCGCCAAATATGCTTGCGGGAGGAGTGCTAGAAACTTAAGCCACTTGCAAACTAGAAGGTATGCAGCGAGAGGCTATAAAACAATTAGTGAATAGCCCTGTCATTCCGCCAAATACGGTAAAAACTACCGAAGGACGATGAGTGCGGTTAATGGGCTGCTGGGTCGCACAGAAGCTGGCTAGGGCTTCCCAACAAGGCAGTTCCTCTGCTGGTCAATGTTCGAAAAAATTGCTTCCTTGTTCTCACTTGAAAGAGTAACTACCACTTTAAAAACACTTTTTGTGTGGCGCTCCTCCTGCGGGCTTGCATGCGGCATAGCTCCACTCGATCACGTTATCACGGTACGACGATTGGTACTTTCGCTTCTTGAAATGTTAAAAAAGGCATGCCTGCTTTAATGAGCAAATGAATATAGGGAGGCTGGCTAGCTCCTTGCTGGTATAATCGTCGGGGCCTGGTGGCAGAGCAGCGATGGTGCAATTTCACCTTGTAAAAGGTAAGATCCTGAAGCCGTAATCCATCGGCTTCCCACCCTCCTACTCTACCCAGTTTACCTCGCGTCACACAGACTATTAAAATTTGCCCAGCAAAATGAGAAGCTGTAAACAAAAGCCAGACTACTAGAAAAACTGCCTTGTGTCAAGCATTGCAGTGCACCGGTCCTAGAGCCGAATAAAGCAAGCTGTTTATTAAATGAAATGCCTGCCCCACCTACTGTGGACGATCATCAGATGGTCTGCTTTCTATCTTAATTCCAGAAGTTGCTTTCTGGGCAAAAAGAGAACGGATATTCAGGGTTCGGCACTTCTTTTATCAGGAAACATAGTAGAACTACAGGATCCTACATAACACAGTGGTGCAACGAAGATGACAGCGAAGCGGGATGCGTCAGACGCTGACCTCGCGGAGCCACTTCATTCTCACACGGTGCAAAAAGCACAAGGGTCGAAGGAAGGACACGACATGGTGCGGCTCTGCTCGCTCATTTGCGCCAGTTATGTCCATTGAAACAGGCTATAACCTGAAAAGGAAAAGCCGCATAATAAAGCGACCATGGGATAAAAACGGGAAACACTTTACTCTGTATGGTGTTGGAGCAAATGCTGCACGGTTTTGCCTATCGCTGTTTCAGTGGTTGTGCCAGTATGAAAGAGCCAGACGGGCTTCCAATTCGAACTGGGAAGATGGAGGGGAGGAAGACCCCGGTTCGCAATTTCCAGAAGATTTGCACAGCCTGGAGCACCGAATGGCGACCATCAGGCAAACACACAAGGCAATTGTAAGAGCTATAGATGCTGCTCAAGGCAACGTGGTCAAGATGATACAAGGTAATATTAATTTGTGTTAGTGCTCTACTGCATTAAAGGCACCTAATATGGGTGACCAGGCGAGCTGGGAGTTTGCAATTTATGAAGAAAAGCGCAGAACTCACCGCAGGGGGGCGTGGATCAAGGTATTGCGACTATTTAACTCGTGTGAGCCAATGCGTCGCAGATCAGGAGAACCAGTATTTGCGTGCATTCAAAATACGGTCCGCTCACTAATGTGGCCTTTCGATATCAGCAGACGAGTCACATCTCCAAATATTAAATTGGACAGCTTTTGCACAGGGAGAACTGTTTGAAGCAGACATTGCTGCCTTGCATGTGCGTTTTACCGTATAGGACCCAGGAGATTTTAGAGCAAGCGAAAAAGCTTCAACAGGTAGGACTTACCAGTCTCTGAACCAAGGGCCTACATGGTAGTGATTCGGCTAGAAACTTAGAACACGAAACAATGCGTTAATCACCCCATCAATCGGGGTACCTATATTAGCTAGCTAGCCGAATTCGCACCGACTCTGTTATCAGACCGACGTTTTAGCAACCCACGCTAAGGCCTCCTCTATGCTTTAAGGGCGAACACCCCTTTGACGAAGCTGCTTAAACTTTTGCTTGACCAGAGCCAAAAATCCCCTGTAGAGATAGAGACCTTGCACCGAATGCTAACAACAACCCTTCAAGAAGCAGAAGAAGGAGCGAAGCACTTTTCGGCTTTGAATCAAACTCTGGTACGCTGAGGCAGCGTAGCGCAACGACTCATACTGCACAAGAATATTCGTTTTTATCTTTGACGGGAAAATTCGCGTTTCCGAGTTCCTGTCCCTTTTCGTGCAATCAAGAAGTACCAGTACTAAAGCTTCGAGTATGCGTTCTATTTTGCTTCAGATGGCAAAAAACGCGCAACTAATTACAGACAACCAAATTTTGCAGGAGCAAAATGATATTCTTCTACGAGAAAGGGCCATTCAGAAGAGGCAAAAAGAGAAACAAGGTGAATACCGCTTTTAGGATGCACAGTATACGATCGGGTTTCCTGGTAGACGATGAAATGAATGCCCGCCCTTACAATCATTTTCCGTTAGGGGTGAGCTCCGTTCATAGGCCACTAAATTTAAAGCGTAGCACCCGGTTACCAAAACGTATACTCCCTTTTATCATTGTGTACACATACTGCAATGCAATTCTACCCTGTTTTGGATCCACGGCCACAGCTCGAAAAGAGCCCAATAGCCCTCGCAAAGGAGACCGGCAGGCCCCTATGCAGCTTACGCCAGACGTATCGCCTCGTTTGGCGGGCCCTCCATTAACACCGAGGACACTTGCGAAGGTTAAGGCAACTATTCGCCAGTGTTCGAAGACCCGCGACTACGGTATCGTAGCCCAAAGATGAAAATTAATCCTGTACAAATTTCGTTTTTGTGATTTTCAAGGAATTAAACTAGTTCGCTTCCCCTGTGCTGCGAGCAGAGAGAGAATTGAAAATGAGGGCCGAAATATCCCGCTTGCGCGATCTTTGCAATAAGCAGAAGCGCGAGCTACTGATACTAAAAGCCACGGACGGCCGTCGAGTGGAACTCGAGATACTTTTGAAGCAATGGTGGGCTGGCTGTCTTACCCGAGCATACATACTTATATGTTAAAATTGGGGCATTCCAGCAGCACTGCTAAGTCTGCACCTGCTTAAAGATATCGATGTACGCATATCATTTTATGCGCGCTTGTAGAGCTCTGCATTCGACATGGTTTGCGGGCTGTCTGATCAGTTTGCTGGATGTAAAAGCCCGCCTAGCTGGCAAGCGGAAGAGTTCAACGGCAAGTCTACAGTGGTTAGGGTGGACTGCATGCACAGCATCAAATCCTAAAATAGTTTCTTGTGAAAGATGTCAAATTTGCTTTGCTCAGAGTACAAGTAGCTTCGACCCCAAGACCTCGCGAGAAAGCGAGGCGGTAGGAAGGGAACTGTCCGTGGCCGCCAGAGATGAAGTGTTACGGAAGCTACTAAGGACGCAGCAGTGAGAAAACCTTGCTCTAGTACTGTACCCGACGTGAGCCGTTACCTGTATGCTCTTAGGGCTTGTCGAACTTTTTGAATTTTCTCCGTGTACAGGGACAACGGGGGACGCACCAAAGGACTGCGAGGCGACTCCTGTTGTGTGATATCCTTAACTTAACATTGCATTTGTGTTCGAGTGCTGGTTTTGTGACATCAGGGTGATCAGGTTGCTACATCAAATTGTGACGGCAACGAGCCCAGTTAGTAACTTAGACTTCTCTTGGTTAGAGGATGAAAACAGCGACATGGAATCAGAATCCGCTGCAGGAGTAGTCCCTCCTCAAGCAGACTCGAAATCCAAAAAGAGATAATATCATAGGAGGATGTTCGAAGAGCCACCCAAGGATCAAAATCACAGTCTATGCAGGCTGAAACATGTCGCCAGCTGAGCAAGCACAACTAGGGGCGGGATAACCAATTGTCCTCAAGCTTCTACAGTGTATAACTAACTCTCTTTATGAAATCTTTAGTTTTTGCCTTCACGGTAGCCATTTTCGACGTCTGAGTTTCACGCCAAAAAGCATCTGGAAGTTCCAACAGTTTTTAACTACCAGTGCACGTGCTGAGCAAAATCGGGGTGCTGCATGACACAATGGCTTAACTGGCCTCCAAAGTAAAATTATTGCTAAATGGCGCACTTTTAGGAAAAAGGATGCACTAAATAATCCGAGCACTGCAGGGGGTCAGGAAGAGTGTCTGCCTTCAGTGCAATTGATTATGATTAACGCAGCTATTTCTCCCCACACGACAGGAGTGGAAGTCTTGCTTGACGGAGCTGGCGTGGCTACTGTTAGTGAATATAGTTGAAAGGTGGGACAAACCAAACTCCAGCGGGTCATGCAAAACTGAGGGCACTAACAGCCGAATATGTGGAAACGCATGTGCAATGTCAAGGGAATGCGTGAACGAAAATTGCGTGGAGCATGCAGCGCAGCTCCATTAGTCACAGGGGGAGTCAGATATAGGCTTCCAGCCATAATTTGAATGTTACATGGCTGGACTGAAGACGAAAGTCGGCACATAGTGTTTGTAGCATTGAGAGAGGCTGCTGGAGTACAACGAAGGGAGGAGGATATTCAAAAGTGTTGCCCAACAGCCTGCACTCCATCACGCAAGCCTGCTGATGTACAACTAAAGGAGCGCATCTAGGCTTCTTCAGTATAGCTTATGCTCCCATATAAACTACAGGATCATGATGTCACTGTGTTCTATCCTACGATATCTGTAAAGACGCTAATGCAGCTGTGTTGCCTCCGGTGCTTCTATAAGGCAAAAATGCTCCCAAGCTAGGTGTCAGATCAGGCAGAAGATTATGGGGCAGGCGAATCTTTCATAATTTTATAATACCCTGGGCAACCTGTACTTGAGGCCCTCGTGAAATTGACATTTATTTAGATCTTCGAAGAGACTTCCAGTGCCGCGGCCCGTGTTGACACTTTGGCAATTAGTTATTGTAATTAAGGTTATGGAATTCTACCAAAATCACTTCTGTTAAATCGATGAGTTCCCATTCTCCTACGCGCGATTTGCGTCGATCCCCGGTGAGACACCGTGCTGTACGCTAATGCATCCCAATAAGGTGTTACTGTCACAAATATTTAACCTTATACATTTCGCCCTTCCTGACTCGAAAATTGTTTCTTGCCGGAGGCAACAGGCCACCCGGAACTCAGTGCAGTTTAGCAACGCAGCACCGTCCGTCCAACTAATGGACTCGCGTATGAACCACAGCTTAGCCAATAATCTTGCCTGGTCCAAGACCCTCTGGGGTTTCTACAAGCAAGACTTCAACTACCAATTAGTCCGACCCGCAGGCTGTCCTCTCAGGATTACGAGAAGTGCACATAGTTATTCAAACGCTTCCAATTAGTATTCAGTCGGCGGCTCACTCTTGTGTTAGCCAGTCACGCTTATAGGAGGTTTTATTGATTGAGATGCAACGTAGACTTCGTTGGTGGAGGGTTAAGAGGGGAGTGAGTGCCAAGCAATAGCAAAGCTGAAGCATGCTATCAAGAAACAGGTATGTTGGAATGCCCCGAAAAGACTAGCTTGAACTTAGTCAAGCTGATAAATTCATGTAGGCCACCACTTGCACGTAGTAGGATGATTGATGTATCACGAACTCAGGATAGTGAGGAGTCCTCTTACGCGGTCTTCAGAGAAGGCCAATTCAGGGGTACCGGCAATTGCGCTACTGCTGTACCTGAGTCAGCAAGCGGTATCTTTTCGCTCAAGAAGGCATAATCCTGTTGGGCCCCCCCAAATTCGGTCACGCGCTGAATGCTACGGAGTTTTACTTCCTCCAAGCTGGGAGATAACATTATTGGAACTGCTTGGCAAGAGCGGTGATAAGGGGAGACAACGTGGCCCTTTGAAGCATATAAGCGTATCAGGATAGGCACATAGCTTTAGAACCACCGTGACACTTCTTTTACGGTCTTTACAAAGCGACATTTTTGCGTCACACATCAAAACACGTAAGAAAGTTAAAAAGTGTTTCCAAACGCGCTGCCCTCGTCCTCTCCCTCACCCTTTCCCTGTTTTAGAGATAAAAGAGATGCACTGTGCAGTTAGCGCGTACCTGTTGTTTTCAGGCACACTGAGCACATGCACATCGCCGCGCCCAATAACAACATGGTAAGGCCCTAGGCATGCAGTCATCCATCATTGATGTATCCTGTTTTGCAACAAAAAGGGTGCCAGAACAGCCAAATAATACAATTTTAAGGTCTTCATTATAAACTGTCGAAGTGAAGCATGGAACGCCGAATCCACTGACCATCCGCCCGGCCTTGGTCGAGTTCAACTGGGCATGATGTATGCCGAAAAAATGGCAAAGCAGACATGGGGGGAAGAACCAAGCTAAATGAAGGCCTAAAAGGCAGGCAAACAACCTACAACATCAAAGCGAGGGGTAACAACACTTTTTGCGAATACCATTGGGACTAGCGGCAGGCAGTGGAAGTTCTCTCCCAAAATCGTCATATATTTTCGCGGAAGAGACATGATTAGTGACTAAGAAGGAAGAATCATGTATCTCATCAAGAAATTATGCCTCGAAGGGGCGTCTTACTCTTTTTGGAGCGCTCTGCCTTTCAATACAGACCTACTTGTGCCAGCACAAACCTCAGCATCCCACACGGGTTCCAATTATAGAACGGATGCATCTTGACCCGAGTTCAACCCAGGAACTCGTCCACATCAAGCGTGAAAAAACGCTTTGAACTCATACACGCGAATTATAAAGGCAGACTCCAGTAACTAACAGAAGCCCTAGCTGCTTGCCACGCTCTCGGCGCTCGCAGAGTCGATGCGGTTGCTCGAGTCCACACAGCCGGCCCCGTTGGTTCCAACTCGCTGGCACTCATCCTCTCTTCTCTTGCACTAGTTCACGCATTAGGCAGCCCCATTAGGCTATTTTTGCATCTCTTCTATCAGCTCTTCTGGAAAGAATCTTTTGACTGCGTCGTCTTCCTCGCTGCGAAGGCCAGGCGGCAACGGTGACGACAGCGAGCCGTCGGCCGTAGCCTTACGCGGGCTACGGAGCCCCGGCGATCTAGCTTTTTGCTGCATTATTGAAGCGCATTTACACCTTAGCTGCTTTACACACTTCTTTAGTAGCAATGGATAGCGTACAGAGTGGCAGCGCCACGCCAAGGGGCGTTGGTGTCAGCACCGCAAGCCACCAGCCAATCCACTCGCTGCCCCAAGTCGGCGGTGGATTCCACAACATGATGAGCCAGGCGTCCATGATGGGGGGGCCTTTCATACCTGGAAGTTTTCATGGAAGTGACGGAGCCGCAACACCGAATGCGAGTTGTGGGCCTTGCTGCTATGCAGAACCTCCGCTGATGCACCAGCCAAGCCATGGCTTGTGGACTTGGAGTCGGGATGGACGCCTCAAATTGACATGCGAACAACCTATTGTGCCAGTTCCAGTTATTCAAGAGATCCACCGCCGTGATAAAATAATTGAAGTGCCTCAAGTAGACGTTGTGGATGCCGTGAAGCCCAGGGTGTACAACCAGGGAGTAGAACATGAGGTTCCGAAGATGCGCATTGATGCTCAGCCAGTCAATATTGACATTCCTAAATATAAATATGTTGAGAGGGAAGTTCTGGTTCCCATTGTAACAGGGTACACGCACAAGTTTGTTCCCAAATGGGAGATCAGGGAAGTGCCCCGCCCTGTAGTAAAATACGTGGGGGAGCAAGAAACCATTGAAGTGGAGGTTCCTCAGGTAAAGTTTGTGGACAGGGTGGTTGAAAAGGAAGTTGTGGTTGATACAATCGAAAAGAAGGTGCCGAAGATAATAGAAGTCCCTAAGTATGTCGACACGGTCAAGTATGTCTGGAAGCCCGTAGAGAAGGTTGTGCACGTTGAGAGGTTTGTGCCAAAGTTCGATGTATCTCTTGAGTGCCCTGCTCCTCTCATCGTGCCATATCCCGTCCAGAAAGTCACGGAAATGCCGGCTGTCATGGTGCGGAAGGCTCCGGCCGAGATGCAGGAAACAGAGGTGGAGGTCGTGTCCCCGGATGGGACAGTGCGCGTTCCTGAGGAATATATACGCGAATACAAAAAAGCAAAGGCTCACGAGGGAGGCTTTCTCTGTCAGACAATGGAGTGCTGTGGAGCAGACAAGGAAGACGAAGTGCTGTACTCAGAGGGGGATCTTACATGGATGCAACGGGAGGAAGAACAGTCGTCCAGCGGAGAGCGACGCCAGCACTCTGCGGAGGGATCCATCGAGAGCGCGCAACCAGGAGCTGTGTTAACGAGACCTCCGAAAGAAGACGCCCGCCAGCGCAGCGGGGAAGCAGACGAAGCCCAGTAGAGGGCACAGAAAGGCTCGTCTGCTTGCCTGAACCGCCCAATTAAGTCAGTGCTGGCTTTTCGGGGTGCCGCAATGCGAAAAGTTTGGCAGTTTCAAGCTACTGTACAGAAATAGGCGGAAGCTTTGTGTGGGGAAAACTGTTTTGCCTGCGTTGAAGCCTTTTGCTGCATCTGCGAAAGAGCCCGATCTGGCTCCTCTGCTGAGAAGGCTCACTGAGGAAACAGGGTCGCACTATCGCCCTGCACAGTGCATCTTGTATTCTGCAGGAAAAATGAAATCCTCATATGCCTGTGTAGCGTGGCCTTTCACCACTGACTGCTCCCAACACCCGATACTACCTTAACATTTAGAGCGATATGACGCCGCATAGAAACAACATCAAAGAAGTATTTCCTCTTGTGGGATCGAATCGATAGCTCTTGGTGGGGTTTTAACCATGGTGCACTAAATAATCTGCAAATACATGTAACCACGCTAAAACATACTGACGGCCATTGCAACACAGCGCACTCCAACAGGCAGAATGCAGTGTTTAGGTGATTTCGTGATACGGGCTGGTTCACATCCAGTTAGGGCTAAAGCTTGCAGTTTGTGCCCCCATTCGAATGCATGATACTTGTCTGAAAAAATGAAGTGTAGAATTTGTGGGCTTAACTTTTGAACATCAATCTGAACTGCAAAACCATTTGCCAGGCCTTCTTCCTGCCAAAGCCTTGATGGCAGGGCCAAAAACCGTCATCTTGCAGAGGGCGCAGGCAGGGGAGTAAATCTTCGGCTTTGGAGCCCACAATTCAGCCTTTTTTGTCAAACCAAGTTATGTAAATGTGTTGTGCGTCGTGACTCCGCTCTCTGCTTTGTAAGGCTACTGCGCTAAACTGTTGGGTGTACACCGAGTGCAGACCTGCATGTCCAGCGTTGCATCACTATTATCTACCAGATGGCACCTTGGTGCTATTAAGACGCAAGCGCATCAGACACTACACAACCACTGCGTGGACGCGTCAAAGACCACAAAGGCTCGACTTTGGCAAAATGTGATAACTCGTGCGAGTGGCGCCGCGCGCCTAACAAGAGACAAATGCCTAGCTCGTGTGCACTCCCATCTGCACTCGACTTTACGCTCGCTATAATTCTTTCAAGTGTCAGCAGTACAACCCAACGAGAGAGCCATAGCGTACATGCAACCCATGTATTGGCAGTGGATGCCTCTGCCATGGACAAATGCTTTCTAATTTCGCAGTTTTTGTTTGTGTTTTGGTTGGAAAATTGCAATGAACAAAGAACCTAGGATTTTCTCCCGCTGGATAGCTGCAATATTGACTATACGCGAGACGGACGAGTGAAGTTTACGTGGTTCAGCTGGAGAAGTCCAATAATAACTCCGAACAGACCTGAAAAGGGGCGCGCATCCCATCCCACAACACCCGAGAGAAGCTAAAGGCACTCACAAGGCCAGTTACATAGCCTACATGCATCTTGCTGTAAATATACACGACAGTCAAACTCGACATTCCTTCTCTCATTCAATTTCAGAAATATTCTGTATCGGGCCTCAAGGTGGGAAAGCTGTCTGGGATCAGGTTGAAGAATGCATTCAAAGAGCCCTACACTCGTTATGAGCAAATGAGTATCAAGACAACCGCGCGTACCAAGAGCCGATGCGAAAATCTCCACAATGAGCATCTTGACGAAAATTTCTGGTCTCTGAGCATCGCCTAAAGCGGCTCCGCTACCCGCCACCCCGACGGAAATCCTGCAATACAAAATATAGTGCGGGAATCTTCGAACCGCAAATAAAACATCGACCAGATTCTATACCATACCATCTTTTGCGTCCCCACAGGTAATGAGCTTTAACCCAGCAGACAAGAGAAGCAAGAAGAAACTTCATGAGTGGCTTGCTACTGCTGTAGTCTACTGGTCAAAGCCAACAATAAATGCAGATAAACAGCAACCGTGTGTCTCACCCAGAAAAAACGTTTGATAGGCCTACAGTAAGACCAGTCGCTAGGAGACCCCATCCAGCCACAATGGCATCCGCTTGCCACTTCTGAGCGCACACATAAGACACTCTAGCTCCTGGTGCACGCAGCAACATACCTGGGAGACAATGAGTTTTCGCTCTTCAGGAAACGAAACGTAGGGAAGCACTTATATACGCTTGAATTAACTTGGTAGAAAAATACGTAGCGCATTTCTGAATCAGCCGCGCCAGCAGCACGAAGCGCTTACTTCAACTTTGGTAGTTTCTATCATGCTTTGGATAAAGTCTGGAGGAACGCCATCAAGCTTACCTGAGGAAAATCGGCGCAGTTACAATCTCCACATGAGGTTTTACACAGTAAATCCATGTTGCGATAATGATAATACGGCAGGATTGTGGTCAGAGGGTACAAATACACCGGCAGGCGGCGATAACCATCGACCTACTAGCAATCAGAATCGCAATGATAACGCCGTATATTGCAGTTGCCTCACAGAAGATAACGGACACCAGATTCTTGGAGCGTATCCGTGGAGACTTTACTGCAGCACCTAAAAGGCTGCTTCCTGTTATGAAGATTCCCCTGAAGTCACAAACCCCAGGCGCCCGCGTTGCACGGTCTCACCACGTTGGGCGGTCAGAGACCAACCGACCCCCTCCTATCCTTACTTTAAAATGCACTGTTGAAGTCGCCAAAAGGAACTAAATATAGCGCTAGTCTGTGGATATCCAGGCTACTCACCATGCAGCTCCAATGGCTGAGAGCCCCAAAGCAAGCGCAACTCCAACAGCTCCCCATGCAACAGGGGGAATATCACGAATTACGTCCCCCCATCCGGTGTAAGAAAGCGCTGTTGCCGACGGAGTCATCCTCAAGCGCCACTATCGCTGCCAAGGAGTGAAGAGTTGCGGCGGCAGGCCCGAATTGTGAGCATCAAACGAAAGCAGTAAGCAGGAGACAGGTGCCGCCCAAGGATGAAGCGGCCTAAGCAGCTGCTAAAGCACATACGAAACCAATGCGCTCTTGGATAAAGGCAAAACTTAGTACCAGAGTGCGATGTTCAAATGCGTGACGCCTCCGCTTCGCTGGCGCTATTCAAGCCTCAAGAAACGCGCACACCAGCACTGAGCACCAGCTAGTAACTCCTCGAGATGTGCAGGTCTCAGCAGCAATATGGAGTTCGTGAAACGGGAATGTCGACGTTGCAGTCAAACGTTATATATGCAGTGTAATTCTCTTCGCATGCAGGGCTACCGGGGCTGATAGTACCCTTCTCTAGAGCTGGAACAACGTGTGTCACACACCACTATCCATTGATCCCTCCTAGATGTCAATAAGGTTGAACAAGAGCTCAAATGCTAAATTACGTGCACAGGACGATAGTTCGAGCGCTCATAGCGAATGAGATACTTAGGCTCTCTGTCGCTGGCAGTCCCATATAGTCTAGGTGGTTAGGATACTCGGCTTTCACCCGAGCGACCCGGGTTCGAGTCCCGGTGTGGGAAGGATTTTAGGGTGCTTTTTCGATTCTGGATTATTTTGGCTTCTTGTTCAGCAGGATAATGGCGATAATGCATAGAAAAATAAGGCTTTTTTCCTGCTACACTAGGAATTTCACCCTTTTCTCCTCAGGATGTATGCAATGGAATATACACTCCGATCATTCCTGGAAGCTGTGCAGTTCGGCGTGACCTAGTCTTCTTTTCCCTGCTTTTAAAAGCTGCAAAAGCCTTCCATGACCAAAAGATATTAAGAGAGAGCCGGGTGTGGGTGTTGCTCAGAATAGGTATTATTAGCCAAGGGTATGGGCGTTGGGATGTTGAAGAGGCCCTACTAGGCCCAGTCGGATCCCAACAGACGCCGCTGCTGCAGTGTGGAAAACTACTGCAGCGGGCTCACATATACGTACGCACTTTCTATCACACCAGTTATAATTAACTAAGAACCAGGAAGAACTCACTATTTGGACTGGCTCGTGGCGAAACTCATATGCTGTAGAGCAGCGTTTGCTCAATGCGATAAAAATCAAGGTTGTGTGCGTGTGCAGTAGGTGCCATGTGCAACTAACTGTGAATGCTTGGCAGCCTCAAAGGGTGAAGCAACGAGCGACTGAGCTGTTTCTCCCCCCATGTGTTATGACCCTGAGGGGCCAGACCAGGGAAATGGAGGAGCTCCACTGGAAGAACTTAACCCAGCTTTCTACTAGGTTTGTGTTAACATAGATAAAGTGCCTTCCTAGGGAAATCTTAGAGGGAGCCTTTCGCGTGGAGGTAGCGCTTAGTGCGATGCTGCAGTTCTGTAGTGAACTAACAGTACACTCGCCCCTTCAGCTGCATTCTTCGCATCTAAAGGTGCATTTTAAGCACTACCACCTAAAGAACTAGGGTCCCTGCTCGCCCATAGTCTATCAGGGCCCTCGACTACTACTAGAAACCAATCAGCGCTTCAAGAGAACAGATAGTTCTATGTAAATAGTATTTGAACGGCGTTTCAGGAAGCTTTAGCAGAGTTATCATCGAGTCTGGTATCTCCACACGTGCACAATTAACCCCTTTCTGATGCCCTTGCCGTCCCGGTGTGTTGAAGACACTCGGTCCAACACCAGAATCAATCAGTGAGCGCCATTCTAAGAATAGGTTGCCGCTGGCGGCCAAGGTCTGCGAATGGAGGTAATAGGATAGCACAAAAGGTAGCTGGCCGACAGCTGTGGCAGCTGTTTGGTATGCAGTCAAGTCTCGGAGAGCCTTTTGATAAACCCCAGGGCTTATGCGGATTCGAACAACAGCAGCTACAGGTAACGTCGCTGCGCCCTACAGGCGATCCAAATATTCGCACCTAGTTGCTCATAGCCAATTGCGCACCGGCATATTGAGCTAAGGCTGCTTTAACACAGAGCACATGCGACAAGCTACCGCAAAAAAGTCGTTTTAAAAATATTTTCTGATTAAAAACATTTAGTGTAGTAGAAAGTGCCCATGCGTAGCTTGTTCAATTATCAAGACAAAAGCGACTTCCCTGGGCAATTAAGCTCGGTACTAAGTCTAGTATTCTGCAAACTCACAGAGCCCTTCAGAACTCTTTTCTGAAAATTTCCTATGCATCTCTGCTCTCAGGCACTGCTTCTTACCAAGAATCCTATATCTTGTTTGATGTGCGTAGGAACTTCCTTAGTCTGTTCCTTGGATACACCCGCCGTGACTTCGCACACGCAAATAAGTTTTGCTAAGGCAAAAACACGTTATAGTTTTGCTTGTACTTTGCTCATTCCATGAGTTTTACACTGTGCGGAAGTTCGCTGCACTCTGCACTGGTAGAACGAGGAGAATACGGCCCGGACACAGTTGACTTCACAGCATGCAGTAAAAGTTGCAACTGTAATGAAGCAACAGCTCTCAAATATTGGGAGAGGCTTTGCCTGCAACACCCCGTTGCTTATCTTCAAGGACGGTCTTGGCCATATTCCGCAGAAATGCGCAAATCATAGGGCTGTGGTATACATCGAAACAGTACCCCGGCATTAGCGGCTACGATAGATACAATTCAGTGTATTCATCCACAGTATCCACAGCAAGTTTGAACTCAATACTAGAATTCAGGTTTGATTTTAAACCTACTACCCCAAACATTCACATGGAGCCTGTTTACGCAGGAACAAACAGAGAGAAAGACATCATAGAACGGCTGATCCAATAGCCTGCAGGTAAAGCTGCGACTATAGCACTCCAGTTGATTTAGTTGTTGGGAGAGACTCTTCATTGGAGTCAGCACAAACTTATTTATTAGTTATTAAGTGTCCTTTGAAATTTCCCCTTCCTTTCACTGCCCTCGCCCTGAGGGCTACGACATGAGATGCGAATAACAGCATAGTTGTGCGTTTCTGCACCCTCTAGGCACTCCGAGCAACTAGAGCTAGTAGCACATAGCATGTGTCCCCTATACACACTGTAGTGAGACGATGTAACCTGCAATAAGTAAGATACACGGATAAATATGTACTATTTTTGGATAAGATATATCTGGTGTAGTAAAGAGGTTCTGAGATGTAGCTTAGCCTGCTATGTTTTTTTCTCTGCCATCTCGAAACACCCCCTGGTGTTGCACACCTGAGTGTCGAGACAAACTATTTAGCGGGCTAAGCTTTTCTTAAATGCTTTAACTACACTAGCTATTTTAAAATATGAACTGGTAATAGATGAGGATGGAATAGCTGCTTCGTCTATTCTTAGACCGTATCTGTTGCAGAGTACTGCTAGCTCGATACGAAAAGACACAGTGGTGTGTGAGTGCATGCTAGCTGCCACGAGCAACGAAGTGCTAATGCTCAAAGTGGTTGGGAGTGCAGCGACGCCCTCCCTTGGTGTCCCTCTCCTCCAGTGGCTAAAATTTCGAGGGATGCGGGAAGGGGAAGACAAGGTTTCTTTCTGAAAATAGTCCATTTTTTCAACCAAGATTGTGTTAATTCTAGGCTTCGGTGTCTCCCCATAGAAACCTTCAATCGACCATCACATCTCCTAGCTGCGTTCCCCAGGGCTCCTGCATGAAGGGAAAAGGACAGCTAAGCTGCGCCTACCTGTACTCTCTATGCACCCCGCGCATCCACACCTAGCCGCATTTAGCATTTAGCGCACACGCACAAAACTTAGAGACTACTTGTTTGAAAGCTCGAGCTCCTCTGAAACAAAATAAGATGTACAGATAGCCTAGATGAATAGTCAGCTGCTTATTTTATCTTAATGGAGTATAATCGGGCAGTAGAAAGTGCCCAGGTGAGATCTTGCCCACTACTGTGACAATGCGAATAGCGCTACATACGTCGTGACATCTCATCATTCGCTGAGGATAGAATACAATATTTTATTTAGTGAAGTGATCCCTTCATAAATATTAAAAGCATGCGAACTACACTTTTCCTCTTAACTTGCATACAGGCGTCCAGGGCTCTACCGTATGGGGAGCTCTGTTACTTCCCAGCATTCGTGCATGAACTATATTGGCATTTTGACAGTACGCAGCGAATGAACAAACATATGCTTCAGGGGTGAGGCAGATTTAACGGGAACTGCCGTCCTGATAGGCCCTCTGAATTGTCACCTATGGAGCTGGGGCTGGTTTAGGGCTGGCAGCAGTGTTGGGCCAGGTATCTGCGTTTGGGGCTGCAGCCGACAGGTGACCAGGCAAACCCACGGTGAGGCTGGTAGACTGATCTCTGTGTAGACTGGCTAATACATTTCTATAACAATAAAACAAATGCTGATGCAGCAACGGCACCGTTAGACTTCCAGCATATACGGCTTACACAGGTTTCTTGTAGCTGCACACGAAGACTTGCAAAAGAAAAGAAAGAAGAAATCAACTCGATACTAGAATGCATCATAAAGCTTACATCAGAAGATCTAGCTTTCTATTGTCCAATATATAAAACCCTAGGAAGCACTGTAGTATGAGCTCGCTGCAATCCGCCTGGATGCTGGCAAACGGTGAAACTGTCAGCAGTCGTAATAATGGAGAGTGAAGAATGCATAAGTTCTCACACAATCTTCAACAGCACAAAGGATGGCGTGAATATCGACAAATCTGCTACTGTTAACAAACCAGGGACCACCACTTGCACTCGCTCGCAACGCGAGTGCTCGCTAGCAACTGGGAGATGTGTTAAGACTCTGGATGGGCGAAACACCCAAGCATCCTGCACAGGGAGCACGACAGATGAGAATGTACCATCTATGTCGCTTGAGGTAGGGTGCTGTCCACACAGCTGCATTATTCAATCGAAGCGGGCTTTTGCTAAAGTTGATTTACTAGCAAAATACTAGAACGGCTCAGCTTGTCGCCTTTCTGTCCGCAGTCTCCATTCCCGCATCTCATGTCTAGGCGAACGTCTGCTACATGCGATGCACTTGCGTCGGCAAGGACCTTTCGCTCCATGGTACCCACATTACCATCCCTGAGGCCGCTTTTGCAAAGGGTTGTAGCTGATGCAGGAAATGACAAAATGGTTGGAGAACCAACTGTACCCCCGGGAACACCGCTATTTGAAGCTTCCCCTCCAGCCGTATTATTTGTAGGCTTCGAGGCTGCTGGAGTATACGAGGCTATATTCAAGCTCAGGTTAGCACCAGCAAATTACACTGATAGGAGAACCGTAGTGGCTCGAAGAGCCAAATGTAAGTAATGTAGTTACCGCACTGAAACAACTAGAACGATATGTGTGAACTTTTAACAAGGAACAAAGACCGATTTCCTCGCCGGGTACACGCCATCGCTCCGGACTCTTTGAATTTCTCGGTGAAGGGATCTCATGAAAACCAATCTGCAGCTGTAAGAAGCTTGTAAATTTCCCTGAACCTTCTCCTACCGATTAAGGGTCATAAGTGATACTAAGCGCACTGATTGAACTGTTCAACCCAGTAGCTTACTGAATCGGAGTGGTGAGGGAACTCAGTCCAGCAAAGTTTTGCACTGGCCAATGGAAGAATTTGAGAATCCTAGTAGTCCAATAACAGCGGGTTCGAGACAGGGCATGCACAGTATGCCAAACAGTGCAAGCATGAAACTGGAGAGCAACAATTCATGTTAGGATCATGCCTCTGGGATCATACATGTAATTCCTGTACGCACTACACACTCACTAGCAATTATAGAGCATGCAATCCGTGAAGCTGCAAATGTGATACCCAGGTAGCTCCAGGGATGAGTACTTCATTCAAAGTAAGCAAAAGCATTGTATTTCGTGGAGAGCCGTACCTCACAGTTACTTGGCAGGAAATAATGGTTCCACGTAGCAGCTCGGGAACTTAAAAATAAGACTAATTTATCAGCACATGAATCTTGGTTTCTTCTTGCAGGTAACGTTTAAGGCTGGTGACAAGAAGAACTACTCGTACGACCTACACATTGAAACAGAGGTACACTGCTCGCTGTAGCGTGCTTACTGAGCAATGCACATGCCACAAACTGGTATTTTAACGAAGTGCTTTCTCATTGTTTGCAGAGATTTTTGCGTTTACTCCTGCTCATGCATACATGCCAAATATCATGTATGGGCAAAAACCAGTTTACTGCCATATGCGTTGTGTCTTGTAGCGTGAGATATTTTTGGTTCCTCTGCGGGCATTCCGAGGCTTATGCTCCGTGGACCTTCCTCCGGTTATCCTTCTGGAAACAGCCATTGTAGGCAAGAGGGGAGAAAAAGTTCTCCTTCTTACTAATACTGGCAGTGAGGCATCGAGTGTATCCCTATCTGCTTCTCCGCCGTTCGGGGTGCAACCACAAACCTTTATGCTTCCTGTTGGAGGCTCACAGCAGGCAAGAAGCACATACCAGTACTCCGATGATACTTTGCTGCCGAGACGTTGATAAAAGATTTATTGGTAGCAAAAACGTGTAGTCTGTAGGCAGAAAAAAGTACCTGTCTGAGTAAATGGCGGACGCTGTGATTATTATATGGCAGTACTGGTAATCGATACACGAGTGTGCCTTGGTTGCTGTACGAAGAAAAACAAGCACTGCGCTATTTTCCGCCCGTAGGTGGTATTCTCATTGGAGTCTCTTCAGTGCGGTAAATTTGACGCGCCCATGAAGATACGATTTGACGACGTAAGGAATGCTAAGCAGAGTGATGGCGTACCTTTTCAAAGAAGTCCGTGCGAATATATCAAAACCGTGCAACACGCGGAAACGAGATTATGGAAGTCAGGGTCATTCAGCATCCTCTTTAGATATTAAGGCCTTTTTGGCTAAAGATTCATCTCTCAACAGAGCATATGCAAGTTAGGTACCATTTAAAAGGGGAATCGTTTGTTATTCAGGGGCGTGAGGAAGTGAGGTACTTGCAAGGGACGGTAGTGGAGGGTAATGTCAAGCTTTCAACTTCCGCTGTCCAGTTCAACACGACGTTCGTCAACTTGACCTCAGAGCAAAGCATATGCATAGAAAATGACTCCACCGAGCATCTACCGTTTTGGTGGTCGTTTGATCCCTCTTCAAAGCAAGCGCACCTAAATGCAAACGGCTTGTCGAAAGATATCCACTTGGAGCAAAAGGAGAATCCTGAAAAGATCACATCGGGATCATTTTCTATAAAACCAGCATCTGGCAGGGTTTGGGCGAAATCCAAACGGAATATTCGCATTGAGTTTACGCCACAGCAAGCCACTAGCTATAGGTGTACAGCTGTCTTGCATGTGGCTGGAAGGTACGTGGTTCAGTAAACTTTTCTAATCTGTGTAGTCCGTCGTCAGCAAGAAAACAACAAACATATGCTGAGCCACGAGGCAAGCGCGGGGTGTTTGCTTGAGAGCCAGCACCTTGGTTTGAAGCAAACTTAGAGCAGCTGCCTGTGGCATACATTATATGGCGAAGCTACTGGAAAAGCAATATCGTCCTCTTGTGGCGAAATGCAGGGAAAAATGTTTAACGCTGCAGCTTAATGGAGTGGGCACCGGACCGCAGGCCAAGTTCACAAGAGCGGAGCTCAATTTTGGTGAAATCGCAGTATACTCGCAAAAGACTCTGCACGTCGAAATTGTCAATACAGTGAGACCTCTACCTTACATATACGCACTCGTTAGGGTAAAAATGCTAAATACTGAAACGAGTGTGCGGGAAGCACCGTGCTGGGGGAAGTCCATAAAGCCTTGTCGAAGGCAACCGTTGCTAACGGTGAATTCATTCGAGGACTGGTACCAACACATTATTAACTTCCAGTATGCGGTCGATAGGGAGACATCGCTGCTTCGTTTTCCGTGAAACCGTTCGACGGCATACTACCGCTTGGCACCGAAGTAAGCTTTAGTCCCAGCAGCGGTTGCATTGCCGTGAACAAGGCTGAAAGGGTAGAAGTTTCGTTCAAGCCAACGTTCGTTGGGGAGTTCGCACTGAATGTACTCTGGGATATTGAGTCGTCTCCCGAAGACATAACCTTAAGCCTGAAGGTGATTAGGCAGGCAAAACCCCCGTTTCTGGCCCCCTCTGCTCACACACAGCTTCATCGTCAAACTCTAGGCCACAAATCTCCTATGGCCTTGTGTGGTTAGCGATTTGATCCTCTTCATTAACCCTAACCAACACCCGCTGTCTAAATATGCTCCATTACCTGCTCCGTCCATCATGCTACAGGGCACAGCAACCCCACCTCGAATCGAGTGCGATGTATCATCCCTTGAATTTGGGGTTATCCCTTTTGGATTTCAAGAAGTGCGCTCAGTTACATTGAAAAACACTAGTGATGCCCAACAGCTGATCAAGGCGAGAGCGGTAGAACGACTCGAAGATACACAACAGGATATCAATATCAACCCAGAAGAAATAACTATCCCAGCAGGGGACTCGCGAAAAGTGGACATTGTCCTACGCCCTTCCAAGGCACAGGAATACTTGGAAGAGATCGCTTTTGACCTACCGGGATTGGTAAACAACTACTTCTTTTTGCCTCTTCGGGGTTCAAGCAAGACTCCGCAAGTTGTTCTAGAACCCGAATGCACCCTCGAATTCGAAGATCTTTACATAAACACGCATGCAAGCAAGGCTTTTACAATCAGGAATACTTCACGGTTGTCCGCCCAATTCTCCGTTACAGTAGAGGTTCGGCAAGAAGATTGTGTTCCAGTAGCACCTACCTAAGCACTCCGCATGTGTAACTCTTGCTCAATGCATCTTCGTTCATCAGTGCAAAGGTAAATCTGCTGATTCACCGCGTTTCATGTATGTGATGGTTGCTGCTACATTTCTAGGTGGAAAGTGATAATGTAGGCTGCGAAGTGACACCTTTGAAGGGATTGGTGCCGATGCTCTCGGCAGTTCCTGTTTTGATCACGCTTCAGCCTCTCGTCCCTGGAGAGGTTCGGCTCACTTGCTGGGTGAGCATTGCCGGACTGGACACCCCCTTCAAGCTGCAAGTGCATGCTTACGCTTCGGGACCAAAGCTCAGAGTTGAGCCAAAGAATCTTCACTGGGGTAAAGTAAGGAAATAATAAACACGTCAGGAGTTTGCTCATCGAGTTTTCAGGCTCTCTATTCAAATCTCTAAGTGCTGCTGGGATATCCAGTGCACCTCAGTTGTTCGTTGCCCTTGTCTTGCGTTTACCACAAGACCTTGTGGCCCACGAGGATAGGTCGATCAAAAGCTTAACATGATTGTCAGAGCTTTATAACTGTATAATCTAAAAGTCACTTCATGCTCAAGTTTGGTGCTTTGCAGCTGAGATGTTTAGACAAAGTGATTCACGAAGTTGAAGTAACGAACATATCGCCAATTGCAGCCTCCGTCAACTGCTCAGTCCGGAGCAAGCATCAGTACTTTGGTGTTGAAAATCCCACGTTCACTTTAGAAGGCGGTGCTTCAGCAGCGATTCGCATTGCTGCAGCTTTTGCCGAGGCAATTTTAGCAACTGGGCAGCTGGTTATATCTGTCGCGGATGGGCAAAGTATTCTTGTAAAACTCAGAGGCCAGGTGGGACTCAGAGACTGTTGCCAACCTTGACAATAAGCTGTGCTTTCTGCATATTGTGTGAAGTGTCTTGCTGTTGGAAACGATTTAGACAAATAGAGTAGCGCTCACTCCGCCTTCGCAAGAGAAGTTCTAGAGCTGGCTTGGAAGCCAGGATTTCATGAAGAACACACTTTTCGAGCCAGCCCCGCAGTCCGCCGTCGGATGATAAATGTGTTCATAGCTTGATGTTTGTGCACGCTGATACCATTAGGCTGTTGGCTCGCCAATCGCTTTGACCGATTTCGAGCCTTCAATCGATTTTCAGCAGGTGTGCACCGGCACAGCCAAATGTAAAACATTTACAGTGATAAACAGAGGCACCAGGCCACGGCACATCCATTTTTTTGATGCATCAAGGAATGGACACTCACAACAAGCTAATGCAGCGCAGCAGAGGTTCCACGTACAACCAAGCGAATTTATTGTCTCTCCCGGCAGCACTGTGAAGGTGAGGCTATGTATACTGAGGAAAGCTGGGCTGCATGTCACCTCAGATTTTAAGCACAAGAGTACATTGATCCAAAAATATACTGCAGAGTGACGTCTTTTTCAGGTCGTTATTGAAGCATTCAGCATGCTGCCGGGCCGCGCATCCCAAGCTATTTATTGCCAAGAATCCCTGGGGCCTGGAACGACAGCTATGCACATAGCCAGAACCCTTGCTACAGCAGACTTTTTTACCCCCACACTTGCTGCGACACCTTCTTGCTTGGCTTTCAAGTGAGACGTGCCCCAGAAGTGCCTTCTCCGAACTTCTGCACGACGCCTCTTGCAATCACAGTGGCATGCCCTTTGCCGGTAAAATCTAAGTAGGGACTATAACCATTAGCTTGCATTCGGAGCTTCCTCAACTTTACAGAATGCAATGAGGTGGTTGTTTGTACTTCTGTGCGAGGTACGTGTGGCGCTCGGAAAACGATACGGAAGTCCTCTACGCACAAGTTGTCTTAAGCAATAACACCCCAGTTGTGCTTAATTGCAAAGCAAAGGCAACTCCTCCTTTTGATGTAGACCCAAAGTGCTTTTCTCTTGGTCCTCAAGATGCCGAAAGTGTCAGCGTATGTTTTGACGCATACTACAATGGCCGCTACTCCTCTCGCGTAAAGTGAGGAATGCACACACATATGCCACTAGAAAGTGATAGACTCTTCGGTTGCTGAGTTGCATCCTCCTTGGTGCATAGAGAGTAATGAAAAAAACACCGACTGAGAGGAGGAAAAAAGTAGACGACAAGGCTATCGACACCTTTGCTTCTCGCATGCTAGGCGGTCGATCGACCATTTGTTACCGGCCGCCCTATTCCGTAGATCACCTTTGAGTTTTAGCACTTCGTCTAGGAGCATGATTTCTGTCTACGATGTTGCGTTTTGATCAGGGGATCACTGGAAGTCAGCTTTGGAGAGCACCCTAGGATCGACGTGATACCGCTACAAGCGGAAACTGAATTTCCAAATATTGAGCTTGAAGCCACAATGGTGGACTTTGGTTATATAGTAAACGAAACAACGAAGCGGAAGCCACTGCGCATGAGAAACAGTAGTTGTGTACCAGTACACTACAGCTGGTACTTGACCGATGAGAGCTCAGTGAAAGAAATCAAATGTACAGCACCATCCTGTCCACTGATGTCATTTTCAAGACCCGACAACGGAGCGTTCACAAAATATCAGACGGGGGAAAAAAAGATTGATGTGTTTTGAAATTGTTTGCTCTTGCAGGTACAGAGAGAAGTGAGCCTGTGAATGCAGAAAGGTCAATGACTCCGATACAGAAGGTGTTCGACTTTACACATTTCACAGGGTCAATTGAACCAGGGGCCTCTGAAACAGTTTATATTCGCTACTGGGGCCTGCCTGACAGTGAAGTATCCGCAGTCGCCCTCTGCAGCATTGGCCATGGGCCTGAATATCCCGTACGCCTTGTGGGTAAGCTACTTGATTCATAGGAAATCGTGCGAATATCCCAAAACATCCTAGCAAAAGAGTCAGGGTCTAATCAGAGACGGATCTTTGACGCCGTGCTGACTTCAATTTGCTTCGGGATTCCACGGTTTTATGGAGTAGGTCGAGCGTCTTCCCCCCGCCTGAAAGTTAACCAGACGGAATTCGATTTTGGCGAAGTCCCATACCTGAAGACTGTCACAGCCGATGTGGTGTTGGCGAATAATGGATTAGTTGATCTAGGTTTTGCCGTTGATTTGGGAGGGGTAATGAAGGCGTGGACCATTGACGTTCCCAAGAAACGGGGAATCGTGAAAGCAAACGAAAAACTGAAATTGGGTATTAGGTTCACACCAGGTAGGCAGTAGCATCGCAGCTCGATCGTCACTTTAAGGCTTGCTAATGACTGTCAACTAGACAAACAATCAGATTGTGTGTTTTTTGGGTGCGATACTGCTGAAGGATTGCCTACGGATATCGCTGAGCGTATATTTGTGGAGGTAGATCACTGTGACCCGATTGTTGTAACATTGCGTGCGAGAGGCACTTATCGATGCCTCCTTATGGACCTACCACGAACAGCAGACGACGGCGTCTGCGAAGAATCAAGTCAAAGTGAGGTTTACTGGCTTCTGGATATTATGCTAGCCTTTTTGCGAGCCATGACCCTCCACGCCTAGATCTAAATATACCTTGCCATGTGCAAGATTTGTCGCAACGCTCTGCAAGGCTTCTATGGTGTTTTCTATTCAGAAGCTATATGCAACTCAACAAATAATGCTCATGATGAGACGCGGTGGCAAAAGGAAGCTGAAATCGATCGACAAAATCTTTGCAAGATCATGCTCAACCACTACAATTCAGTACATCTGCGCCGAGAACACAATTGGGCAGATGTTTTTTCCATTGCTGCTTCACAAAAGAAGCATAATGTACGAAATGTATCTTCTTGCCTTTGAACGCGTTTACTTCCAGAAATACTTTCAGGTGCTTTCTGATGCTGCGACTTAAGGTAGAGCTTTTAGCAGTTAGGTCCAGTTCAGGACAATATGGGGGGGATACGCCGAAGATATTAAGTGGAGAAGAGACTGACAAGGCAGCAACTAGGCTACCATCCACCGCTTCCTCATCCGTAAGGATATCAGGAGTTGTGTACGCCGATAAACAACCCTTTTTCTATTGCTTCAACGTCGACGGTGCAGTTCTTAATTCTCTTTCGATACAATGAACAGCTGCATGTTTGTTGGTGGCAGCAAAAAGAAGGAGCTCCTATTTTTGAAGCCTAGTAGCACACCCATGTCGGCTTGCACACAATGTGTCGTTTCCTGGCCTGCACGTAATGTGAATCGGTGCGTTCAGTCAACCTGTATCGTGAGTCAACGGCCTCCGGGAGAGGAGCCAGCAATTCCCACAACTCCGGGAAAATATTTGCTTGATTTTGGTAGTGTGATTGTTGGCCAAGCAAAATCAAAGGCTGTATCGATGCGAAATGCGTCTTCTCGCGCCTTCGGCGTCAAGATAAACAAGAAGGTTGGGTATATGACACTAACTTTAAAGCAATCAAGTCACAGGATGGGGCAAGAAAAGAATTCCATTGTTTGCACTGAAAACAAAAACAAGAATGCACAAAGAAAGTTGCGAAGATACTACCAAATGGTAGAATGCTGAGGTCGTAGCTTCATTGTGCATCTCTGCTAAGAGCTTTGAACATCGGCTGATGCATTTGAGTATTTGTCTGTTTCTTGTGTTTCTCCGAGCCATTCCAGGATATATCGGGGAGTGGATTTCACGTGGAGCCCGATTTATTACGTCATTTGCAGCCGAATGAGCAGGCAGCAATAGAAATTACAGCCAAAAAGGCAAAAGAAGAAAATGTGGTCGTACCCCTTCGAGTGCTTGTATCCAAAAGCCTAACCTACCAGATCCTGCTAAAAGCCAAATTCGTGGTGCCCGATGTCCAGTTTTCATCAGAGTCACTAGACTTTGGAGGCGTCAGGAAAGGTGCGCTGCTCAAGAAGTAGAAACAAGTCTCTGAAAGTGTCCCTTGTAGAAAGTTTCGGGAAAGTAGAGCAGCGGCTAGGAAATCCGCTCGATGCTTTAAATTTTTCAGCCTAATGTTGCGAGCAATAAACTATTGCAATATCTAAAATAAATTGGCCTTAAAAGATGCTACTTCGTGCATCACCGTCAGCTTCCACCGTTTTGTGGAATTTTAGGACTTCGTAAGACTATAAGGTTGAGAATTCGCAACGAGAAATCTGTACCAGCTCAATGGCGTTATCGAGCGCTTATCGATAGCTGCGCCAAGGCCGAACGAGAGGCTTTAGTGTGCTTTACAGTCGAGCCCAAGCAGTCTTTGCTGGAGCCAGGTGATACTACAATTGCACACCACAAAGCAGCTTGGCGGGGCATGCTTTGACTAAGCGGAAATGCAATCGTCATACGTGTGCACGCAAGCGATAAGCAGCTGAGCATGCCTGCATTCATAACACTTTTGTTGTGCCATGTGCGTAGGGGAGTGGATTGATATAAAGGTCCACTTCTTCCCCGAAAAAGCGGATCGGGATGTCTGTGCTCGATTGACGTTTTGTGTTGAAAATAATCCCAAGTGGAAATACATCACGGCAACAGGAACTCCAAAACATTCGTGCCTAGAATTCTCCCCGTCCCTTGTGGATTTTGGTCACACCCTGCCGTTGCACACGTTGCGGCAAGAAGTAATTATTCGCAACAACTCCGACGAGCCATGCGAAGTATACTCACTGGATTTCGACGAGCTGTACAAACAAACAAATGCAATGCTTCGGGATTTTGATGGTTTCGATGACACGGGAGTTGCTCTGCTTCCTGTCAGGTGCTATTATCCATCGGCAAAGCCTGTACAATATGAACGCTAATTTAAGCTTGGAGCATGGAAGGAAAAATTTTTACTCTGCCAGCTTAAATCGTGATGTGCCTGAGAAAATGCTGTCTTGATGTTTGCTGCTGTGTTCACCGTACTATTATGACAAGTTTATGGACACGCTTGCTACCTTTTAAATTATGTGGATTCCTTAATCCTGCCGTGGTAAAACGTCATGAGACCACTTTCTAGGGAATTCTGTGCAAACTTAGTATGGATTGCTTGACTGCCCGTTTCCGACAGACCCACATACTGTCTCTACTAGGTAGTCAGCACAATGACGTATCTACATGATACAAACCATGCGTAATTTTTGCGCCTTCTTTCAGGCCTCTTGGAAAGCCTTGCTGGTCAGCAGTGCGTAAAGCGGCCACCCGCAAAGCTGCCATTGATGGGTTGCCTCCCTCAGATTTGGGAGGGCTTGGTGAGAAAGTGGAGAATCCTAGCATTTTAAAAAGCAAGAATTCTAACGTTCCCACTGAAGTTGAACCAGAAGAAACGCCACTATCGGAGAGCAGCGAAGATGAAATTTCGAACTATTCTTCTCGGGAATTTCCAAATAGAGTGTTGCCTCCCTGCAGGTCAAGCGCACAGCCAACTTTCCCTCAACAGTAAACTTCGTTTATTAGGCATGGTCAGCTTTTGGTTGTTGGGCTCAGCATATGCTTGCTGCACTGAAATCAGAGCCATGACGAAGAACACGTTCCTTTCAACGGTTACACTTTCACGCATAGGCACACGTGCCATCAAAACTTAGAGCAAAGCGTTGGGTACACGGAAAAAGATTTGCTTTTCCTACCTGCAGGCAAAGCGCCATGGTGCTCGGTCCACCGAGCACCGGAAAGCACGATGTAGCTACTTATCTCGCGGACGGTCTCCGATGTGTGCTAACTCTTGACGAGTGTGTTGAATGGGTTATCGGGCTCGCTAGCCAGAAGAAGAAATTTGCAGGGGCTTCTGGGGAGGAGGCTAGACTTATTAAGGAGCTGATTCGGACCCTTGAAGCTCAAGATGACAACGGAGATACAACAATAGGCAGAAAACGTGCGGCTATTTGTCTCGTTCAATTTGCAGTTCACCTATGCACAGGTGTTCAAATCCAGAAGATGATCTTTCTGCTGAATAGCCCATCTCGGAGTGGTTGAAAAATGCTATATAAATGAATTGTGAAATATCTCGACTGTGTTTCACGAGCCTTGTATAGAAGAAAGCATTTCAGTGCATCGTGCTAAGGTATTCTTGGTTGTGATAGTAATTATTTGTAATGCAGTGCCAAAGTGCCACCCAGATGTCAAGGGGAAGACCAACAAGCATGATCGCCGTGGTGAAGGGACTAGCCCAGGGATTCCTACCCAGTTGCTAGAGGCAGCCGTCAAGCTTCGCGTGTCGCAGCCAGATTGCTTTGCAGGGACTGTCTTTCGTGTCGAGCCTAGCGCATACTGCCCGTCACTGGCAGATGGAGCACTCTCCATCGCACGCGGTCTGAAGCAGGAAGATCTGGTGGTTGTCACAATCAAAGTACGGACCCTTGCGTGGCGTTTGATACGCACAATCTACCTGCGCTAAACCAGTTGCCACTACTGGGACCACTCGAAGTACTTACTGGACCGAGGTGCAGCAGAACGGATTCCTTGGTGCCACTTAGGCAGATGCAATGTGTTGTGCCTATGCCAGTTTGGACAATCAGAGAAAAGCACTCAAGATGCAGAAGCATCACGAAGTTCTGTTTCAGAAGGTGTAGCATTCTATCGAGGACGTCTGGCTAAGCAGCTTCAACGAGAACGCGAAATACTCAGCATGCTTGCTGCTGCGAAAGGGTCGGATGGCACTATTGGCTCAGGCCTTGTGGGAGCATCCACCACAGCAGATTCTCAGCATGATATCGCGCTAACTGGCTTGGAAGAAGAAAGCTCTCCAGAGGGAATGCAGTCAGGTAACAAGTTGGAATCCTTGAAGCAAGAGCTTCACTCACTACAGCTGTCTCGCCAGAGAGTGGAGGGATACTTAGGCTCAAACAGAGCAGCTCAAGCATTCGTGCAAGAGCAAATTAGTGCATACTCTTGCGCGGAGACAGAGCTGTTAAAAGAATATAGGGCGGAAGCAGAGCTTTCTACAGGCTTGATGCGCATGCTTCAAGACGGCAGAGAAGTCAGCCACAGGGTATCCCATTGCTGTTACATACGCAACATCACCTTCCATACGTGCTACGCGAATTCAGCCTTACCCACAGATTCTCTACTGTCTCAAATAGATAATTTGAGGAAGCCCGTTATCCCAACCGAACCACCACTTCCGTCGCCTGAAGTATTTGAAGTTGTCCGCTTCCCGTCTTGTTTACCCGTCATGGAGCATTCGGCTCACTTCATGCTTTTGACCCCTTCGCCAGTAGTGGCCCTGGAAAAGGTAGCAGAGGAAGACTTGAAAAATAAACCGAAAAGGGCAAAGGAAGGGGCAATCACTAACATTTCTCGGCCCAAAATTCGGCAGGACAGAGGGTGAGCCTACCACCATAAATGTGTGACAACCCTGATGTAAACTGGAAGAGCTGTTTGCCCGATGATACATCACCGCTTCCAATACAGTTTTTCTACACCTGTGATTGCGTCAAAACAAAATACTCCCCTTAAGCAACATGGTTGCTTTGGATGGCATAGATTTAAGAGTGAATGGTGTCGTTCAGGGGAGAGGAGGAAAGCCTAACTGCGCGAATGGCCATAGAGCCAGGCTTTACGAAGGCAACACGGTGGATATTAGAGCCTCAAGGAGAGCAACGCTTGATGCTCAAATGCTGCTTTGACGAAGAGGGAGATTTCGCCTGCTCTCTCCGTTTTTCTGTAGTTGGTGATTCTCATACTTTCAGGCTAGAAGCGAAGGCTTGCTGCAGCTTACCAAGGCTGGTTAATTTTCCCCAAGGATGCTTCCACCATGCAGTACAAGAAAGGCCTGCTCAGCATTGCTTGAAGAAAACGTATGTGTGCAATGAGGTAATTTACCTTGCCACCTTCTCCGTAGACTTTTGCACGCATGCGCCTAGCTTCGAAGTTGCCATCTCCACAGCGATAGGCTCGTGTATCTAAGTTGTCTCACAAATTAGAAGTAGTCTACTGCATACTATTGTTCCAGCTCTATTGTGTATTCATTAGAACTTAAGTTGTATGACTACTTAGTTAAGTGTAGGCATCGAAGGCTTCGAAAGAAAGCAGAGTTGGAGGTGCACACCCTTAATTTCAAGTTTGGTCACTAAGGATAAACCTTGTTGCTTTAAGAGTACGCCGTATTAAAATTCCTCAAGGCTTATCAAAAAAGTCGAACGTGTTACTCAAGGATTACGGCAGAGCTTCGTTTTTTTTACTTTTAGAAAAATACTCATTTTATGTATAGGGAGTATATGACTGGGGGCCGCTTCTTGCTGGGCGTTCGGCAGCACTTGTAAAATCTCTATATTCCAAGATATCAACCGCAGATGATGTCGATCGTTTGACGATCCCGCAAGAGCTCTCAGCTTTTATGACTTCATTGATTTTGCGGAACGGTTCACCTTTCACCATAATTGTAAAAGGCAGCTTCGCAGGAGCGTTGGGAGCAGATGGAGGTTCGACAGTTAAAGCACACTTTTCCAATTAATTGTGGCTAACTCTGCCGCAAGCCTCTGGATAACTTTGATGCGCTGATCAAAGCCATTGAATATACTGGCTCTGGTCTATTCAGACTTTTGCGGGCGTCCAAAATGCGAGCATATTTTAGTGCTAGAGCAATAACTTGTCTGACCTCTTTGGCTGAGTTGGCTAATGGACTGCTTATGCTCAGCTGAGGCTACACGGGGGCGCAGGATCATAAAATCTCCAGTGAATGATGCTAACTTTCTCCTTTTTCCGTCGGAAGTGACTCTTGAACAAAACGCAACAGCACACATGCACCTTTGGTGCCTCCCGAAGTGCGAAGGTGAAGTTACTGACAAGCTCACTCTGACGCTGTCGGACAATCCGGCTCCACATGAGATCAAACTAATATCGCGTGGTGTGGTGCCAAGGCTACGGCTGCAAACGGACAATATCATCTTTGGACGGATACTGACGGGGCATGTTGCACGACGGTAAGTCATTTAGATGCAGCAGTAGCACCTCAGATTTCTGCTCTTTGTGCGGTGACAACTCTCATGGCCAATTTGCAGCTAAAATAAGGCACAAGAAGGTCTGCTAGCATCGATGCCACTGGTGATTACACAGGCCTGAGGTTGTAGACCTTAAAATTTTATAGAATAATACGGATTATCACAGAGCTTGTGAATGGGGGAACGGGCGGTTCATGCCGTGAGAAGTTGCGCGTGGGGTGAACTTGCATGCCTGTAGAACCGTACTAATCGAGAATCCAACTCCCTTCAGCATACGATGGAGCTTTGCAAGTCAAGACACAAATACAAAGTATTTTACATTTAGTCCTGAAAGCGGAGATATTCTGGGTCCATCCTCCTCGCAGGCATTCGATATTGTCTACAACGCCCCTATGAAGCCCTCGACTGTTCAGTGCCGCCTTGTCTTTAAGTGCACTGATACTGAGGGAGTTTTAAGCGGCTTAGAGCCGAAATTTCTGACAAGTGAGAGAGCATTGCGCACTGCTTGCAAATCACTGTATGCTTGCACTGGAAGCAAATGCGCACCATCGTGCACATTTTAAATCTGTTGGCACATGCGGCATGTTTCAGTTTCAGCGGAAGCCTTTTATATTGATGCTGGAATCGAGCTGCCGTCAAAATCATGTATTTTCGATTTTGGAGAAGTGCAAGCGTGTCAAGAAGCAGAGATTCCGTTCACATTATATAACAAGGGGAAATACGCTGTCTGCTTCGATATTGAGTACGCGTCGATATGTGATGGCCCGAAAACAAATTACACTTCCGCCATTTCGCCACCAAAGCAATAAAGGGGCTATCTGTACCAGCTAGGTATCTATATGACATGTCTTTGTGTTTCAGCGTCAAAAGTCCAAAACTGCGGAATGTTTTGGCGGTAGATCCTTGTACAGCAGAAGTAAAGCCGGGAGAACAACGCAGAGGCGTGGCTCGTCTCAGCGCTCAGCGAGAAATTGAATTGATGGGCACTGAAGAAATTGTGGTCAATGTTAAAGACAGTGAGACTGGATGCGTGTTAGAGCCCTCTCTACAGCCTCTTCAGGTAATAGCTATCGTGGCCTTCAACGAAGTAGCATTGTCGCCTCCCCTAGGATTAAATTTTGGGCCGGTTGAAAGTGGAATTACAAGCACACTGTAAGTTGAGGTGTGATACCGTACCATGGTTTCTCTATAAAGCAAGCGGCCGAAGTAGTTTTAGTCTTTGATTGCTGTTTGCAGTGAGCACGAAGCGATAACATCGTAATCATCGTGCAGTAGCCACCAAATGAATGAGTGCTGATGCGCTAGCTGGGCAACGCTTATATCGGTTATTTTTCAGACCCCTCGAGTTGGAGAATAGAGGACTATTCTCGTTTGAGTGGTACCTGGTTAATCAGGAATTTATGCTTACTCCTCCAGATGAATTCATCCGGGGCACGGAAGCTCCTCAAAGGGGGGAAAAGCCAAAGGCTGGAAAACTAAAACTTCAAGGTAGATCCTCGGAAAAAAGCATTGGGGCAACTCATGGGCCATTTAGAATCGTCCCAGTGCGTGGCCATCTGGATCCGGGAACTAAGGCTTCAATCCAAGTTGAGTATACCGCCCAAGGGGACGCATCACATGCACTCAACTTAGCGCTACTAGTACGTTTGTATTGACCGATTACTGCAATTGGAGGCAAATCATAGCTATGCAACAGCGGTTCGAACTTGATGGAAGCTTCGTTATATCTGAAGCTTGCTTAAGATGCGTTCTCTTCTAGAGCTGCCCAGAGACTACGGGTCACTATAATAATTAGTACATGCATAAGTGCACTGTAACACTTGTACAGGTTAACGGCGTAAGGATAGGGCAGGGCGATGATATGCTCGTGAGCTCAATCGGCCCCATCGCAGCCTTTTTTGCCGATCCTTCGATGGCTGTAGATTCTGACAGTCATAAGCTGATCCGACCGGCGGCAACATATTTTCTCCAGGGACAAAGTAGTATTCCATGCATCAGCCTCGAGGCAAGCTCTGACTACAGTAGACCCAATGTTGCAGTGGAATTAGGCACATTTCCTGCCAATTTGTGCTGTCTTTATTTGCAAATATTTTGCTTTGCACGAAAGATGAAAGTACTGTTCGCGGTAGTGCATTTTGGTGAGAATGATAGTGGTGAGTTTTTCATTGTTTCTAAGGACGGCCTTCAAAGCCATTACTCGTGATGTCATACGCAGCCTGAAAAGCTTTTCCATGAGCAAGCAATTGTCACTTCCATGGAAGATGCACGCGCTATATGGGAAAAACAAAGTATGACTGTCTTTGTAGAAGAGGAAAACTCTTTGTGCTTCGGTCCCGTCATTGCCGGCTCACTGAATTCGACACCAGGAGTTGTCGAAACTATTCGCATTGGCAATCCCCAGCTCATACCTGCAAATATTGCTTTTGAGATTAAGCAGGCACCCAAGGGCAGTCATGATAAGAATGTAAGTAATTCACCTCGATGGAATAAAGGCTTACATTGACGTAGCCTTGGGTGAACACGGAGGCAGCTAGTGACACATAGCTGTCAGTGTATATGCACCGATGAGATCTTCAGTATTTGTGCGTCAACAGCTTGTGTATGCTTCACAGCAACCTATTTTGGAAGATTCACCATTTGATGTGCAACCGAAGCGCATAGTTGTGGCTTCTCGCGATTATGCATATGCGACGTTGAGCTTCAAGCCTACAGCCTTACAATCTTACAGCTCCTACCTCCGAATATCAATAGAAAAAACTGCAAACCCTTTAAGCGGGCAAGCGCAGTTTGAGTTGCGCGGCGAAGGCACCCTTCCAAGCATTACGCTAGCATTTCCATCATTTGGTTCTCCGAAAGGCGCAAGTCAGTAGAAGCTGCATAATACTGATGTTCAAGTTGTACTTGAACATGCAGATCCATTGACCTAGTATAAATTGTGAAAAGCAAAATATGCTATCCCTGAATGCGCACCCGCAATGACGTTGAATGCTCAGAGACAAGAAGCCACTTGCCATTCTTCGATTTTGGGCGTGTTGCTATCTCGCGCCCGTTGACCGTCCCGGTGTCCCTAAAGAATGAAGGAGTAGTTCCTGCCACAGCTCGCGTGCAGCTGCCAATAAATCCCTCGATCGAGTTTAATTTGCCATCCTCGTTGACGCTGAAACCTAAAGAAGAACGCACTTATGCTGTGCGTCATTCCCGTCTAGGTTTAGTAATGAGCAACTGCGCTCAAAACCTTCGACTCGAGAAACCAAAATAGCTTGTCTGCAGCTTCCAGCTTTTTTTCACGCCGTATAGGTTTGTTTATAGCAGTGCCCGCGGACGACAGCCATTGCAATATGCCCAGGTAATCTTTCAGCCATCGGATGCACATGTATTCTTGCGATATTGTTGCAGTTGACCTACCGGCCTCGAGCACCAGGCGAACTGGACTACAAATTTCGCATGTCGACTCATTCTAATCCTTTTGAGAACATGGATGTACAGCTAAAAGGATATGCTTTTGCAGAGCAGCTTGCTTGGTCGCTAGCCGCTGCACCGAACACCAATGGCATGCAGCACTGTGGTGGTGAATTGATTGACACAAACCACCTTATACTGAAGGAAGTACCACTGGGTGGCGCGCTTGCACAGGCCCTAGCCATTAACAACGTATCAGCTCAGGTCGTTTCATTTGAGTTGAATATGGAATCTATCGGGCAATTTAAAGATGTCCTAGCCATCACTCCCGCATCCGGAACAATTGCGCCAAGTGGAACTTGCATCATTAATCTCTTGTTTAAGGCGGAGGTCCCCGTAAACATAAACCACCATGAGATTTCCTTCACCACCTCATTTTTCCAAGGGTCTGACGACTTCTCAATCATTTCCAAGGAGCAATCAAGGCCCAAAGCAAAACTGAAAAGCAAGCAATGGGATGCAAAAATGGATGGAACCACAGCAGATAAATTGGATATGCAGGCACCAGAACCTTTGGTGCTTTTCCTCTCTGCTGCAAGTGATATTCGCCGTTGTGAACTTAGCATTTCAAGCATCGACTTCGAAGCTACAGTACTCATGAAATCTCGCGTGTTTTCGTTTACACTTGTAAGTCGGCCGGTAATATTGCAAGCCCGACTGGGGCTCACGCACTAGCTACCCTGCACACTGAGCAAAGAATGTTTTTGATCCATAATTGCTACCTTGGCAATGAAATCACCAGTAGGCAATCTTGACTACTGCGTGTTTTCTTCCGCAGCACAACACATCTTTGGTCTCTCTGCCATTCGAACTTTTCTTCGAGAGGGAGAAGGAGCGCGATAATCCATGCTTTTACCACTTGAACCCTTCCTCCGGTTGTATTCCGAGCGAAAGGCATCAAGTGGGATTTCCCCTGTCTGTCCCAAGTGGACACTACTCCTCGGCTGCGTCAGCAGTGAAACTTATTGACATAGCTAGATCCCTAGGCAGACTACCAAAAACGACTACTTCAGGCTATCTTGCCGGCCACTCTTACGTCGCTTCTAGCTCACAAAACTACCATGGTGTGAGCAAAGTGAAACAAAAATGGCGCAAACCACCACAAGATCATTTATATATGTATCTTCCTTCTGCAGGAAGTGCGAATAACCTTTTCTCCTCAAGATATTACAGACTTCAGCAGAAATCTTGTGTGCTGCTTTCCAAATCTAGATCATGGCTCTACATCAATTTCAGTGCCGGTATCTGCCAGCGGGATTCGGCCAATATGTCACCTTGAAATACCTCCAACGGACTATTTCGAGAGGCATCCACAGAACTCGATTTTGTCCCTCGATAGCCATGTTGCAGTAAGCGGATCGTGCTCAAAAAAGTCTAGGGCACAGCGGCTAAAAGGATAGCTCTACATAGTGAATAGCAGCTACAAGCCACCTTGGCAGCAAGCGGACCGCCTGGCATGCATTTTTACTGCTGATGCCTGCCTGCACTGTTGCACATTCAGGTTCTTGAAGTCGGGGGAGTAGGAGTGGGTATTCGTCATACACGTCGATTTCACGTGCATAACCCCACTGCCACTGACATCGATTTTGAGTGCGAGCCTGTAGATGTCCCAGATGAAAGCACAAACGCTGTAAGGGCTGAAAGTCTAGTAGCTCAGCCGTTCAAGTGCCTCACGCGACGCGGCCGAGTTCTCGCGTGCAGAAAGACAGAGCTTACCTTTGAGTACACCGCAACACAACTTGGCTACTGCGAAAGAATGTGGACGTTCTCCATACCATGTACGGTGGCGAAAGCTTTAATTTCGGCAAGGACTACAGAGCGTATTGTAGCACCCCTTTAGCTACGTAAAAAGCGATATAAAGCACGCCGGTGCTACGAAAAGCATTCGGAGTACCTCTGCTGGCCCAGTGTCAGTGCTACAGTACATAGAATTGACTTGCTGCACGTAGTTGTAAAAAGCAACGTTACTCACACAAAATATAGTTGCTCTTCGCAGGACCCCGGAAATCGATGGGTGCTGTGACTAGTGACTGACGCTTGGAACCTACATCAAGGGGACAAGTATGTAGGTTTTTGGAAAGCATATTTAACGGGTGATCAGTTTGATCTGCTGCCCTCAGCGAAGCAGCTCGTACAGCGTCTCCTACTCGTTGGAAGAGCTACTGAGCCGCATGTTGCATTCGACACCACGCAGATAATCTTTATGCCTACAGTAGTAGGGCGGACAGTGGAAGAAAATATCCGCCTCTACAACAGGGAATCCATTCCAGTGTCCTTCCAATTTGACCAGTAGGTCGTCGATCTTTGTAAACAAGCGATTGTAAGAAATAGCGGTGATTCCGGCGCTTATGAGCAGTTCCTAGTAAAATAGTAGAAAGATCTGTGCTTTGGAAGCATGTGCTTGCTTCTGAATGGACTGTAGACCTATGTGTCAGTCACAGCACCGTTGTTCCGTGAGTATGAGGCAGTACTCAAAGAAAATACGCTTCCTGTTATGGACATAGAGGTTTTTTCGAAAGCACATGCTTACTCTTTCCTTTCACGGTTGCATGTGTAGAACCCAACTGGAATCAGTAAGCTCGGAGCTCAGAATAACACCGCATGCAGGCACAGTCGGTCCTGAAAGCTCACAACTGGTCAAGATCCGTCTGACGGCAATAGAACAAAGGACTATCAGCATCAGCATCCCCTGCAAAGTTGAGCAAAAGTTCAGAAGTCTACGGCTAGACATCAAAGGAGAGGGCTATTATCTAATGCCTTCCCTCAAACTTGTGGATAAGGGTGAGCTGGGGGCACTGTACAGGCTTTACTGTAACGTTCTCTTTTTTCCAACTAGCATACAGATGCTTTGCTAACTGCGCTCTGTTGGCATTTCGCTACAGCGCTGTCGCGTACGGGCTGGTGGCTTGTTCGCTAAAATTGTTTTTCAAGTATGCATACGTGCAGAGACAGAGCGTACCCTTCAAAGTGCATCAGAAAGTTACGACTTTGGCTGCCTTCCAGTAGGGCAGAGCAAGCAGGTAGTGTTGAAGCTGGGCAATACAGGCAAGTACGACTTTACCTTCAAATGGATAATGAAAGATCTTGGAAATGATGGCAGTGGTGGATGCATATCAATTCAACCTACAGCGGGTGAGCACTAAAATGCCTAATGAGATCCAGGGGTTAGTCGAGTTCACGCAGTGCACTTGATTCTACATGAGTCTTCAGCAGTCCTTCCATGATGCTACAAGGCCTTTCATGTTGTTTTGACACAGCGATGTCAGAGCTCACCAAAGGGAGAACAAGCGATCAGCTTGCACTTATTGTTGCGTCACATGTTTTTGTGTAGCCTACTGAATCATGGCACATTAAGCCCTTAAAATAAGCGTATTTTTATCACAGCAAACACAGGCATATCATGAAAGCTGGCAAAAGTCAACTAGAGTAGCCTAGGGTCCTAGAACACCTTGGAATCCTAGTTCAAACCAGGATGGGATGTACCAATAGTTTACTTTACAAAGGTTTTTAAGGAGGGAGAGCTCATCATGAGCCATAGTTATTTAGACGGAATACAAAGCTAAACGTTTTCGCAGTTTCAGTGGCCAGAACGCACTAAGGCCCCAGGGGACGTCTGTTCAATTTACCTGTATTATGCAATTATATGTTTGTTCATCAGGTTTAGTCCCAAAGGGACAGATTGTCCAATGTACAGCGGTCTTTGCGCCGTCTGTCTCGATGCAGACAGTGTCCTTGCAAGCACAATGCGATGTGCAAGGAAAAAAAATATGTAAATTACTTCTCACGGGCTCATGCAGGGCTCCAAAGATCTCTTTCTCTTTTAAGGCGTACGACTTTGGGGCACTGCTTGTTCCGGAAGCAGCAGATACCCTTTACGACGACAAGGCTGGTACACCCCAAATATCGTCTAGAGCAACGTTAAAAATAACGAATACAGACCTGTACCACGAGTGCTCGATCTCTTCCTCATTGTCTCCAGCAGCTGGGTTTGATTTCCAGCCACTGCAAGTCAGCCTCTCGCCTCAAGAGGTCCTTGAAGTACCTATAATTTTTAAACCTCGGGAAGCCAAGCAATATACTGCTAAAATCCCCTTCTTTGCCAACAGCCACCCAGCTGTCACTTTGCAGCTCTCTGGCAGAGGAGTCCCTCTCAGGTACAAGCGCCTATTTATCGAGTAATATTTCGTTACCATCAGTGGTTGTGGCAATCATAAAACGTTGCATTGATTTTAATGCAGCTGGGTACGGGCGCGCAGCTTCAGGCATATTGAGCGATAGTATGCCATCTACCTCTGTTCCCTGCTAGAATGACATCCTGCGAAGGACTTACGAGATGCACTCGCTTTTATGACTACAGACTAGAAGCCCAAAATACAGATGCTGGAAACGTAAAGCTTCAACCAGTGCTGCGTGGCAAAGGCTCATCTTCTTGCATCCGCATTATTAATCACTCAGAAAGGAAACTTTCTTTTTACCTGCAAAGCCCAGAGGAGGCGCTCAGGTAGCCATCCTTGATAATGCATGAACACTGACAGGACTTCGGCCTCCAGCGAGTTTGATACAGTATACTTTGCTGCCTTGAGTACTCCTCCACATATAGTTTGTTTATTAAAAATACACACTATTTTTTTGTGCTCTCAGCAAGAAAGGCGTTAGCTGGCTGCCACAATCCTCGCCGTCATCCATGATCGAACTGCTTCCCAAGAAAAGCGTTGGAGTTAAAATATTCTTTCGTCCTTGTGCACCAAGCAAGGAGTTTCAGCTTCCTTTGATTGCTCGATGCACTATTGACAGCGCATGTGGGCCTCAGGTAGTTCCAGTGTTTTTGTGTATGATATCGGGAAAATGCTTTGAAACCGAGGTCAGTGGGAGAGTCATACAGATTTAACAAAAATACTGGAAGCTGTGTTTTTCTTGTCTTAGAGCACAGAGCTTCTAAATGGTTCATAGACGTTGGTTGCATGCTCGCTCTTTCTGGCCATGTCATGCATATGATAGTTGAACTGCCGAGGACCGCAGTGTTAAAGCTGTTGCTGTAGCGATACACAGGCAAATTCATTGTACTTCTTCATTCGCTGTGTTGCATACCCTCAGCTGCGTCTTAGGCCACCATCAGTGGCATTTGGCCCTGTTGTTGTTGGCTCGTGGGCATCCAAAGACATATTGCTGTCGAACATTGGAGAGCTGCCGATGAATTTTCGATTTGCAAATTCGGAGATGCATCCGGGTTTGGTATCCTTCACCCCTTCTCAGGGGATATTACAGCCTCAAGCAAACCTTCCTGTCAAAGTGACTTTCCGTCCTGCAAAGGTGATATATCTGTACTTTTAGTCCCAGCAAATTGTGAATAAGGCAATGGATGGATTTTTAGTACAGTCCATACCGGTGCTCTACTCCAAAGCATAAGTTATACATATACTGAGCAACAAAATGTGAACAGCTGTAAAGTAGCTCCACAATTTCGACGCGTAATAATGACTGTACCGCATACTTCAGTCCCAAGTGAGCTGCCTTTGTCGCTTCGTGCAGCTTACTAGCGAACTGGACATTGAAGACATTGTCTGTTTCGGTAGCACCACATCTGGGCCACAGGAACCACCAACAGAAGTGGCACGTTTGCAAGTTACTGTTACTGGGCAGGGCGTTTCTCTGTCAGATGATGCAGTTCATTTTCTCAGGTTTCTCACAAGCGTCCGAACCCCAGTGACCAAGACCTTTTTCTTGAAAAATACGAAAAGTTTTGAATGGACTACAACTCCATCAATGTCTCTCGAGTCCCCACGAGATGTCTGTTACTTTTCGTGCCAGCCTCCTGGGCCTATCACAATTCCTCCACTACAAAAAGTGGCTCTCTCGCTTACGTACTATCCTCTTACCATGACACAAGAACCTGGAGGGCATGCAAAGGCCAGTATAAAAGGAACACCCCAGCTGCTCCCACCCCAGCACTTAGCTAACGTGTTCTGCGCCCTGCCGGATGGAGAAGGTTGTTGCATCAGGTATTGTGCTGAGTTTTCTTGCATAAAGATCCCTAGTTCCTTTCGTCATGAACTTGTATTCTTTGAGACACCAGTCAGATTAGGTCAAACTCCTGAATATCTTCCTATCTTCCTGCCGCCACTAGAGGGGTGGACAACTCCATTCAAGCCAACTAGCGTTGTCGTGCCTTGCCGCTCAGTACTTGAATGACACACAGCATTATATCTATTAGGCCCGCATGGTGTTTATCAAGTTGGCTATGGCCACACTCTACTTACTGTATTGTTCACTCCTTCTCAGGTTGGTCGGCACTGCTTTGGAGCCTGCCGTGGAACAAGTAGTTGAGGCAGTTGCAACATGCAAGCAGCAATCCGTTGTGAATATCAGGATCCAAAACTGGATAGACTCAAAACAAAGGCTCAATGCATCTTTTACAATTCTCCAGCCCACAGGAGTCCACTGCATTCAGGTTGAGGTGAGACTCCCCATTTTCGCGGCAGTCCCGAAATGACGAGTAGGGTCCAAACAAATTCTTTAACCTGCTGATCGAAGTTGAAGCATAGTAGGTAGACTGTCAGCTGGCAGTGTAGACTGTATTGCTTTATGCGCTGCTCTCCTAAACGGTGATCCTTTTCATGCAGCAGTACTGGATCATGTGTACTCCCTCTGCATTCAGGCTCCCTCCTATCTAGATATCCCAGGTGGACAGGTGCGAGAGTACCGCTTTTCTGTTTTCGCACTAAAACCCTGCAACGCGGTACTTAGATTTCGCTTCACAAATCCCGCAACTGGGGACTTTACCGTTGCAGAAGCCAAGATCCAGTTTATCGAAGGAGAGAGCATGGGAACTATTCACTTTGAAGGATTTACGCGGCAACTTTTCCGTCACAGACTAGAAATCCAGAATACGTCTGGCAAGCGAGCAAGCATTCAATGTGCCTCAACTCACCAAGAAGTCAGTTTCCTCCCCCAATCGGTTTTCATATCTCCTCATACAACAGGTGTGCTGGATGTTTTGATGAGACCAACGACGCCAGGATGTGGAGATGCAAATGTTGTCCTAAGTAGCGAAGAGCTAGGGTTATTCAAGTACCTAGTGAAGTACGACATACGAAGTCCAGGCATAGAGAAACGGATTACCATCTCCGCAGCTCTGGGCAGGGAGGCACACCAATGCGTTCGTTTACTGCATTTTGGCAAAAAAGCAATGACGTACCAGCTAAGTTTGGAATTGCCAGCAGAACCGTCAACTTACCAAAAAATATCAAGCCTCGCAGACGTCTTTTCCTTTGAAAGCAAGGGAATACACGTTCCAGCCGACAATGATGGTCAAGGAGTCGAAATGTGCATTCCCGTTAAATTTACTCCTTCAAGACTGCAAGATATCAGGGCTATTCTTTGCGTTCGTGGCTCTGATGGGCAAGAATACAAGGTAATGCCTCTTCTCGTAGCATCAGATGTGGAAGGGTACTAGAAATGCGGATATTTGAGTGCATATTTGATTCGTAAAGACTCCTTTCTACTGTTTGTAAGTGTCAATTCCGTTAAGTCATGGCTTTTGGGCAGGTCCTACTTGTTGGACGCGTAACAGCTCCAGAGGCCCAGGGGCCTCTGAAAGTGACAAAGGGCAAAGGACTTCCAATTGACTTCAAGAACCCCATGGATTCAACTATGGAGTTTACCGCCCAAGTGTGCTGCTTACAACAGTAGCAGAATTAGCAATTCACAATGCAGTATGTGCTTCTGTATTGTTGTGAGGCTGGGTACACTTTACGCGATTTTAGCGCAGGAACATGCTCCACCTAATGTGCGCACATGAGGGTTTCCCGTTAGCTCGGTGTGATCAAAATTGTCCCATTTTTCAGGTCGACCAAAAGGAATTTGCGCTAGATAAAAAATTTTTTCGTTTAGATGCCAAAAAATCCACCACACTCACCGTGACACTAAAAAATGAGACAGGGGCGGCTGGTGAGATTCCCTCATAATTGACTTCACATGTGTTAGCATTGGTGAAACCAAGTCATCAAGCATAAGCACTAATGCAGATATATAACAAGGTAAGGCAAGCTCCAATGCAAACATTGAAAACCACCTCGGTGGGCTGAAACATCCAAAGCAACTATATATCATGTGCATGGGCCTCTGCCTTTCTTTGTTCAGGCAGGGTGCTGATCACCGCTGAGGGCTTTCCGCCGTGGATAATCTACATCAAAGCTGACTGAAAATTCTTTCCGTAGTATTTCCCCGCAGGGGTAGGCGTTCTTCACTTTAGGCACCCCTAAGAATGCCAGGGTTCACAGGATAGCACCTGCTGTCGGGAAAATAATGGAACGAGCGCCTTGGAAGTATATGTTTTGCTACTGCTAGGTGATATGCAGTTCATTATGCTTCTACGCACAAGACTACTAAGAAGCTGCAAATGCATTGTAATCCCTATATTTGCTCTTCAAGAACTACTTGGGTACTACCTGTTGGGGTGAAAACGTGCATCCATCAGGCGTAGTAATGCAGCATGCGGTACACCGTTTCCTGACACGCATCTTTTGTGCGTATGTGGTGCGAGCTATATTGCGAATAGCTTTTCTCCCAAGTAGTAAGATGCTGTTCATGTGGCAAGACAAATTGCCAGGCCCGAAAGACAAAACACTTACTCGCGCGCTGAAGAATTGTTCCTTTTGCGCAATAAGTCCAGTAGGAAATACGCATTATCCCGTACTATATGGCTCATTTTGAAGTAGGAGCTAGCGGTCGAAAGATAGTCAACCAGGGCGCAATAACTAAAATGGATCCTCACTTTATATTTGAAAGTTGGAGTGCCCTAGTGACATCACATACTAAGTTATGCTGAGCGCAACAAGACAATTAACAGCTAGGATTGCTATATGCTGAGTTACCTATACGCTGAGAGGCGTGCACCATCACGAAGAACGGTGATAAAGGGTGATGAAGGTAATTGAGCGACTCATGTACTACTCAATATGTGACGAGCAGAAAAATGACGGATGGCATTTGGGGATAGGGTTGTTTCCATGACGGGCACTTATGCCTGACGCGTAACAAAGAGTATTACAGGTTTAACTGGCAAAGTACCGCTTTCTCAAACGCTGCTTCCCAGATCAATCTCCTGGCACCTGAGCCAGCTGTCCGGTACAGGGCGCCGGACTGCCCTCTCAGAATTAAATGTTGTTCTGCCCATTGGAACACAAAAATGCACGAACCGAAGAGCTAGATTTTCAGGGGCGTATCGTAGCTCCATTACTCTGCTACGAATACCCTGCAAAGGGAGGGTTTCACCACTTTACTGGAGACAGCCATCTGTCTGCTCGCCGGGGAGAGCTCGAGCACCTAACTCCTCGTGTCAAACTTATCGTTAGTCGGGCTTTGGGTGCTCGCCGACGTTAGTTTATGACTATACAAAATATCAAACGACTTGTTTCACCTCGTTGTATTCCCATGCTAGGGGTGAATACATCATCCGCGCTGCAGCACTGTTCAAAGCACAGCCCACTAAAAGGGATAGCTGCATTCACAATTCTAAAGCATGTAATATTCGTTTGCTCGTATACATCTGGGCAATGCCACATCAGAGTGGCCGTCTTTTATTCAGTGGAAGTATAGGTGGACATTGTTCACTTTGCTTGCCTGGCTAGGACTGTGCTACCCAAACAATCAAGGATTGGCGTGCTCATGTAGGCTTATGCATCTAGGGACCACGCTCTGCTGGCAATCCGCACTTATATATTAGCGCAAATCTCAGACAACGCCCTATTCGCAATAGAAATCAATTTTCATTGCCTACACCAACTCCAACAGCCTTTCCCATCTATCTGAACGGTAGTATGCACACACTTCATTGCCACGCACACCAAGAGCAGGCACTAATACCCGACTCGCTGGTTGAGAGACAGATATAAATTGACCTCTTTACCTCTGCTGATCGAGAGTCAAAAATACAAAAAAACTGACAGCCGAAAAAGAGTACACCCAAACCACCGCTGCACTACCGCTTCTGCTTAGGTGCTTTTCAAAGACACCAAAACAAACCCTGACTCTCTACCCACCGGCAGGCGGACTGCCGTGTCCATCTTCCGTGTCAGACCTATCGTCCTCAGGCACACCCGGCGTCTCCAAACCCGAAGGTGGAATCGTTCCTTCGTCATCACCCTCGGAAGCAGATGTATCCTCATCTTCCTCTGGCGAATCAGACACATCCTCCTCATCCTTAGGAGCAGTAGGCGTTGCAGGCTTCGCACTCTGTGTAGGACGAGTGCTCGGTGCATCTTCCGTGTCAGACCTATCGTCCTCAGGCACACCCGGCGTCTCCGAACCCGAAGGTGGAATCGTTCCTTCGTCATCACCCTCGGAAGCAGAGGTATCCCCATCTTCCTCTGGCGAATCAGACACATCCTCCTCATCCTTAGGAGCAGTAGGCGTTGCAGGCTTCGCACTCTGTGTAGGACGAGTGCTCGGTGCATCTTCCGTGTCAGACCTATCGTCCTCAGGCAC